TGACTGTAAACGACAATTGAGAAAACACAGACAATCTGGAACTGTTTGATGGTATAAAAACGGGAAGGAGCATCCACTTAATCAATCAAAAATCCGAGAAAATAAATGTGGGAATATTTGAGAGAACAGGAAAGTCCGCCCACGGCCAAAAAAACAAAACTGGACGTGAATATTCTAAAATATTTCCACGATTGAACAATGTGAACCAGATGACCAAGATTGGTATGAGATAAACATATTATCCTATAGTCGGTTCAGGATATTGGGATTATCCCTTGGCCAATATAACATATTTTCCCTCGGGACCTGCGGCCCTCGGGCAAATATATTATATTAGCCTCGGGATAATCCCAATATCCTGAACCTCATATAGGATAATCTCTATTTATCCTATGCCAAGTAGAGTTTTAGGGAGATAAGTTGGAAAGATATATCCCGTATCCTGATTTTGAGGTTTCCATATCCAGAACCTCCATATCTCCCGCCATATCTCCCGCTTCGGTACATATCTTCCCGCTTCGGTGCATATCTTCCCGCTTCCGGTAAGTAGTGGAAATGCAATAAAATGACTTTGCACATGAATGATTTGTTTATTTTTACACCTTGTACTATTGAAATGGCCATATGCCCCTGAAAACTCTACTTGGTATAGGATAAAGCAGTTATGTATGGTCGGCTTGGATATTGGGTTCATCCCTCGTAAGATATGCACATCTACCTTCGGTCCTTACGGTCCCCTCAGGTAGATATGCATATTTCCCTCTGGATAAACCCCATATCCAAAACCTCCCAGTACATAACCCTTATTTATCTCTGTTTTTGTGACTATATTGAGGCAACAAATAAGCATCAATCGGGGTTTTTAGTTCAATGGAATCTAAACATTTTCTCTTTGCATGGGTATCATTGATTGTTCTGTACATTGCCTTTCTTTTTGAAGTATACATATAGTGCATTTACCATTGTTATGAGGTTGGACAAATCAAACAAATCTTTATTTCTTGTTGAATATGATTGCTTGTTTGCAACCTTTTCTTGCTCATCAGTTATGACTTGTGCAAACCGAAGTAAATGAGAATGGATAAGTTGATTATTATCTGTTATGTTGATCTTACAGTATATATATAACCAATAGATCCATTAAAAATGTTTCTTTTTAAGTTGTAGTGACTATTGTTTTAGCACATACTCGGCTTAGGCTCACTAATATATGATGTTGAATTTTAACACCTTCAATGTAAAAGTACATTGAGTAAATGAATTATGCATTCTGTATGTGATGTACAAGTATAATTGTTTTTAGAAAAACGAAGCTTTAGAATACGAAGACAACATATTATTATTATTATTATTATTAGACAACGTCATTATGAAATGAAGTCACATTGAATAATGGTGAAAGAAACAAGTCAATTGTAAATGAATAATAGAGGGATAAAAAGAATACATAGCAGTTTCTACATATGAAATATGTCAAAACGTAATAACTCATTTACTGCTTTATTCAATTTCACACATATTGTCTTATCACAATTAAATTCAGCATATCCTCATATGTTCTTATAAAAAATTATTAAATGCCAAGGCACTTTTATCAGATGGAAAAATAGTAGGAAAGGTGTGAGGTGAAAAATAGTTAATATCGTTCATAGATCTTGTAAACTGTATCACATTGTACTCTTGTAGCAGACACGCTATATCCCCCCCCTGTTTAACTAGAACTTGTGAACTGACATATCAGAACTGCAAAACTTCTAGTCTTATTTCAACAATTTTAATATTACAAAGTTTGTGAACTGCTCAATATTATATGCTAACATCTTCTGTATCACAAAGACACTATGCTAGCAGATTAATGGCACTTGATTAAGTAATTGTACATATCAATCTTTAATGGGGTTGGATTATGGCCCAGTAGGTCATGACCTAGTCAGGGTGAAAAAATGTTTCATCAAATATTGGAAATCACAAGGCCGTGATCACTTTGATTTTTTGCCCTTTAAGCTTTTTGGTCACTCAAATGAATCATATAAACTTGATGCCAAGATATTAAGGTACGTTATGATCCTATTTTTAAAAAAAATGGTTCATGAGAAATTGAGATAATTAAGAAAACTTCCCAAATTCTTCACATTGCTATTGCTCCATATTGATGTGGATGTCAAAAAAGAGACTGACACTGGTGTGTAGATATTCAAATGAGCTAGAGTATCATGCCATCTTTAATCCTTAATTTTGATTAATTACAGAGAAATATGCATGTAGGTTACTAGGTCGGGCCATTTTACAACTGACCCATACAGCGGTGGAAAATGGCCCATGCCATAGACTGCTTTGAGGATCCGCGTTGTTTGAACCTACCGCCGAGCACACTTATACATTAAGACCCGTTACACAGTCATGATACCGCCGAGCAAGCTCATTGCACCATCGGGTCTGCTTTACCCCCGTGGTCAAATATTAGTTGGGTTACAGTAGGACAGTTAATTTATGCATCGTACAGTACAAGACTAAACTGTTCACTTAAATTTTCTTGATGCAATATTGATTATAAAAGAGTCAAAATCTTTGCCTCACTGAAGATTTTTTGCCTCATTGAAAAAATTGGCTCATTGATAAACTCACTGCACCTCTCTTTAAAATCTTAGCTTTTTGCCTCGTCGAAAAAAATGCCTCGTTGATATATTGCCTCACTCCATCCCCTGACCCTAATTAAATCTTCACAAAGTCTAGGCCTGGGTTAATATTTGGTCAGGTCCATTTTCTTACCAACCCCCCCCCCCCAAACCTGGCTCTACATCCGCCCGTGCACAGCGTAAACCACGAGTTCTCCGATTTGTATTTTGGGTATTCACTGTGACAGCATCGAATTGTCACTGGTTTCTGTAAAAATACAATGCATTCTCAGTATGATTCACCAGCACGGGACAGGGCCAAATTGACGTCAATAAATATAACGGTATCGTGTATTACTATAAGCGTGTAAATTTAGCACTTTATTCTTCGATAAGAACTTTTATCAGCTCAGATCAATGGAAAAGTACCAAAGTAATTGCATCAGCCATAGACTGGAACTACATTATTATAGCATTCCGATAATACTGCCAATGCTATATAGAGCGCTAACTATCACTACGTATACACTGGTAGCTTCACTTGTGATTTTTTAAATGGCAATATGATATCGTCCCTTTCTCGATTTATGTTTATTTTACGACTGTAGTACCTGATCTGAGTACTAGTTATAATGTATGAAGTCAGGTCAACCCTTCCTATGGTAATTGATAAGAATCGCAATATATTATTGTATCATCTGCCCCGTTGTATCTATAGTTAGCACTGATACAGTGTTTGTCATTTGAACTCGCGTGGCTTGTTCAGGTAAACCAGGGAAAGTGGAGAGGGTGGCTATTCAATTCATAAAGTAATTCACCATACTTTGACAGCGCGGTTTGGATTTGATAATGGTGTTGGTTGTTTTGTGTTAATCTTGTTAATATGGTTTTAATTTCAAGGTGAAATTGGTTTTAGATACTATATCTGTTGGACAGTGTCCCTTGAAGGTAAACACAAGGAAGGAATTGTAAACTCTAAATTTTCCACTCTTCAACGGGCAGTTTACTCATCATTGTTGATTTTTCTTCGAGCGAACGTTTTGTAAAGATTTTCGTAAATAATTTTTTGACAAATTTAACGTTAACAAATTTAATATACGATGAGAAAACACAAAACACATGTCGTAATACCGGTGTAAAAAAAATTATGGTCCCCTGGGGATTATGGTCCCCTTTCTTAAAGGCCCTCACTGGCCCTGATTGTGGATACGATAATAAGGGAAAGAGTTGTATTTAGGTCACCATATAAATCAATAGAAAGGACCATAACTTGATACGACCTCCTACCCTTTTACACCGGTGTGCCTAGTACAACGTACCTAGTTATCCACTCAGTAAATTAAGTCGCCCTTGATTTGTTGGTTTAAAAGTACAATGCTAATGAAAAGGCACTTTCACCAATAAGATTAGTAGATTACACAGTAAAACCTGTATGTGCGAACACCTCTGATCTCTAATCTGAACACCTCTAAATGTGAACACTTTTTCTCGGATCCAGCTTTGTCATCTTCTCTTGACTCAAAGAACACCTGCTAACCGAACACTTGTCAGATCCCAGTGGCGTTTGGAATAGACATGTTTGACTGTAATGTCCCCAAAATAATGGGTCAAGTTGAATTATTAAGTAGCTATTGAATTTATATACTGAGTAGAACTGGTTCAATCTTGCTAGAACAAAATGTCAAAATTCTTGTCTGCTTCTAGTACCACGTTGCACTGGTGCAGGTATAAAATAATGTTGATAGTCACATTTGAAGGTCAATGGCAGGAATAGAGTTACAAGCAAATGCTGGTTGGCATGATTGCCTTGGTGATGGTTAGGGGTGAACCTTTAGATAGTTGGGGAATAAGTTTTACTGTTTGTATCATGTATTCGTAACCATAGGCAAAAGCTAGTGCAGGATTATTGAATAAAATATTTTGCGGCAATTTAGATCAGAATAATAGAACTCTGGTCAGAATATTTGTATGAATTTGTTCAGCTAGTGAGTGAATGAAATACTAGTATACAAACATGTTTCTTCTATAAGATGTTAGGTCCCTTGGAGTCAATCATATGCCCCCCTCCATAATATTGACAGAGAGAAAACAGAAGGACTATCTATCTTTAGGGAGGACTTAAGCTTTAGGCAGAATCTGTTATAGCAGTAATACAAAAAGTAAATTACCAGTAATTTGTACCTATTGAACTCATTACATGACTATTGAATATGAATATTATTGTGGGTGAAGTTTGACACAATTAAATTTGACTTCTTTACTGGGTATGGACAACTACACATTTGAAATTTTAGTGGAAATCAGGATAACATTATAATTGATTATTGACAGAGATATTTCTGATTTTTCAAAATTAAAGGTAGCTATTTACAGTATTGAAATTACTCTCAGATTCTGCCTTTTCTAATCTAATACCATCATGGTAAATTCATAATTTAAAATAACAATGAAGTAAAATTTCATATTTAATTAAATAATTTCCTAAAAGTGTACATTTTCATAACCGAACATGATTTTTCAAATGAATTTGATATTTATATATGGATCTTGAAGTTGAATATGATTGATATGCTCTATGAAGAGAACATCTACAACCTTTACAATGATGAAAAGTCCTTGATTTTAACAAGTGATGACTGTATGTACAAGTGCATAATGACTGCTTATCAAAGAAGCATGTAAAGTCCACACTACCCATAGGGTAAAGTCCACTATCTCTACATTCACATATGTGTGAACTGTCATGTGTTACTTGATTATTCGAGATATAATTTATAGTTCTAAATTCTGCTACATAGTCCTTTTTGCTGACATCATTCACTAATAAGTTTCTTGTAGTTGGATGGTAAATGAAGTCCAACATTGAGGAATAGTCCCTTTAATACACCTAGTTCTTTTTGAAGTAAATCAACCTTTTTTGTAAGCTGTTGATTATCAGATCGGAGTGTTGTAACCAATCGCTCTGTTTCAACCTGTCGCACTTTCGCCTTGTCACGACTTTTCCTTACAGCAATGTTGTTACGCTCACGTTTCGCTTTATACTCTTCAGACTCCCTATTAGCAGCTGCAGAACGCTTCCTATTCACTCTAGTTGACCCAGACTTAGGCGAAGTCTGGGGTGAAACTGTCACTGGTATACCAACACTACTACAAGGCGATGTAACAGGTGTTTCGTAGTAGCTGGCCGAGTGTGTAGGTGAGGAGTATGCGCTTGGCCCGGGTGTAACAGCTGGCGATATGTCCTCACGTTTGATCGTAACAACGCTCTCAGCCCAGGAACCCCCAAGATTATTTTCACTGTTGAATGCAGGCATCGACCTCTCGATTTTTGCTGAGTCAGCTTCCAAAGCTGCCTTTATTTCACAAATAATGTCAGAATCGGACAAGTTTGAACTTGCCTTCGGGGTAGACTTTTCTTCCAAAAAGTCGGGGAAAAGTTCGCTGTTTGTGGCGAGGAATTCCTGAATATTGAAGCTACTTTCCAAAGTAGGATCTAGATCTGTAACATCAGCCACATGGTCGCCATCCTGGAACGAAAATGAGGTGCGATTTATATTCCTGTCCTCATAAAAGTTCGGTGGTTCCATAATGTTTCCACATGGTGATGTGTTTGACTCGTCAAAATGTTCGAATGCCGTTTTGATTATGTCCTGAACAAACCGTTGGTTTGTTGTAGAATACACGATGACTGTAGGATAAGAACAGTCACAAACTTGAGTCCTCTTGGACGATAATTTGGCAGATATTTGCCAAATTCAATAAAAATGTCACGTTCTTCTTCGTAGGAGTTTTCTAAATGTAGTGCGAGGTCAAAAGAGTGACGTAGAATTTATACTGGTACTTGGAAATTTTGCTTTGTACATATATCAATACGCGTGTACTTTTATCAAATTCACCAGTTTTAGGAGCTCATTTGAACATAATATAGACAATATGTGTTATGATGAGTTATGCTGATCTTAAAATATATAAAATAACATAACTTTTTTGCATAATGTAATGAAATAGATTAAAATCAATTAGCACTATTTTCTGACTATTTACTAGCTTGGTGCTCTTGTACTATTTTAAGAACATGATGTCATTTTCTAGCATTTTCATTGGTTTATAAATTTAGCTCTGACGTCAATCGACGTGGGGAATCCTCTGGCCTTCCACGTTATGTGATTGCGCAATACTTCGTCTTGACGACGTTATGCCGACATATTCTACAAATTTACCATACAAAATTAATTTTGAATTTTCGATAGATTTTCTACAATAAAATAATCAGATTTTGACAATTACAATATTTCATCAGAACATCGGGAAACTTCCATAGGATTTCCCAAAAAGGCGTCACCCTATGAACCAATCAAATCACCCATTAGAGAAAATACTGAGAAAGCGAGAGCATTTTCTCATCAGTTTTGTAATTGGTCAATATATTATTTACAAATGGCCACGAACTTCTGTTAAAAAAGTGACTCAATATATACGTTTTACTGCTTATTTCGTAAGTATTGTCGTGTTCAAGGGACAGTATGATAATCAGTTAGGTCAGTCAAAAATCATGTTGAATTTTTCACCAAATTGCATCGGAGGAAGTTTGCAAATTTGTGCAATGAATTTTTATTTCCTCAATCTCAACCTGTCGTCAATGTCTGTCTCGTCTGACTCTAGTGTCTGAAGACATGTGAGGCTCAGTCACAATTCTGTCTCTGAAGTGTAATATTGAGTTACATATATATTAGCATTACGCTGAAGATTTTTAATTTTTTCACCATCTCATTCTGTCTACTGTATAACAATACTCACCTTATTTTTGTCATCCATTTACACAGGCCTTCATGTATGAGTGACTATCAGAATTGGTTCACAATTGATCATCTACAATCTTTCACAATTTTTATACAGATGGTGCAATTATTGTGCCTGACACTAAGAAAATGTTGCCATATTGTTATATTCTTGAATATTCAGCAGAAGTATTTCATCAGCTATTACTGAAGATCTAATTTTGGCAATTGCGCAATAACTGTATTACATTTTATTTCAGATCTAGCTAGCTGGTTTCGCGGTGAATTTATTACTCCACAACACAAACTGGATTACATGAAAATTATAATAAACTTTACCTGGATACGAGTCTCGTAATTATTACGAGACATGCTTGATGTTTAGACTGTCTGCGATGAAGTGACAAGTTTGCTTTGTCGGCAAGTTTATTTGCAGTGATGTCATCTTGAACTTGTGGAAAATTATGTTGAATCATCATAAAGATCACCATCCCAGATATACCTCAGCTGATAAATAAAAAAATAACAAATAAACAATTGTTGACTGTATAACTAAACAAACATCTCAGTTATCTAATCAACAAAAGAATCTTACAGTTTGAAACCGTTAATCTGTTGAACTGTCAGGAGCTTTAGTACATCAATGAAAATGCCTAAGGCAAAATCCCAGGAGCCCAGAGTAAAGAAAATGCCTCCGAAAGACACAGAGGAATACAAAGTACGTCGTGACCGTAACAATCTAGCAGTGAAAAAAAGTCGCGAAAAGGCAAGAGAAAAGAAACTGGAGAGTAACCAGAGGGTTCAAAAACTCAGGGAAGAAAATCAAGCCTTGGAACAAAAGGTTACAATTCTATCAAAAGAACTAAGTGTTTTAAAAGATCTTTTTCTGACGCATGCGCAAGGATTACAAATTCCTTCGAATGAGACTAAGGAAGAGGATATTACCGATCTCGTGAAGGTCAAGAAGGAAACTGATAGTGACACTGAGGCTGACAATACATTTACTGTTAACACAGAGGCTATATTAAAGGATCATGAATATTCATCACCATCTAAACTCCATAAGAATTGAATGGACTGTTGTTATTGCAATATATCTCTGCCCTTCCCCAATCCCTTATCGTATACTGTTGTTTTAAGGATATAAGGGGAGGGAGACTCAGATAATTTATTGCAAGACAGTGCTACTACAGAGTCCGATACATTATTCCATACATTACACTTACTCGAACCCAGGCCCGTAGCCAGGATTTGCCAAGGGGGGTTCAGTTTTCAAAAATTTCCAGGAGGGGTTCACATTTGACAATTTTGGCCCATATATGGCTAAAATCAAACTGCATGATATTGAAATAATTTTTGGCCAGGGGGGGGGGGCGAACCCTGCGAACCCCCCCCCCCCCCTGGCTACGGGCCTGTGAACCAATTGTGATTTCATGGCACTCTGAATTTGTATAATAATGGATACAATTTTTGGAGAAATGTTGCATAGGCCTTGCATAAAATAATACTACTGTATTTGAATAACCTAATTATAGGTGAATACATTTTACTTAGGATAAATTTATGCCGTTGATGGGGTTTAGGATTGTACCAATTCATAGTCCTTGTAGTATGGCAGTGATCTCCCCAGGAGTTTTTCTCAAGTGGGTGAAAAATTCTCATTTTCACAATTCACACTGAAAATGGTCAAAATATGCCAATTCTTCATGATTTTTCTAATTTTCAAGTGGGTGCAAATGGATTTTCAGGTGGGTGCAAGCCTGTTTTTAAAATCTCAGGTGGGTGCTTTATCCACTTGCTTGCTTTAATGCTGGGGAGAACACTGTCGTATGGTGTAGGTTAAGTGTAATAATCAAAACTTGCTTTTGCTCATATTTTTCTAAATGCAAGGAAGCAGTTTGTTTGATTTGAGACTGATAAGCAAACAATTTTGGCCTGCTGATAAAATTGTAGTACTGTACTACTACAATTCACATAGAAAAAAACTTGAGCTTTAAATGATGTTCTGTAGCAAAGGATAACATAGTTATTATTATACAAGGGCGATCCATATATTCTGATAAAAATGCTCTCATTTTGTGATTTTTTCACATATCCCTCTCATTTTTTCAGAAAATGTAGATTATGTAATTACACATACAATGCTAAAATATTATAGCTATATCTTAAATTATCAATGAGATAAGGCTGCCATGGTAACCTGTATTAAGGGTAGGCAGGTCAATTTAATCATAACATATAAATATCAAAATAACTTGTTATTTTAATTATTTTAAAGCATGCGGAAATCATGCATTTTTTCCAAAAAGGTTTGGTATTGTTACTCGTTGTTTGTTGCTAAACAAATGTTTATATGTGCTCACTATAACATCACAACAAATCACAATAGCAATGTAGGACAGAATGGGCCAATTGATATTACATGTTATGAGACACACCAAAAGTCAAATTGTCAGATTAGGTTAATGTGGCTGATGCAGAGTGTCACATTAACGGATACATTAAGGAATACCATTAGATTTGATTTTCTTTCAAGAATAAGTAAGAGGACACTGTCAGAGACATACATGGACTCATAAAGTGTATGGGCAAGGTGTTACATCTGTATAAAGAATATCTGGTACTAAGGTAGTATTGTAAAGAGGAAAGCATGGTCACTGTTGAAGATCATCCGCAATCTGATTGCAAGAAGAGCTTGCGGACAGAGAATAACACTACGATAAATTGAGATGTTACTTATGAAAAGATAGCTATCCCACTGTATAAATTATCAAACAAGGGCAACAGGGGTATGGAACAGATAAATGAATAGTTGACAATGACTGGAAGATGCGTTTGATCTGCTTAAAATAGGTACCGAGGAATGATTAAATGAACATATTTATCTATTTTAGATGTTATAATTCAACTGACCTGCCTACCCTAAATACAGGTTACCATGGCAACCTTATTTCAAAATTAATTTAAGATACAGCTAAAATATTTTAGCATCGTATGTGTAATTACATAATCTACATGTTCTGAAAAAATGAAAGGGATATGTGAAAAAATCACAAAATGAGAGCATTTTTATCAGAATATATGGATCACCCCTTGTATGTAGAGCATTTACATATGGATTCTGTAAAGGAAGACAAAGGGCGACAAAAATTGATGATGTTTTGGAAGTTATATATAGTTTTATTTCTCATGACATATTTCATTGCCATTTCTCTTCCTCGAAATTCTGATCTTCAGTTAGTAAACATACATTTGTATTGGATAGAAATTACCAAAGACCATGTTGTTTCACATTATATATGAAAAAGCATGTCAGTTTACATATACCTATATGCATCATCAATCTAAAATTACTGACATTTTGACAATGTTCGATCGTAATTTATTGCGGTTAATTCAAATCATATCTTTAAAAGACTGCTCCATCACTACTATGTGTTTGATTACATTGAACACATTAAGATCTCCCACTTTTTGAAATAACATGGTCGCTGTTTCTCATCCTTTACCGTATTCATATGGAAATGGTCTGATCTGATCTGATCCATTTTACACTATTTTGTACAATATCAAAAGTTTTTATTTTCAAATTTATTAGCCAGCTTTTGCTTAGGGGGGTTCATTTTTCAAAAGTTTTCTGCAGCATTTACATTTGACAATTTTGGCCCAAAATCACTAAAAAGTGCTCAGAATGGTACCCTGCGTGCAGAGTCTACACTCTGACTAGTAGAGGCCATATTACAGTTTAGTAGCCCCGCCCCCATGATGGGTACCGGTGACAGTTTGGGTAAATCACTTTTGACCTACGCGCTGACCTTCCACCAATCTGCGAGCTTGAAGAAACATACGCCAATGCGTTTCAATTAAATATGCGCATGTCATTGGTCAATTCCGGGGATCAAATCTTGGACCTATGCGTAATGTACATGTGCTCTACCGCTGAATTCGATGAAAGTCTACATTAAAAATTCTGATTTTTAACCGTATCCAATAAAGGTCACTCTTCCTCTCTTTTATAATAATATGTTCATTGAAATCAAAAGAAAAATGTTTAAACTTTCTGAAAGAGAATTACATGTAGTTACACTTTAATGATCTCCCCAGCTCAGTTGGGTGCTGCACCCACCTGATACCTTAGAGGCAGCACACACTTCTGAAAACCATAGTGCCATTGAGAAAAATCATGAAAAAGTGTCATGTTATTAAATAAGGTAATAATTGTGGAGATGAAAATTTTGCATCCACTTCTGCAAAATCCCGGGGAGAACAATGCAAATTACTTTTTGTTATTTTTTTGATTTTCACTGACTACCAGGTTTGGCTTAACTATGTGTGCTAATATTCAAAATTAGGTTAGGTCATCTCAAACAATACTAGAAGTACTGTACAGGTATTTATTGGAAAATGTAGAGAACATTGTGCAATTAGTTATACACCATGATAAAGAGCAGCACATCCATTGCTTAGTGTCTAGCTGGTCAGTTCACTGAAAAGAGTGTGTAAGTAAATCTCATGGAATGGTCCAAATAGGCCTGATAAAGTTTGACAGTTTTTTTTATATGAATGAGAGTATGATGTTATACATGTACATGTAATTCACTCGTATCCTGACTGTAACTGATAATGTACACAGCGGGAATAAGGGTGGTTAGAAGGGGGTATGGGGGCTTGGTACAAGATAATTATATCAGTTTGAAATGAATTGTACACAGATTAGATTCCAGCTATTTAAATAACCACTGCAAGTGCAACTGCAACAGTTCAACATATTGTTTAAATCAGCAGTTTATATGTTAATGATCTTCAGTCATTTGATATTAATCTAATCATGTATGTATGAAGATGTATTTTAAAGAAATATAGCACATTGTCAATAAACTGTACATATTTTACTTGATGTTTTGTGTATGATTGAACTTCTTGTACTCAGTAGTTGATCTGATAAGTAATATCGAACTCATAACTAACTTGAACAAAAGTTCTAGATAAGCTAAAGGCTTGACAAAATATGTTTGATGTAATGCAAATAGATCTCAAAAGTTAAGGTTCCTGAATACTATTATCACTATATTCCAATTAAGGTAGGCATTCAAGGTCACATGAATTTACTATTCCTGGTCATTTTTATTTCCTGGTTCAAGGTAAAGTGTGAATTCAAGGTGAAGTGTGAAGACATGGGTATTAAACCCTACTTCACAAAAATATCCTGATCAGAAATATTTGTACTCAATGGAATACTGATAGTTGAAAGAAAAAAATTAAAATGGCCATCTCCATTCTAGTCCAGAGTTAGTTTTCCAATTTCTTTTTTAATTTTCTCAACATTGGAATTCCTACAATCAATTGAATATTATGCCCATTATTATGTCACCACCAAAAAGTGGTGACATATTGTTATGGTCTCCGTTTTTTTGCGACGGCGGTTGGTGGTTGGCGTCCGGCGTCTGGCGTCCGGCGTCTGGCGTCCGGCGTCCGGCGTCTGTAACAATTTCTTACAACTTCCTATAACTTAACAAATACTGTTTAGACTGACTTCAATTTTTTTCTAAATCATCTACATCTTCTCAGAAGTTCAAATCTGACTTTAGATTTGACATTTGACCTTCAATGACCTTCTCAAGGTCAAAAAGGTCTTTTTTCAACTTGCTTCACATTGACTAAATTTTTTTTCAAAATCATCTACATGTTCTCAGAAATTCAAATCTGACTTTAGATTTGACATTTGACCTTCAAATCTGACTTTAGATTTGACATTTGACCTTCAATGACCTTCTCAAGGTCAAAAAAGGTCAAAAAGGTCTGTTTTCAACTTGCTTCAAATTGACTAAATTTTTTTTCCAAAATCATCTACGTGTTCTCAGAAATTCAAATCTGACTTAAGATTTGACATTTGACCTTCAAATCTGACCTTCTCAAGGTCAAAAAAGGTCAAAAAGGTCTTTTTTCAACTTGCTTCAAATTGACTAAATTTTTTTTTCAAAATCATCTACATGTTCTCAGAAATTCAAATCTGACTTTAGATTTAACATTTGACCTTCAATGACCTTCTCAATTTCAAAAAAGGTCAAAAAGGTATTTTTTCATCTTGCTTCAAATTGACTAATTTTTTTTTTCAAAATCATCTCCGTGTTCTCAGAAATTCAAATCTGACTTTAGATTTGACTTAAGATTTGACATTTGACCTTCTATGACCTTCTCAAAGTCAAAAAAGGTCAAAAAGGTCTTTTTTCAACTTGCTTCAAATTGACTAAAAAATTTTTTCAAAATCATCTACATGTTCTCAGAAATTCAAATCTGACTTTAGATTTGACATTTGACCTTCAATGACCTTCTCAATGTCAAAAAAGGTCAAAAAGGTATTTTTTCATCTTGCTTCAAATTGACTAAATTTTTTTTTCAAAATCATCTACATGTTCTCAGAAATTTAAATATGACTTTAGATTTGACTTTAGATTTGACATTTGACCTTCTCAAGGTCAAAAAAGGTCAAAAAGGTCTTTTTTCAACTTGCTTCAAATTGACTAATTTTTTTTCAAAATCATCTACATGTTCTCAGAAATTCAAATCTGACTTTAGATTTGACATTTGACCTTTAATGACCTTCTCAAGGTCAAAAAAGGTCAAAAAGGTCTGTTTTCAACTTGCTTCAAATTGACCAAATTTTTTTTTCAAAATCATCTACATCTTTTCAGAAGTTCAAATTTGACTTTACAAGTTCTCAGAAGTTCAAATCTGACTTTAGATTTGACCTTTGACCTTCAATGACCTTCTCAAGGTCAAAAAGGTCTTTTTTCAACTTGCTTCAAATTGACTAATTTTTTTTTCAAAATCATCTACATGTTCTCAGAAGTTCTTCTTAAGGTCAAAAGGTATTTTCCAACTTGCTTTAAATTGACCAAATTGTTTTAGGTGGTGACATTTTGTCATGTTAATGCCTTGTATCAATATGTCATTATTATCAGTATATGTCAACGACTAAATACAAAGATCATTTTCAGTAAAATTAATAAAATATAGACTCATGTCTTCCTGTTTCATTTTGGATCTGAAATTAACATGGCTGGGTATAACAATATTCCAAAAGTTGTTCCAATCATGTTCACACATACCAACAATAAAATAAATCCATCAAATTAAATAGATGTCGCAATCCTCAATTATTGTACAAAACGAACCAACGTTTCAGAATTTAATGTGGTTCCAACTGAAAAAAAATCATGCGTTACTGTGCGTCTATACACAAGATAGTTACATTGCACTCAGCAACGTTACCCCATCGATAAATGAAATACGACAGGTGAGCCAAAAAAACAAACACATCTTAGTAACTCAGTCATTCAGTATGGATTTAAAGTCATATTTGGCACAATTGAACCCTGTTTAATGTTCTTTCGTTATGCTAACTTAGTTTCATTGGTCTATTATGTCACCACCAAAAAGTGATGACATATTACGCGGTCTACCGTTTTTGACGGCGGTCGGAGAACAAATTCTTACAACTTCCAATAACATAACAAGTACTGTTTAGACTGACATCAAGATTTCAGAAGTTCAAATCTGACTTTATGTTTAAGATGACCTTTTCAAGGTAAATAAATATTAAAAAAGTCAAACAGGTATTTTTTCAACTTGACTAATTTTTTTTCAAAATCATCTACAAGTTATCAGAACTTTAAATCTGGCTTTAAATTTAAGATTTGAGCTTCAATGACCTTCTCAAGGTCAAAAAAGGTCAAATGGTATTTTTTCAACTTGCTTCAAATTGATCAATTTTTCGAAATCATCTTCAAGATCTCAGAAGTTCACACCTGGCAACAGATTTGACCTTCAATAACATTTTCAAGGTCAAACAAGATTTGACCTTCAATGACCTTCTCAAGGTCAAAAAGGTATTTTTTTTATCTTGCTTCAATTTGACCAATTTTTTCTCAAAATCATCTTTAAGATTCAGAAGTTAAAATCTGACTTTAGATTTGAGATTTCACCTTCAATGGCCTTCTCTGGGTAAAAAAGGTATTTTTCAACTTGCCTAAAATTGACCAATTTATTTTTCAAAATCATCGACAAGTTCTCAGAAATTCAAATCTGACTTAAGATTGAACTAATATTATTGTGAGCAACTAGGTGGTGACATTTTGTCATGTTAATGGCTTGTTTTGATGGTCACGATTTGATGGCCGCTTTACAAAACATGATCTAAATACTAAAACATACCGAAATCACCCAATATGAAACCCCAGAATCTTACCTTCGGACTATTTAAAAGATAATGTATTAACAACCCTAGAATCATCAGAGTGTTGAAACAATATATTTGGAGGGAAATGAGAGCCATTTCACAAGATGTCTGTGAATAGGTAGAGTCAGAAAACCTCACCCGATGCATTCAAGTTTGCCTTCAATGACAAAACCAGCATTTTGAGCGTGTTTTATAAAATGGCCATAAAATCGTATGGAATAGACCAGTGAAACTTCGTAGAATGAAAAAACGTTGAACAGGGTTCAATTGTGCCAAATATGACTTAAAACCCATACTGGATGTCTGAGTTATTAAGATTTGTTTGGGTTGCCTTTTTGGCTCACCCTGTACTATACAGTATTGCACATAGCACCGATATTGTGATAGTGCAGACCATACAAACATATACGAGTAAAATCAGATATTGCATGCTCAAGAAGTAGTCAAATTGAGTAAAAGGTGGATTTTTCTTATTTCATCCAAAGTGCATGGATTTCAGAAGGGTCGATATGAAACATTGGTCTTAAAATATTATATACCTCAATTTTCAGCAGTTGGGTATGGATAATTCTGCATTACGATTTCCACCATAAGGTTTCTCGCTCGGAAGGAACATGACATATCATTTTATAATCAATCCAGACTTTCCAATGGTGTTTCATATGCTATAAATAAACTGAATGAGTTTACAAACGATAATTTTGGAATCACCCTGTACATGTTATCAATTCCATTATTTTCGCCCCTTTGGTTATATGCCTTTAGGCCTCATAAAGTACTTTCTAGTGTATTGGTATATTTACTAATTTATTTTTTATGTTGTTTATTGATCTTTCTCATTGTCTTACCATTGCTTCACAACGAGTACCAATCACAATAAAACACACTTCGATTTTTCTGGTATTCACCCTTGGAAATAAATTTGCATTCCCGAATGACTAGATTTAGAAACTGAATTTCTATGTGAGCATATTATGCCACAGTGTCTGTTACAATTGAGTTTAATTACGATTCTTTGACAAGTTCATTGTGATCAAAATTACTGTCAAGTTCCTTGCACTATTATAGATAGTAAATTACGGTTTATGGTGTACATAGGTTACTATGACTGAATGGGTCGTTACTAACACACATGAGAAAAATGTATTGGAAACCAGACAGAGTACACGCTGGCTATCATAATTTCACAAGACGACGATCATCGGTCCATATTTTACTCATTTACACATGTCCATAGCCAGATTCATTAGCTTAGAGTCGCATTGCCATTGTGATTGACGATAGGCTATGAAATGATAGCATACCACAGAATCAAAATCACGACATAAATACACGAGGAAATCAACACGACACAAATTGTAAGGTCATTAAATGTTAGCACGATGAAAACGAAATAGTGATGCATAACCAACGAAGATGTAGAGTGTCGTTTGGTTAATTGAATAAATCATAAACACACAATGATGTTCGTGAAAATTTTGAAAACATGAACTCAACCTTATTTAAAGGACTCGTCACATGGAAAGATATTTACGAGGCATCATAAAATCGTGATACACCGAGATACAAGGTAACAGTTTAAACGTATTTTTTGTTATCACAATCATTCAAAAAGAGCATCTTGCGTCCTAAACGACAACGCGTTACTGCTGACTGTGCGACACAATCAAAACCAACCAAAACACAATCAGTGGCTTTACTTAAAACCGGATAGCAGATGATTGGCTGGAATCGTTTTTTCCAAAACTGACGTCATCAGTTGATCATATAATCACATGGAGATTACCTGAAAGGATCATATATCATGACACGAATCGGTTATTTAAACCTGATCTTAAGAGAGGCTCAAAACATCGCTTAATAAGCCGACGTCCAAAAGAGTTACAGTAAATATACAGATTGGAAACATGACAGATTTGACACAATATTTAAAACGCACCTTTAATATAATCATTTACATGGTGACCCTGCATTCAATGGTGCGTAGTGATATTCAACCGTACCCAGACGATGTAGAGATATCCTCCAACTCCGCCTTTGGAGAAGTAAAGGTAGAGAAGGTTTCCCGGACAAGACATAAAAGAGGGGCGGGTGATATTAGGAGCACTCTGGTATTTGACCAGAAAGCGACAATTATTCTTGCCCACAATCAAGCCCGCTCTTCTGTTTCACCAAAAGCTGCTGATATGCTATTTATGGTAAGTGGTAAGAACAATTTTCCAAGTCTCGTGCCAAAGTCTAGTGATCATATTGTGTATTCTATTCATTTTGATTGTGTTGTCAATTGTTCTCCTGCTCAGTACATCACTGTGTTTGCCTGGACTATTTTCAGATGTTTTAGGGATTTTGAATTCAATAAAGGAATCTTATTATACTACTAAACGTTTGTCATGAGTTTTCTCTCATGCAAGGGATGTACAAGTATAATGTCCAGAATCATTTCTATTGTAAATCGTGATGGGAATTGAATTTTCATCAGGGCAATTGATAACAAATGGATGGGGTAGGGATAAAAATCAGATATACTTTTTAATAGCATGGAATGTTTGTTAATAACTCCATATCTTGCAATGCACATAATCTTTCAAATCGATGAATATCTGAACGCGTTGGTTTGATTCTGACATGTAATATTCCATTACTCAAATTGATGAATGTATTTATACAGACTGCATAATTTACAAATTCTTATTTTCAATATTCAGCAAGCTGTTTCAAAAGTTTGTTCATATGGCTCTGCATCGTGTGCATTGAAACGTATAATCACATTAGTACTATTCAGTCCTTTTTGTTTCTTTTTTGGCAATATATACTTTATCAAACAAGGACAGAGAATCGTGCAAGGTCACTCCGTTTTTATTTTGTTACGGTCTCACACTTTTTGTGATGGTGTACGTCGTTCGACGTCTGTAATAAATGGCAAGCGGTGACATTTTGCATGTTAATGCCATGTTTCTATATACAAGGAACTTAGGGTTCCTCACAGAAAACACACAGATCATCTCAATTGGAAAGTATGTCCGTATAAAAATGAGATGCGTCACGCGTGAACATAGAGACCAACTATGAAAATCTAGAGGAGGCGCGTCCTAGCCTTTTAAGGCATCAGTAGAACAATTATCGTTTGGACCATAAATAAATGAGAAATCAATTTTGTTTCACCTTTTCCAAACCATGGTGGTTTGAAAGCCCATAGTTCCCAATATTGCCAGTCTAGATAGATATCCCCTAAGATCTTCAGTAAATCCACTACTCATTTATTTATGGTCCAAACTATAAAGCCATATCGTCACCTGTTCCAAACTCTTTAATAAACTAGTATAATCGTACCTACAGCGTAATTCAACTCGTCCTCATGTCAATTTATCCCAATTGATTGGTTTTATGTATTTTGGATATCTGGTTATTAATGGCAAATTACTCAGATGCGAGTAAGAAGTTACCAGTTTCGCCACCAGGTGGCTGATTCGGGGGAATTAACATGGCAGGGTACAAAATTCCCTTAAACTTATATATGCATCAGTTTTAGTGGTTCACTTTTCATATTACCTTTATGTATCTGATAGTTATACAAATTAAAATATGTCCAGTAAAAGAAAATATTATCTGCCCAACACAAGAAAATATATTTCACTTTTTGTGGTTTTACAACATGGGGTCTATGGGGAATCTCCCCGACCTAGAAGTCACATTTTCAAAGAAAATTAAATTTTCAAAGTTGATAAACTCTTTTGAAAACCACATTTCTGAATGTAATTTTACATGTTGATTCCAAATATGACATCAGTTTGAATGAATTGTGAATTTTTAATGATGTAAATCAAGATTATTTCTACTCGCATCTGGGATATTGAAACAGTCAAAACCAACATTTTATCAATGACATGGGCTATTTTAGTACCTTGGATGTGACCGAAAAAAGCGAATCTCTCAATCGTAACACTAAATTCCAGCATGGAGTATAATCATCATAGTTTGGAATCCAGATATATTAAACTTATCTAATTTGTTCAAAGTTTGATTTCATTTCAAAGTGGTTCTATCTCTAAATAACTCCGGATCCTCAAAATAAAATCATAGCAGTCTAGTTATTATAAATCGATACACAAAAGTAAGGCATAGACTGTTTTCTGATTTCGTGCAGAAGTAAGCTTCTTTAGAGGTTCTTTTAGATGAGTGAATCTTACTTATAGAATTTTTCAGACTATTAACAATAAAGCTGGTATTTATCAAAATCTATTGATGGTGAAAATATCAGATCGTTGTGACTTTTTTATTGATGTATTTGTAATTATAAGTACGTTTGGTATCCATGATGAAAATGCCTTGCCAAAATAGTTAAAGCTATAAAACATTTAAGAGCAAGTGTAATTAATTAATTATCAGCCCCTGCTAAGTATATGGACCATAGTGGGACCAAGGGCCGTAAAGTAGTTTTAATTTGTCATGTAAAATTTGACAGGAATCTGAACTTATCGAACTACTTCAACAGAAATATCGCAACATTTTAAGGTGTCCCTGGTACATCGCTGTTTTACCATGTCGAGACTGGCCTTATTTTGAATGTCGTATATATCTTAGTGATTGAAAAGTTGAATCTAGTTCAAATTAATTGTAAGTGAAGTTGAATAGGGGGTATGAGATAAGAACAAACAAACAGTTGTTGATGTCATCTTAAAATAATCGGTCAAAATTGAGAACCTCCATATAATGAAGGATTGCCAAAACGTCCTCTCCTGAAACCAACTACATTCAACGAGTCCATACGAAATTGACGAAACAATAACGCTCAGATGCGAAGGAGTTTCCCTCTTGAGAAATGTAGAATAACAAAAGGCTCAAAGTCTAATTTGTGGGCCTAAGTGTAGCTAAAACAATTGATTCATCGATGTCATGCCAATATATCATTTTATTTCTTCCTCCCTAACAACGCTTTGTTTTCCATTGAACATTAAAAGATCTTCTGCGTATTTTGTGTTTATAAAAATTGTATTACAATTAAAATTTTCCCAGAGATCATTGTTTCATCTTTTAATTATGCCATTCGTTATATCTGTCTTTCTGATACATTTGGGCTTTACCATTATTGCAATTGTCCTTATATATAAAGCACAGACTAAACTTACATAACCCAACATTGAGAGACATGGGATACTACTTTTTAAATCCTTAATTAGCCTTGCCCAAGTCGGTATTTTTTTTACTTATCTGATCTTAAATTCATAATAGAAATCAAGATAAGTAAAAGAGACCGACTTGGGCAAGGCTAATCTTTAATGAGAATCCGGGATTAGACTGAATTTACTAGTTTTTTACGAGAGCTGGAGGTGCATTAATAAATTATTAATCATATTCATTAGGTAATGGAAGACTATACATGTAAAAGAAGTGTGTCTAGTTATTCAAAAACGACAATGAACTCATATCCTGGTTCTAGGGGCAGTTCTTCTCTTAATGTGACATCTGGCATTCTACTAATATGAATTCATTTTACATTCAACAAGACAAGATACATTCATAATTGATGTATCAAAATAAAGGAGCAAGAATTAGAAGTAAATTATGTACCAAACAATAGTGATTAAAGATGTCACCACCTGGATGTAATTGCAAAAATAATGTGGTAGCCTATTGCAGACGCAGACATCAATAACCGATCACAACATATGGTTTAAATAATAGGTCACCATTCCTTGGTGATGACATCAAATAATTGGACAAGGAAAGATCGAGGCCAGAAGGGTACAGCTAATGACACATTTTTGTATGACATATGTAGTAGAGTTCAACTTTCACCACTGTGCACTATTTATTTGCAGACATGGGATGATGACTTAGCAAGTATGGCCCAGGAGTGGGCGGAGAAATGTACATGGGAACATGGAAATCCTGAGCGGAATCCCAAACCATATTCTTCTATAGGGCAGAATCTTTGGGCGGGCACAGGTAATTACCACGTCCCCCCTTGAAACATAAATTATAAGCTATTTCCTAGATCTAGTAAAAACAACTATTGTATTGACCTTTGTTTTTTCCATGGGTCAGTTTTATTATTGCAAGAGGCAAGGACTGTGATGTATCAAAAGTTAACTGGTAACTTCTCTTTAAAATAAGATGGTACAGGGTGGTCAAAAAATGGAAACCCTGCATTTTCCTTATATCTTTGTCATTTTGAAAAATTACTTCCTGATATTTCACACATTTGTACATCATTCAATTTCCTACCACCCTATATAACGTATTTCATGACTATCAATCTGATAGTCACAATTTTACAGCACTTTGAATAAGATGCTTCAGATTTGGCCATCATCATGCTGTAGGCAAAACAGCACAGTTGTCAATAAGGTTCACATTTGAAAACTTTGGCCTAGAATCACTTGAAAAGTGCTCAGAATGGTGATAACTGCATAATTTTGAAATAAAATAAAACTCTCCTATATGTTTTCAGGATCACCAAGTGTGAATGGGGCCGTGAACTCATGGGATAACGAGAGACGTTACTACACGTTCGACACCCGTGCTTGCCAGTCTGGTAAAGTGTGCGGACATTACACACAGGTTTGTGCAGTGAAAAATGTCCGGGTATAAGGCTAAAATGCTAAAGGATAGGTATCGATATGATGAACTGTATTCAACAATGACTGTTTTTCTCTTAAACCAATTATTGAAAAGATTCTGTAAAAAACACGGTCCTTCGTGTAATGTTGACTGATTGGCAACAATACAACTTATTGCAAAAAATATTTTATATAACTGTTTTTGTTAACATTCTTTGTTTTTAAGTTCAATTATTTTTGTTCCTTTCTACCAATTCTTGAGAATGTAATAAAATGTCTTTCCGAACCATGTTGGAACGAAATAACATATACAACATTTTCGTAGACCCCTCAATATTACAATTATACAAGGGAATTTTGGTTGATTTTACAAAATGTATGCAAAAACTTAAAACAGAACCCCCCAAAATAGATAAAAAATTAAGATTAACATTTTATTTCATTAGCAAGATACTTTTTTAAAATCAACCAAACTTTCCTCTGTACAATTACAATATTGAGAGACCTAAACACAATTGTGTATATGTCGTTTTGTTCCAATGAGGTTCGGATAGATGTTTCATTTCATTCCGAACATATGATACCAAGAACAAAAGAAGTGTCTGCTGTGTTTTCTAAAACAATATAGAGAAAAGGATATATATATTATATATATCTTTCAAATTATAATGTTATATTTTTTAAAATCAACCAAACTTTCCTCTGTACAATTACAATATTGAGAGACCTAAACACATTGTGTATATGTCGTGTTGTTCCAATGAGGTTCGGATAGATGTTTCATTTCATTCCGAACATATGATACCAAGAACAAAAGAAGTGTCTGCTGTGTTTTCTAAAACAATATAGAGAAAAGGATATATATATATTATATATATCTTTCAAATTATAATGTTACCATCCAAAAGATAACCATTAAGTTGACGATGTGTAGAATTTTCAGAATGTTTTGATGACTGGTTTAAGAGAAGCGCGTGTTCAAAAAGTTCACCATATCGATACCACTCCTTTGTGTCTGAACATTTTTCTGGTTTTACATTCTGCAGGTTTTGAAGATATCCTTCAAATTGAATTTAACATCGACTGTGAATGTACTGGTAGTAAGGTACAGTACTTTTAGGTATCGGAAAAAAATCAGAATTTACTATTTTCGGTGTTAATGGTAAATCGTCCGTCACTGTTGCAAGCAATATGGACCGATTTGTGCCTTAGGATAAAAAACTAATTTTGTAATCTTTTATTTTTTTAATGTACCCATAACCTGAAAACCCTTGATGTTGAAACTGTTAAAAAGGGGTTGATTTTTGCCTTAAGTTAAAATTAATGAATTAAATTACAAACTTAACACCTCTTTTGTTTTTCTTAAGAAAATGTGGAAATTGCATATATTTTTGATTTGTAATATGAGTTATGAAACGTGATTTTTTAGAATATCAAATGAAATAAGATCTTTGGAATTGTCCGAGGAACGAAATACATTTGGCCGTAATACTTTAAATTTGTGAAATCTAATTATTGCATCCCTTCGAGGCATAAAGATCCATTATTGAACCAGTTTAAAAGCGTCAAGAGCATCGTATGATCAATGCAGCAAATTAGAAAATGGCCAAAACTGTTTTTTTAAGATTCATATTACCACTCCAACTAAGATGTTACCAATATACGGAAATCGGTATCGTTTTAACAGACCAGCTCTTTGGTTTGCTCACGAGCTAAATGCATTGCATCGTCCACTTATGTTGGGCCTCGTATTGAGCAAGTGGGTCAAAATGTGAATCACACCCAGGGAATCCCTGTAGCTTTGGTTTGGTGAAAAACATTACACCACATCGATCTCCTTTGATACAGGTAATTGATTATGAAGTAAGGAAGAGTTTTGCAATCGCTGATATATATTTTATACTTATAAAGTAAGAACTGACGTCGAATCTTGTCCATTCATTTGTTATATCATACAGATTTCCAATACAATTAAATTGTGGCCAGAATCGGCTTCTTAGACGTACTTAGGGGTCGGCAGGTAGGTATCAATTCAAAGTAGGGATCAACATTCTTTTTCACATCGTTCTCGTTTAATGAATTCATCGCAGCCTAAATGTTTGTTAAAAATTCATAATGGATCCGAACCCAAACTGGCCGGCGCGGTGTTGCTTAGTCCCTGCCCATTAAGGATTGCCATTGATAACTAATGTTTACAAATATTTCGATACTTTTTGTTCAATTTGTCTGGAAGTACCACGATTGAGTGACAATTCCATATCGATGTTCTAGTGTTAGTTACACTGAATTGGTCGTTTTGCTTAGGAACGTCACCTTTGTTGTGGTAATTAATTGTAAGTTGCTGAGAATGTATATTGATCAGTTGGTAGGCTATACAGACAGACACGTTTTAGTTTGTTTTCCTTTATAATTTATTGTCACAATCTTACTTGTTGGCTTTCGTGGCCTATCTTTGGAATGCATCTGAAATATGCCTCTCATGCAACAAACACCAATAAATTCCTTCTTATAAGATAACTGTATCATACAGCGCCTTCTACTAGAAAAAATAAAACAATGGTAATGTTTCACCAAAAGAAATACAAAATATATATTATGTATATACGTATACAAATTGTCATCAGCATGCATGGGCGTAGCCAGGGGGGGGGGGGGGGTGCGATGGGTGCGATCTTTGAAAATATGACCATTGGATAGAGGTAGAAAATAGCTTTAAAATGCTTTTTATTTGAAGCTTCTAGCTCAATTTTGAAGGAAGTTGCATCAATTTTTGTAAAATTCAAAAGAAATCTTAATTTTTTGTGTTGCTTATGGCAAAATCGCACCCCCCCCCCGACCGAGAACTGAAAAATTTTCGGCGATCGCACCCCCCCTGACTGAAAGCTGGCTACGCCCCTGCAGCATGCGTCTTTTTGTGACACCATGTAAAACTAAATTTTGTAAAGATCCACAATTCAACAAATAATTCCAGGTAGCATGGGCGGATTCTCATAAAGTTGGGTGTGGTGCGGCACGTTGTACCAAGAACAGTCCATTCTCAGCATCAACGTGGAATTATGTTGTTTGCAACTATGGCCCTGCGTAAGTCACCTGTTTATATAGTGGCTTGGTTCTCTGTATATATAATAAACTCTGTGAACTAATTACTAAAGTACTTACTATAAAAATAATGCTATTATTTTGAAAATTACCCAAAATTCTTACACGTATGGATTTACCCTACTATCACACCAAACTAGTTCCCACTACGTTCTCGAAAACGGGCTTCAACTGTGTACGAACGGACTGGACCTACTAAGAACCGTTTGGGATCTATTTACAAACTTCATCGAACGTACTCGAACGGGTAGGTCCTCTAGAACTTAGTCAATGCTCAAAATGTTCTCGTAGTCGTCACGTTTTACAATTAGAACGAGTTACAACGTACTAACGACGAGCTGGACGTACTACGAACGGAACCGTCGTACTTCAATCCTACTAGGGACGTTTTAACAACGAGTTGAACTGTCTGAGGACGTGTTGAGAACGAGGTAGAACTAATTGTAAACGGGTTTAAACTGATTAAGAACGTATTTAACACTGCTTATGAACGAGTTAGCAAAAATATAGCTATCACACCAAACAAGTTGCCACTGCGTTCTTCAAAACTGGTTTTAAACTGTGTGCGAACGGAATGAACGTAGCTGCAACTTTCTAAGGTCTATTTACGAACTTTATGAACTTTATGACGGGAATGTGATTTTAGAATTTTGAATCGATTCAAAATTCGATGGCGACCATACCGTTCTGTAATCAGGTCATGTTGACCTTCTAGACTAAGGGACGCGTTCTACTACGTTGCAAACCGACGTGGTACGACCTGAACGAACTGCGAACTAGATGGACGTATTGAAGACTGTTTCAGAACGAAGAAGCTAATTATTTCAGACATATTTCCCGACCACAGCCAGATTGAGCCCGTTTTACGACGTTTTCGTAGGACTGGCAAGAACGGGTATGAACAAGTTTGGTGTGATAGGGGGGTTACTGACTATTAGTAATGACTAATTGATAAATATATGATTGACGTGGTTAGATAAATACAATCACTTGAGTTACCCTGTAGTTCTGATGCATATTTTCAGGGGCAACTATGTAGGGCGCCATCCATATACTAAATCCAGTACTTCATGTTCAGCATGTCCCTCCGACAAGCCTGTGTGCGAGAATAATTTATGTAGTAGGTGGACTTTTTATTGATACCTTTTAAACTGTTTGCATTCCTCAGCCGCATGTATCGATATAGCTGAAATCAAGTCTTCTTTATCAATAAACCTGCTTTTGCCATTTGATGTTTAATTTGGAGGTTGATTTTGTGCCCATCTTGCTATAAATCCAGACCCAAATCACAACATGATTTTTAAGTGGCATACAATATAAATATTTTATTTAATTTGCATGGAGTAGGGGGTGTTAAGTAAATTAATATACAATACTATAATATCTCTTAATTGCCGCAATCTGCATTATCGAGTGATGATTTCAATTTCTTTTTTCAGAACCAAGTGGAGTATGCGGAGGACAAACTTGTTTTAACAATGGGAAATATGTAACGAGTGTCTGTATGTGCAACTGTACAACTGGTTGGACAGGAGTCACGTGTCAACAATCCTTATCCAATCATATTACCGCATCGTTGCTTATCCCAATAGTAACATTTGTGCTGACAGTTCATGGATTTGGACGAATGTGATTCAAATTCTACAAACTTGATAACACCATGGAGTTCAAATGACGTGATAACACGCATGTCAATTTTATTTCGCGTGTAGTATTCAACTTACTGAACATTCCAAAAACATTTAATGTGGTTTAGATGAATTCTGTATGTATATAATTCATGATATAATTTTTATAGAGTTTATAAAATTGAATGAAGCCAGCGGACTGATGTAAATAGCTTTACTGTACTTATATTATTATAAAATGTTATAATATATCATGATCAGTTTGTCGGGTTGGCTTGCTAAGTCATTTGTTTTTGCATTTCTTCCAGCCAGGGAGAGAATGTAGGTCATGATACAGAGTGCAATAAACAATTCATAACAATGTATTCTTAGTTCCTTTTTGGTCAGTTTCATAATTGATTTTATTTGATTGATTGCAACATAGAATTCGAATACAATATGTACTTGAGGTAGTCTACCCTCCACTCCATAAGTGTGGCAGCCCTTACTCTCTAACTTCGTGTTCAATTCTGTTCATGTTTGAATTTTCATTCAAAAATCCTGTAATAATAAACATTTCGAGTTGGAAATAATGATTTAATTATAATTGGTCGAAAAATAAAGATTTAAATTTTACACTTAAAAGTCTTATAAATTGAAGATTCGGATCTATTCTATTCTTTCGATTTATATTTTTTTCAAGTTACGAAAATCATCTTGGATATTATCCAAGGTCTTAAAATCATATTGTTATGCGAGTATGTACGAAAGTTGGAATTAATGGATATTCTGTTCCTGCAATTGATTTCGGGAAAGCCACAAATTCTCACTTGAGATAATTTATTTACATTGGACTTGGGTATATTCCTCAGTGCCAATGGGAAAGTTAGGGTTGCCAAACTTTTGGAAGTGAACGTGGGCACTTGTAGATATTTCATCTTTCTAACGTTGGCCGAGTCCCGATGGTGGTACTGTTAAGTGTATGTTTTCATATTGAGGTATATGCCTAGTCGTCCCATCGTATAGCCAATATAGCATTCAATAATGTTTCAGTAGTTTAACATTAAATATAAGTTTATAGTTTCAAAATCAACAACGTAACTGAATAAAATATAGTTCACGAAGGTTGATTTTCGGTAAATGAGGTCGTTGGACCCCCGGGGTTGGAACCTACTGAAGCGGTTCGGCTAGTTCTTCACACATGGGAATAGGACATTCCATGAAGTTATCTTCTCGAGAAAGGCTTCGACCTTCCATCCCCTTCGGCCCGGCACATGTCCCACGTACACGATCAGAATCCATATCTCTCAGCCACTCCATCTTACAATCACATACAATGGGGTTGTTATCGAGATTGATAAGGCTAGAAAGCAACATGCGGCTGAGGCAGGCGTCGCCGAGATCGACGAACTTGTTATGACTCAAGTCCAGAACGCTCAGGTGTGTGAGCGCGGGGAACGCGCTGTCGGGAAGGGCCGTAAGTTTGTTGTGATCCAACTTGAGGATTTTCAAATGAGTCAAACCAGCAAACGCACCAGCTTCGATTTGATCCAAATTCGTTTGCCCGAGTGACAAAGATTGTAAACGTGACAACGCTGAAAAGACACCCTTATCAAGCTTCCCGAGTGGATTTCCTGACATATCAAGCTCCCCGAGATTGTCCAAACCTGTAAATGCATCGGGAGTTAACGAGCTTATTCTGTTATTATGTAACCTCAGTCGTCGAAGATTACTCAAACCGGCAAATGCTCCCTCTTCAATTTCAGAAATACGGTTGTATTGCAACTGTAGCTCGGCTATTTGATTGATCTCGCCAAAAGATCCCTTCTGAACAGCCTTTAGACTGTTACTTTCCATGCTTAGTCGCCGTAGACCTTTCACATCTCTCAATTCCTCTATAGGAATATAATCAAAGTTGTTGTCCGTGAGGTCGATCGTTTTCAGCGCCGACAGGTTTTGAAATACACCACTGGGTAGCTGATCGAGGTCACAACCCCAGAGATCCAGCGACTCGAGTGAGCGTTCGAGGCCCGTGAACGCCAGTGGGGAGATGGAGTTTCCGAGGGGGTTGGCACCAAGCATAATGCGACGCACCTACAATAATGAATTAATTTGGTTAATGTATATTTATGAAATATGGGCTAACTGCCGAACCTGCTCGGAACCCAATAATAGTGTGGAAATGTACGGTGATCTAAACACATTGTTTGGAGTTTTCAAAGTTATTTATCAAAACGTTTATCGATAAGTCAAGGTTAAATATAACAGGGAAACCAAAAATAGGTTAATACGCTTCAATACGATTTTTCCCGGGGACAATTGTCCGACTTGGTCGCTGCACTCCCTCTGTCAATATCATATTACCCTTTGGCCAATATCATATTGTCCCTCGGAATAAAACCCATATTCAATCCCTCCCAGTAAATAACCTATATCACATAAATGGTGCAATGACTGCGACATTTATAATTCTAATTGATAAAATAATGTCAATCGGAATAAAATAATATCGAATGATCTCAATAAGTAGTTAAGCAATATAATGAAAATACGTATAATCTAGTTACATGTACCTGTAGGTTTCCAAATGCATTTGGTGGAAGTTCTTCGATGTCATTAGCTTCTAAATGTAGCGTATTGTAGACTTGGGTTAGATCATTTTCAGAAACTTTAAACTCTGGAACCTTTCCTATTCCCTGCCCCCAGCATATAATGTCGTCATTATTACACTGGCAGATATCAGAGGGACATCCAAAAGCTGCTCCAAGTATCGCAAGAATCCCTATGAAAACCCCACAAGTTGTTCTCTCGAGCGCCATATCTATTGAACAACTAACTAGAACTATGATCAGACTTGTTGATTTGACTTGTTTATTGTGAATACAAATGCTCATGTATGTGCTTTGTATAAGAAGGAACTGATTTCAACTTTGCCCAGATTCTGCCAAATTAACAATTAATTCCTGATAATGGAAGTATTTGTTTATTATCTCTTGGCAGACTGATGGGATATTTATTAGTGCACGCGCGGCTGCTTAACAATTATGCAATTACTTTTGGGGTCATCTGAAGGCGTAGGAAACAATATAGGATATGGTTTAATTCCATCATTTGGATTATCGTAATTTAGATTATTAACCATAGAGCAATCATGCTATACTAATTTTGCTATATGATGATTATAACAATTGTAATTTTCGACCAGAATAGACTACGCACACGAGCGACCAAATTAGGAACAACTCACTGAAAGTTCAAATTTTCATTTTAATCTACGGCCTCATTTATTCTACTAGTATTACTGTACATCCTTGATATACACGTACTCTCATTTGCAATATGTGACTTTAACTTTGTGATTTTAGATTTGTTGTCTTGTTATTGATCGTTTTTGTCTCATAATTTAGATGATTTCATATTGTGTTTAATATGAATGTGCATTTGTTCAATTGTTTGTACTACTCTAAGAGCGAGGAGGAAAATTCTTAATAAATGGAGTATAGTTGGTTTGGCAGCATTTTCAGTTAGAAGGAAGTCTTGGATGAAAATTCTACCTAGGTGATAGCTTCACAGTGTGGTACATAATTCTTTTTTTTCAGGGATTAGCCCCCCACCCCCCAAAAAGACCCCACCCCAGGAAAATAATTTTTTCATTCTCGATAACTTTAGACATCTTGATGTTTGTAAGTTACATACATAGACATTATATATATGAATCATTTGCATAATAAATAATGCCAATCACTCCTACAGAATTTGAATAATAGTACAAAGTATGTACCCCAGGGGGCAAATTCGTGACCCATTTTCTTACTTTTTAGAGCCTCACTTTTGATTCAGACACTGGAGGACATTGGAAAAATTCATGTGAAGTGCTAAGTAGGAGGGCTATAAGCCCTGAAAGGTTCAAACTAATTGAATCAGTAAGAACCGAGAAAAAAATTTTGACATTTTTGAGAGGGGTGATTTTGGCTATGACTATAGCTGATGCCTATGGTTTCTATATCTACCCTTCTTTGATTATAAATATGGTTTTGAAGCATTGAACTAAGATGTAAAAGATAATTAAAATGGGTTTGAAGGAAGTTTAAAGTTTTAAACAAGTTCAAAATTCGAAGAATTGTACAATATCAGGTCTGAATTTACGAATTTTAGGTAAGACCTTGGGTGAGCCTTAGATTTATTACATCTGTCCCATTTTGGTGATATTCATAGTTTTGTAGTCTGGAACTTAGATGTACAAAATAATTAAGATGGTTTTTAAGAAGGTTTAAGGGTTTTAATAAGTCCAAAATTGTACAATATCAGGTCTGAATTTGTGAATTTCAGGTAAGACCTTGAATTAGCCTTATATTTTTTACGTATGTCCCTCTTTGATGATATGTATGGTTTTGTAGTGTGAAACTAATGAGTAAAAAATAATTTAGATGGATTTGAAGAAAGTTAAAGGATTTTAAATGAGTCCAAAATTTGAAGAATTGTACAATATCAGGTCTGAATTTATGAATTTCAGGTATGACCTTGGAGGACCCTTATGTTTTTTACATCTTTCCCTCTTTGATGCTATTCATGGTTTTATAGTGTGGAACTAAGATGTAAAATATAATTTAGATGAATTTTAAGAAGGTTGAAGGATTTTAACAAGTTCAAATTTTAAAGAATTGTACAATATCAGGTCTGAATTTACAAATTTCAGGTAAGACCTTGGATGAGCCTTATACGTTTACATCTGTAACTCTTTGGTGATATGTATTTTTTTTGTAGTGTGGAACTAAGATGGTAAAAAATGATTTAGATGGTTTTGAAGAGTGTTTAAGGATTTTAATGAGTCCAAAATTTGAAGAATCTGTCCCTCTTTGATGATATTTATGGTTTTATGGTATGGAACTAAGTTGTTCAATATAATTTAGATGAATTTTGAGAAGGTTTAGGATTCTAAAAAGTTCAAAATTTGAAGAATTGCACAATATCAGGTCTGAATTTACAAATTTTAGGTAAGACCTTCGATGAGCCTTATATTTTTTTTTATATCTGTCCCTCTTTGATGATATGTATGGTTTTGTAGTTAGGAACTAAGTTGCAAAAAATAATTCAGATGCATTTTAAGAAGGTTTAAGGATTTTAACAATTTGAAGAATTGTACAATATCAGGTCTGCAATTAATAAATTTCAAGTATAACCTTGGTTGGCCCATATGTTTTTTCCACCTATCACTTTTTCATGATATATTTGGTTTAGTAGTGTGGAAATGTGTTAAACATAATTTAGATGGGTTTTAAAGAAGCTTAACGTTTTAAACAAGTTCAAAATCTTGGCGTATTGTACAATATCAGATCTGAAATTAAGAATTTAAAGTATAACCTTGCTTGGCCCGTATATTTTTAACATCCATCCCTTTTTCATGTTTTTGATGATATGGTTTAGTAATGTGGAGCTAATATGTAAAACATAATTAAGATGGGTTTTAAATAAGTTTAAGGTTTTAAACAAGTTCAAATTTTGATGAATTGTACAATATCAGAGCTGATATTAATGAATCTTGGGTATTACCTTCTTGGACGAGCCTTGTTTTTTTACATCTATCCCTTTTTGATGACATATATGGTTTAGTAGTGTTGAACTAAGATGTTAAACATAATTTAGACAAGTTTTAAAGAAGTTTAAGGTTTTAAACAAGTTAAAAATTTGAAGAATTGTACAATAACAGGTCTGGAATTTATTAATTTTAGGTATAAATGTGGATTGCCCTTATTCCTTTTTTACATCTATCCCTCTATGATGATATAATATATGGCTGGTAATATATAGTAGTGTGGAACTAAGAGGTAAAACATAATTTAGATTAGTTTTAAGGAAGTTTAAAGGCAGAATCAGATCTATGGGATGACAAAATTACAAGCAACATGTACAATTCACCTACCAATCTATTCCTTACAATCTCAAATACAATATCTCTAAAAAGATTCACGATGTGTTAAAAATTGATGAAGTTATAATGGATTCGAAGTGCAAAAATGGGTGAAAAATGTTTAAATTCTCCCAAAATAATAATGGTAACCATTTTTATGGGAAAATAATACATTATTGTAGAAATCCTTAGTTTTCAGCAAATAGCAAATAGACATGAAAAGGAATGACATAAGCCAGAAATATTCAAAAATTTAAACATTTTTTGTTAGGCTGCTTGCTAGATCTGATTTTCTCTTTAAGGTTTGAAAGAGGTTCATAACAAATTGTACAATATATGGTCTGAAATTCTTAACTTCTTTGATAATTTACATGGTTTTGTAGTGTGGAACTAAAATGTAAAACAAAATCTAGGAATTTGGAGTTTTAAGGAGGTTTTTATTTATTTTTACTTATTGCTTATTGCTACTTCAGACTAGGGTTAAACTTCCTTAAAACCCCAAATTTCTAAATTATGTTTTACATTTTAGTCCTATAATACAGAAGCATGTAAATCATCAAAGACGTTTAGAATGTAAAGAACATGAGGATCATTCAAAGCTTTACCTGGAATTTGTTAATTTCAGATCTCATATTGTACAATTTGTCAAGTTTTGAACTTGTTTAAAACCTTAGACCTCCTTAAAACCCATTTTAATTATGTTTTACCTCTTAGTTCCACACTAGTAAACCATATATATCATCAAAAAGGGGTAGATGTTAAAAACATAAGGGCCAACAAAGGTTATACTTGAAATCTGTTAATTTCAAATCTGATATTGTACAATTCGCCGAGATTTTGAACTTGTTCCAAACATTAAGTTTTTTAAAACCCATCCAAATTATGTTATACATATTATTTCTAAACTACTAAACCAAATACATGTATATCATGAAAAGGGATAGGTGTAAAAAACATAAGAACCAACCAAGGTTATACTTGAAATGTGTTAATTGCAGACCTAATATTGTACAATTCTTCAAATTTTGAACTTGCGAAAATCCTTAAACCTTCTTAAAATTCATCTTAATTATTTTTGACATGTTAGTTTCACACTACAAAACAATACATATCATCAAAGAGGGACAGATGTAACAAGTATAAGGCTCATCGAAGGTCTTACCTGAAATTCGTAAATTCAGACCTGATATTGTACAATTCTTCAAATTTTGAACTTGTTAAAATCCTTCAACCTTCTTAAAATTCATCTAAATTATATTTTACATCTTAGTTCATTACTATTAAACTGTAAATATCATCAAAGAGTGACAGATATAAAAATCATAAGGGTCATCCAAGGTCATACCTTAAATTCGTAAATTCAGACCTGATATTGTACAATTCTTCAAATTTTGAACTCATTTAAATCCTTAAACCTTCCTCAAATCCATCTAAGTTATTTTTACATATTAGTTTCACACTATACAAAACTATACATACCATCAAAGAGGGACAGATGTAAAAAATATAAGGCTAATCCAAGGTCTTACCTGAAATTCGCAAATTCAGACCTGATATTGTACAATTTTTCAAATTTTAGACTTATTAAAACCCTTAAACCTTTTTAAAAACCATCTTAATTATTTTGTACATCTAAGTTCCAGACTACAAAACTATGAATATCACCAAAATGGGACAGATGTAATAAATCTAAGGCTCACCCAAGGTCTTACCTAAAATTCGTAAATTCAGACCTGATATTGTACAATTCTTCGAATTTTGAACTTGTTTAAAACTTTAAACTTCCTTTAAACCAATTTTAATTATCTTTTACATCTTAGTTCAATACTTCAAAACCATATTTATAATCAAAGAGGGATAGATATAGAAACCTAGAAAGCTATAGTCATACCTAAAATCACTCCTCTCAAAAATGTCAAAATTTTCAAAAAATCAACAATTTTTTTCTCGGTTCCTACTGATTCAATTAGTTTGAACCTTTCAGGGCTTATAGCCCTGCTACTGAGCACTTCACATGAATTTTTCCAATGTCTTCCAGTATCTGAATCAAAAGTGAGGCTCTAAAAAGTAAGAAAATGGGTCACGAATTTGCCCCCTGGGGTACATACTTTGTACTATTATTCAAATTCTGTAGGAGAGATTGGCATTATTTATTATGCAAATGATTCATATATATAATGTCTATGTATGTAACTTACAAACATCAAGATATCTAAAGCTATTGAGAATGAAAAAATTATTTTCCCGGGGTGGGGTCTTTTTGGGGGGTGGGGGGCTAATCCCTGAAAAAAAAGAATTATGTACCACTCTGTGAAGCTATCACCTTGGTAGAATTTTCATCCAAGACTTCCTTCTAACTGAAAATGCTGCCAAACCAACTATACTCCATTTATTAAGAATTTCCCTCCTCGCTCTTAGAGTATACTCCATAAATTGGAAAAAGAGAGATGAATAAATAAAGACATCTGGTTAAAGACACCCAAGTGCCCTCTAAAAAAACTTGAAGTGCAAACTATATGAATAAAACAAATGACACGAAAAGTTGTCAAAACTGATATTTCTAGACTAAAGTTAATGGATGTAGTAATAACAAATATGCCAGCTCATGTCTACTTCTACCATCGGGATGATCCCGATCATATGTTAACTGTCATGTCAATAGTTTTGCTTCAAGACCCTGGACCCCCCTTATCTACTTCAGCAACCTGCTCTTGAAATAGGGGGGGGGGGGGGGGGGTCTTGTAGCAATACTAGAATGAACACGTCAACTGTGTCATCCATATAATAAGAAATTAACATATTAGGTAATTCCACAATCTTTATATTTTGGACGGAAAATACACATTTACAATCTGAACATTCTACATCCATTTTTAAAATAAATATATACACAACTTTAACAATGCAATATTATGAATTTGATCCTATCTGGAATTTAGTTTGTTTGACAAGTTGGAAATGTTAAATGTTTAATACCAGGTATAATCTTGTGAATCTGGGTATGTTGAAAGGTAGGTATAAATGGATAAGTGTGATTAATATTTGAAAATATGGTTAAAAAATTCTTGATCCACCCCTGAAACACATTCAGGGAATATAGTATTTAACAAACGATACCAATTATATTACAGTTAATTACCTTGAAGATTGGGTCATTTCACTAATGACCGTTAGAGCACAAAAAATCATTGATAGTGATGCTAGCCTATACCAGAATATATAAATCATTAAATAGCATAATTCTGAATATGTATCTCACTTCAATAAATGAAAGCCAAGGTACATAGATTTAAGTCCTGCAGAACACTGTAATCTATTTCAGCATCAATAATTTAACAATAGTTTTTTACATAATATAAAGTCTATTTTGGATTTCACATTCCATAGCAATATTTTAGTCTATGTTACTGTCCATCTTTATTACATATTAGGAACGCCGGTCCTTAGAGCCAGATCCTGTAGGAATTTATTATAAACTGAGATCATCTCTGAAACCCGCTTTGTGATTGGACGATAGTCTGATTCCATCGTCTTTGAAGCAATGAATTCTTTCATGACAAAGTTGTTCTGTTCATGGTGCTGCCATTTCTTCTCAAGGTTACCAAGCTGAAACATATTTCAAATAATTATTTAGACTATTAATATACTGACATATTCATTCAGATATTCAACAAAAGTATTTTCACTTAATTGAATTTTCCTTATTGTATCATTTTTGAAAATATCTTAAATTTTAATGTCCAATATTTGAAATGGGTAATATTTTATGGTTATTTTTCAATTTTAAGAATACAATACAATACATCATTATTGATAATAATGCAAAAATATAATAAATTCCAAGGTCAATGTGACATTCCTGGCTTGAATATATTTCCTCTTGATTAATGGTGAAAGATTAATAATGAGAATGAGATGTCATAGTTAACAATGAACTGGCGATTAATGCCTGGGTCACATTTGTTCCTATTCATTTGCCGGTGCCCAGCCGATTGAATATTTTGTTCAAAATTTATTCAGATTATAACAAAATATTCAATTGGCCGTGTGCCGGCGATGAATCCCAGCAAATGTAACCCAGGCAAAAGAACTATATTATTCCTGAATAGGATTTGATTGAGAAATATTTAATGAGATGAGTAAAATTATCAAACCTGTGCATATGTTTCATTTTCCTGTAGTTGCGACTTGAGGGCCTCATATTGTGACGTCAGCTGCTGCATGATCTTCTTAAATACCTCCCTCCTTTTCTGTAATATCACCTTGTCCTCCGATAGTTTCTAAGAGTAGAAGAAAGTAATAGTTAACACAAGTCATACAGAATATGTTTGTAGAATGAAGACATACGACAAAAGATAATGTTTTAGGTTTGCAAAATATCTACACATATTTAACATAATTGAAATCTGACAAGAAAATGAATGTGATAAATGTTTGACTTAATTACAAGAATATGGAACATTTACTGAATTAATGTCATCCAGTGATGTTATCAATAATATATTTTTCATCCACTTACATGAAAAACTATCATGGTGAAAATCAATGATGAAACTAAATTACTAATATTCCCCACACATCATGAGATATCTTACATTTTGAGTCCAGGGAAGTTGTTCATCTGAACTGGTTAATTGCCCCTAAATAATACTGTTACTATACTAATAAATAAATAATACTGTTACTAATTTTTACTCCCATGCTTGATTAATGAGTACTGGTGTGTATATCAAAGACATGCCTTATACATAAAAATACACACTTTTTATAAATGGCCACACTATACAAAGTTATACCATTGCCATGAAGAGTTGGACAAGGGCAAATACAGTAGCTGAAATGAATGCTTTTACAAGCAAGATATTGTAAAAACCATACCTGTCTTTTTACATCAGCCTCTTCTTTGAGTCCATCAAGGTTTGAGTAGATCTCAATCTCTTGCTCCATGTTGGCTATTTTGTTCTTCATCATCTCAAGTTCACTTGTGATCTTGGATTCAAGCTGTTCAACCTTCTGTAAGTCCAACTGAAGCTTCTCTTGCTCTGAAATGGCAAAATATCACTTAGATATATACACGTTAGTCACCTTCTACCCTTTGCATTCATTGGATATACATTCATAAAAGAGAGCTTCGCCTAGTTTATAACAAGACTCTGAGTGCAGAGTAATCATCTTCTGAAAGTCCAATATAGGGGATATCATTTTAGAACAATGGGCACCTAACTTTGCAGAAGAGAACAGAATATTCAATAGTACTGGATGCATCCATTTATGGCAGTGGTAGTAGAGAGGACACATGTGATAATAGGAACATCCCTTCACTGTATAGGTAGGTTACACTCCATGTACGTAAGATGTATCTGTCGTATCAGTTATGAAAGTGAGCACAATATTCTATTTCACATACCAGATGCAAGTCCAGCAGCAGTGGCCTCAGACTTCTTCATTTCTGTAGCCTTGAATGCCAAGTCATCTTTCATAGTAGCCAGCTCTTTTGGTGTTGGAAGGTTATGGCCTCGTGCCATATTCTACAATATACAGTAATACCATAAACATAAGCCACTCAGATCAATTTAGGGACTGTTATTTAAGGATAAGGAGTTTAAGAGAACTTGTACTGTACATGAACTTGTAGAATTAATGTAAGGTCCTCCAGGGATTAGATAATTCTTTGTTGAATTTACTAATTGAGTATAAAGATGAAAGAAAAACAGGCCAGAGGGAGGGCGGAGTTCGGGATTCAAAATCATGCAGTTTTCACCATTCTGAGCACTTTTCAAGTGATTTTGGCCATCTTTAGGCCAAAGTTGTCATAAGTGAACCACCCTGGAATTTTTTAAAGTGAACCCCCTTGGCAAATTCGGGCCTGGAAAACTAGTTGTAATAATGGGGAACCTGCAAAAACCAGGGAAGGGGAGACAGTGTACCAAAGTGTAAAAATTAAACATACAAGATATTTATAATGTATATTACATACCCTGCTCATATGTTCCAGTAGAGCCACAATATTCAACTGTAGCTGTCCCTTCCTCTCCAACTCCTGGTTCTTGGACTGATCAAAACTCTCAAGGAATTCTGAAAGAGATTCAATACAAGTACAAAATTACTGATTGTATTGTATTTTGTTTACCACCAATGAAGGTGAGCAATACCTCTTTGGTATGTCCCGTATATATATGGTCATAATTTACGTAATTAACATGGAAGATAGACCCAGAAACCCCTCCTTGAAGGAGCCCTGTGTTCTTTTATGTGCACTTATACATAGACATATAAGTACACACCACAGCCTTTTGTACGAGTTGCGGACCACTCAGTCAAACACCCTGAAGTACTTTACGCAAACAAGCAAATTTAGTCTTGCCTGAACCGGGGATCGAATCCCGGACCTATTGCGTAAGAGGTACCTGCGCTACCGCTGAGCTACATGGGTGGACTTCTATACATATCTCATTATCTGTGTACTGGTCAGCAATAAAATTACATGTTTCTTAGAATGAATGCATTCAACAAATTTCTGAACACAATAGAACTATATTTTTAACTATATCTAGTATCACTAGTATGATCACGTGTATGATAAATGCCCTATTTCCCAAAAGTACACGTTTTAAAGAGAATAAGTGAACAACTCTAGTAATTCAATAATTTAAAAAGAAAAGAATAGTTGACAAAATGACTTTGAGTATATCTGTCAGACAGACTATATGTCAAATGAACAGATTAACATGTATATAATATGCTTATACCAATACTTAGAACTAAATGAACTAAGCAGATGAAGCTGTATTATGGGAACATCATTTGCTCAAAATATTATATAAAAACACTGAACACATGGAATACAAAATTATGAACATGTAACGTTCAATTCTGTTGAAACCTCTCTGAAACTTTATGCAAAATTTGCAATATGAAACAGGAGTACTCCTGAAATTGATGCTTAAATACAGATTTATATTAAGGATCTTTCTCACCAATTTCATCTAAAATGGAAAAAGTAAATGGGAAACAAATGGAATTATAACTTAAACAGCATTTTTTATATAAAAAATATGACAAAACAACTGAACCATAAAGGCTTCAAGTTCATTTGTACACATGCGCATTGCATCCCAGTTAGTAATTCCAATATGAGTATGAATAAAAATATCGTGATATTCTGATTTTGAATTATTCCTGTGATGTCTGAATGAAAAAGGGTAACTATGTATTTATATTATACATTATCCTTTCACCTCACCTGTCATAGTTTCTTCTCTCTTTTTAAGTTCTTTGTACTTCTGATTTCTTTCACCTATAACAATAGTAAGCAACATGTAGTTAATATAAATTCCTCCATTATATATTAGGTCTCATTTTACTTCTAACATATTAAATTTGTCATAAAGTCTCATAGTGCCAGCCTCCAACTTTACTTGAAATGGACAATTTGAGGAATGACATACTGTTCAAGTATTGTTTTTACATGAGAATCAATGATCTTTAAGATACACAGAAAATACCATTACATGTACTTAATGTCACTGTTATTCAAGTTTAAGTTAGCATCGCAGATATCATATAGAGTTGATCAAATTGCAACATTAATGGTTATTAATATTTTATAAATGTACCGTCAAATGAATTATTAGCTTGGTTGGTTGCATAAAATAAATCAATTGCAATTGAAGATCAGAATGTGTTTGGTGATTGGTTTTGAAGCATCTAAATGCCATTTTCAAGATACCTTGAAGTTGAACATTGATTTTTCGAAACAAATTATTCTGACAGGTGCTCTTTACCTTGGTTTTCTTCTATGTCCATATCAAGCTGTCTGATCTCTTCTTGGAGATTGCTCACCTTTTCTCGGATCTCATTGCACCTGGAAGAAAAATATCAGATGTACATGGAGTATGTGAACAAAATTCATAACAAAATTCCCTGATATTTCTCTGACATTTCCAGGCAATAAAAGGAAATTTCCAGATTTAATTTTGCTTGCAAAGTCTCCAAAAAAGTCTCAACAACTGTTGATAAAATAATAATAATTATCTTTAATTTAATAAATAAAAGGTATACTTTAATTTTATCTATTTTTGGGGGTATTTATTAAATCTTTTTGAGATATTTTTTAATGAACCAAACTTTCCTTTGTATAACTATGATATTGAGAGATCTAAGTACACTGTGTATGTGCCAACAAGGTTTGGATAGCTATTTTATTTCATTCTCAAGAATTGGTAGAAAAAAAAAAAACAAAAAACAATTGCACTGAAAAACAAAAATTGTTAACTAAAGTAATTATATAAAATATATATAAATAGTTTTCACATTAAATTGTTGTCAATCAGTGACAATAAGATACAGGATGTGTTTTTTACAGATTATTTTCGATACTTGATTCAAGAGAAAAACAATGTTGAATTTAGTTCACCATATCGCTACCAATCCTTTGTTTGTTTTTTTATGTCCCATCCTCCTTATATTACCCCAAAACAAAACATGATACATAAAATTAACTTTAAATGGCCTTAGATAATAACTTACTGCTTGGTGAGCCTGGAAAAGCATAATTACAAGTATACTATAAATCGGTACCTTATAAAACCATCTATAGATTCTTTATTGTTTGGTTTCAATGCAATGTTCACACTATTCTAACAAATAGACAGTAAACCTAGAATGTCATTCAATCAACCCTATAGTCGGGTTTGAATAGGAGATAAGTTCACAGAATATTTCAAAAATATATAGAAGCAATCTTAAGGTGGATTTCAAAACTTCATACCATCCTTTTGAGAACCTGAAGTGGCACCAAGCAATCCATTGACTTTTTCACCAAAAATCCAAGATGGCCGCCACAATGTATCGAAAAATCATAAAAATTGACTAAAGTTGTAATTTAATAAGTCAAAATAGTTGTATACTGATCAAACATGACTAAGAATAGTACCTATTAGATGTTCATATGCATTTAAATTCATTGGATCATTTTTGTATGAAAACTGGGGTTCCACAAGGCTCAATTTTATGTCAGCTACTTTTTTTGTCTATTGATTTGCATTGACCATGGCATTTGCACATAGCAGTGGATACTTATTCATTTTTGTAATGTGTGCATCCAGGACCACATTTCACCTTGCACCCATACTTGACCAATGCTTGGCATGCCTTGGCTGCTTGAGGAAGGGATGTCAACAGTGGCACCAGTAGAGACATGTCATACTTCAAGCCCCATGTTGTGAAATCCTATACCAATTTTAGATGGAGATTGTACAGTTGCCCTCAAACAATACCACCTTGGTTAGCAAGTTCTTAAGATTTTCTGAGCAAGGCATCCTTTTGTTGTTGGTATTCTACTATATGGCCATCACAGAACATTCCTGCTGTAATGATATCTATCTGGTTGCTGGTTCGATCATATAATAGAACACAGTAAAGTGTTCTAGGGACTGAATGGCCTGAACTGACAAAGCAAGGTTTGTTGTAACCATTTGTACCACTTGTAAAAAAGTTGGAGTAACTTCAATGAGCACATTCCATAGCTTGAAGGCAGATTTTTTGCTATGGCCAAAGAATGGTGAAGTTAATATAATATAATTTAATACCTGTAATTTTTGAGAGGTCCGAAGGCAATCCAGATTGACACTTATTGCGCCCTTAAATGCTGCAGCCATGGCAAGAGCAACTACATCAGTATCTCAACTTGTGATTGTGAAGTCTTTTACCCTCTGAGGTCATGTTTTATATGAACAAAGAGTCTCGTGTCAGTTTCTTCATGAGTACAAGGTCCAATCATTGCTGTATCTGGCAATTGAGGAAAGCACTGAATAGATTCTCCAATAGATGTTATCATTTGCTTGTCATTAACATCAAACTCAGACATACAGAAATACATTCAGAATACAGCTATAACAATAGTAGGATACACGATATATTCAAATTGGGTCAACCATTCAAACAATTTTGAAAAATACAAAGAAACATGTTTCCTTTCTCTGATTGTGTGTAAATTAAAAAAATTTATCGAAAGTTTGAATATTTCAAAGAACAACAGAATATTAAGGTTAAAAGAAAGACTAAAATGTTTTACTGAGAAATTAAAAAATCCAAATATATAAGGAAAAAAAAAAATCAAACTCAGACAAAGAGTTGGCCAGGAATGCAAACAGCCTAGTCTTGTTCCGTTGATTGTTAGAAAAGCTGGGCAATTCTGAGGCATCGCATTCTCTGCATAAACTATCCTTCTAGCACCAGTGCCACTATGAATCCTTGTTAGGGACTTCTCACTGTTTTGTAGGTAAACATTCCAGACAACATCTAGGAACACCTTCCATAAGCTACCTTAACTTGGGATGAAAGGACCAGTTTCTAGACATTTAAGTAAGTCTGTCTAAGTCACATGGCTCTGTGCTTAGCTAGGGATGACGGGATGCCAATCAAGACACATTGACATGTCTGAGTTTTTCAAACATGAAAACCATGAGTTCTGGCCAGCCCTAGCTAAGCACGGAGCCATGAGACCTACAAAGAAGCAGACTTACTTAAATGTTGAGAAGCTAAGCCAGATGGATCTGAAGTATTGGAAAAAACCTGCAGATGCAATTTTAATAGATGGCACCCTTCTGGTCTATGTGATGCGTCCTGGTGTGGCTACCAACTTCCAAGAATATGCTACCAATGTCTCATCCCAAGTTAAGGCAGCTTATGGAAGGTGTTTCAAGATTAGATGCTATCTGGGATGTCTACCAACAAAACAGTGGGAAGTCCCTGACAAGGATTAATCTTGGCACTGGATGGTTTATGCAGAGAATCCGATGCCCAAGAATTGGCTAGGCTTTCTAAGAAATGGCCAGAACAAGACTAAGCTGTTAGCATTCCTGGCCAACTCTATTTTTGAGGTTGATGTAAATGACAAGCAAATGATAACTACTATTGGGGAATCTGTTCAGTGATTTCCTCACTTGCTAGATACAGCAATGATTGAACCTTGTACTCATGAAGAAGTTGACACTAGACTCTTTGTTAATGTAAAACAGATGACCTCAGAGGGAAAAAAAGACTTCATAATCAGAAGTTGAGATACTGATGTAGTTGTTCTTGCCATGGCTGCAGCATTAGTCCACCCGCTATGGCTCAGAGGCAGAGTCAAAGTTACCAATATCGCTTGGCCCCGGGTTCGATTCCCGGTTCAGACAAGTTTGTTTGTGCGTCATATAATTCTGGGTGTTTGACTGAGTGGTTCATGACTCGTATTATAAAAGGCTATGGTGTGTACTTGTACGTCTGTGTACCTGTGCACACAAAAGAACACAGGCTCCTCCAAGGAGGGGTTTCTGGCTCTGTCTTCGAGTGTAAAATATGTCAAGTACGGATATACCAATGAGGTATTGCTCGACAAATATGGCGGTAACCAAGATATAATAATAATAATTAGGGCCCAAAAAGTGTCAATCTGGATTGCCTTCGAACCCCTCAAAAATTACAGATATTAAATTATATTAACTGCATCATTCTTTGGCCATAGCAAAGGATCTGCCTTCAAGCTATGGAATGTGTTCACGGAAGTTACTCCAGCTTTTCTACAAAAGAGTGGCACAAATGCTTGCAACAAACCTGGTTTTGTAAATTCAGACCATTCAGTCCCCAGACTGTTTTACTGTTCTATTATATGATCGAACCAGCAACCAGATAGATATCAATGCAGCACGAAGGCTAATGCTCTGTGACAGCCATACAGTCATTGACAGAATACCACTAACAAAAGGAGGCCTTGCTCAGGAAATCTTAAGAACTTGCTAACCAAGGTGGTATTGTTTGGGGGCAACTGTACAATCTCCGTCTTAAATTGGTATAGGAGTTCACAACATGGGGCTTGAAGTATGACATGTCTCTACTGGTGCCACTATTGACATCCCTTCCTCAAGCAGCCAAGGCATGCCAAGCATTGGTCAAGTATGGGTGCAAGGTGAAATGTGGTCCTGGGTGCTTACATTTCAAAAATGGATAAGTATTCACTGCTATGTGCAAATGCCATGGTCAATGCAAGTCATTAGACAAAAAAAGTAGCGGACATAAAATTGAGCCTTGTGGGACTCCAGTTTTCATACAAAAATGATCCAGTGACTTTAACTGCATATGAACATCTAATAGGTACTATTATTAGTCATGTTTGATCAGTATACAACTATTTTGACTTATTAAATTACAACTTTAGTCAATTTTTATGATTTTTCGATACATCGTGGCGGCCATCTTGGATTTTTGGTGAAAAAGTCAATGGATTGCTTGGTGCCACTTCAGGTTTTCAAAAGAATGGTATGAAGTTTTGAAATCCACCTTAAAATTGCTTCTATATATTTTTGAAATATTTTCACCTAAATATTCCTGACTACTAGTGGAGAAGATTTCCAATTTGTGGAAAGATTTTGGATTACATTGATAATCTGTCATAACCCTTAAATGTATTTTGCTGAAAGATTTTAGATACAAAATTTTCTGACATTTCCCTGACATATCTACTGTTTCAAAATTCCCTGACTCAAAATTTCCTGACGTTTTTGCCCCTTTTTGCCCCAATTCTAAAATGCCCCGACACTTCCAGCACCTGAAATTATAAACCAATTTCCCTGACATTCCCAAATATAAAAGAAATAAATTAAACAAGTGTGTCTTTAACAATTAGAGTAAACAGTCCAGAACAGAACATACATGTACCTCTCTTACAAAACTTGATCCAAAATCTTGAATCTTTCTTGATATTGAGATTTTGAAATAAATTCCTTAACAAACTATACATGAAAATACATACTGTCTGTCCATGCTTGACATCTCCTGATTGTCTTCCTTTACTTGCTTCAGAAGGCGTTCTCTCTCTTCTTCTGGCGTCCCACTAGATTGAAGCTCCTCCATGATTGAATCTCTTTTAACCTCTAGTTCATTCAGTTGCTCATATAACCTCACAGCCTCTTGCTTTACTGTTGACATGGACAGCTCCTATAACATAAAAAAATTATGATGCTTATATTAAGGTCTGGGGCCTGTTTTTTAATCCAAACTGGATCATCCAAAGAATGCAAACTGGTTTCATTTGTTTATTGTCTTTAAAATGTCCTTAGGATGATCATTATCATTGTTCTAGTTTGGAATAAGGCACCTTGCCTCTTAGGTTACAGAAGGGGAATGGGGCAATAATACACTCTGGAACACATTGTCAAAATGGAATTTTAAATGTAAAACTTAAAGTATGGATATTTCCCACTCAGCTCATTAAACTAACCTCCTCTAGTTCTGCCTTCTTCAGATCCAGCTGGTCAACTTCTTGCTGTCCATTCTCAAGCTGTTTAAGTAGATGTTCGTTGAGGTCTTTTAATTGTAGGTACTTGTCCCTCATTGCTGGTTTCTGCAACATTTAAGTACATGCAAAATCAGGCTTTGAGTACAGGGTGTATATGACAAAGCAAAGCATTTTGTGATTGGTAGATACAGTACATTGTATACTTTCTAAAACTATACATTTGTATAATCCAGCATACCCAGAAAAGAAAAGAAAGTTTTGAGACATTATTAAATATATTCTGAAATGTAGTTGCTTTGAAAAAATCTATTCCAGGTCAATCCAAACTTTTCCTGTACTGCTGGCGTTTAATTATTTAACAAATAATTTGATTAACTTTTGATTAACAAGCATTGTTTTTCAGAATGCTTACATTAATAAATGTATTGTATTTTTGTTAGTGTATCTTACCATATCTGCTACTAGATTATCTGCCATTCTTTTCTCTTGTTCTAACTCAACCTCAAGTTTATGAATCTGACCCTCACGCTCTTGTTTCTGGAGAAACAGAGCATCTAAATTTTTGGCCTCTTTTTCATTTGAAGCTTTCAGATCTGCGAGGTCCAATTGGATATCCTGTATATCTTCATCTGTGTTGAGTTTATCAACTAGGGTGTTATAATCTCCCAGTTCAGCCTGTAGGTCTTTGATTTCATTGGCCAGAGATTCTGCACGCTTTTCATACGTCAAGTAACTTGAGCTTTCTTCATAATTGACGTCAACATCTTTGCTGAGTCTCGCTACTTCTTGTGTTAACTCCGTTGTCTTGCTCCTGGAAAACATTAAAAATGAAATATAGTTCAACTTCATCTTACTTTTTCTAAAAAAGACTGAGTTTGTGAGGGGCTGAAACTTCATTGGACTCTAAGTGAAATATTAAGTGCTACATATTTCATCAAATACATTTATTAAAGACTTCATCCAATTTTTTTGTATACTTTAAAGTCATCAGGCCATAGGTAGAGGTACTACAGTACATGTATTTGTGTTCCTCGATGTTAATGAAATAGAATATGGATATAAAATATGAACTCAGTAACAGGGGAAAGGTTATAGGGGAAAGTAAAAAGCAAAATGATAAAAATCAAAATACATCTTTTTTTAATGAAGTTCATGATGAATCAAGTATAACAAAAATCAACTAAAATAAAACTTTTCCTTGATTAATTGGTACATGATATCGTACTGAATAGAAAAGGTAAATGCACAAACCTGAGTAGTCCCACAAAGTAAGATTTGTCCTGCACTTGTCTGTGAGGTCCTAGAAAATCATACAGCATTTTACAATATGAAAAACACACATTTTACAAGCTGCCTTAAGTCCTCAATCCTCATTTTGTAATCCTAATCTATAGCTAGAAGTATGTGTGCTGTAATAATCCCATTTTGCTTAAAATTTGTTCTTTTCTAAATTCATTTTGGATATCACCTATTAACCCATGGGCTTTCAACAGACTCTTAAAAGTCCATGATTAACCTAATGAACATTTTGATGTAAGAAGAAATTGATATCGTTCATTGGATGCACCTGCTTCATTGATGATTGAAGAATAATCTCTCATTTAAAGAATGGAGACAAAGTTAACCTATTATGAACATGTAAGAATATCATGTACCTTTTGCTCCAGTTTTTAAGCCACCAAGGCCTTGCTGAGTTATGGGCCTATCTGATACTTGAAGGTTGGTGGTTAGGGCTGAAACAGTAAAGTTATATACACTGTTCATGTACATCGACTAGTGATACTTAGTCAAGAATACTATTTGATTTTAAACAAATTACAGGGTACTAGCCTTGCCCAAGTCAGTCTCTTTTACTTATCTAATTCAAGATCAGATAAGTAAAAAAAATACCGACTCGGGCAAGGCTAATAGGGTACATGTAGTACAAAAATTCCTTCTAATAGTTGAACTGATTCAGTTACACATGCACAGTAGTTGGTGCTTCTTAAAACAGATTATTTGATTTTAAATAATTTGTACTAGAGTTCCACGAATATACAGAAGTTGAATGCATATCCACGGTTTGAAATTCACTTACACATGCCTGCTGCTTGCTGTCCTCCTTTTGTTCCGGGCCTAGCCATGCCAGATGTAAGACGACTAGCTGTACCTGGGGGTCGCCCTGAGGCAGTACCTGGTGGCCTACCTGCTCTCATTATTCAAGTTTGATGTTGCTATGGTAGACTTGAAGGTAGATTTGTAACTGAAATACATTCAAATGAATATGATCACTTTGGTTAATTTTGTAAATCGATTACATTGACTCAAAAACTTGAGTGAATGTATTCAGCGAATTGAGATTGCTGAAACGTTTGTCACCTAGGAAAGATGTCGCAAATGAATGTTAAAATCTAATAAAACTCAATGTATAACCAGAGCCCAAAAAATCAACTTTAACGTAACACACAACTAGACATCTCCACAACTGCACTTCAGGGTAAGTTTAGGCGCACTACTCGATAAAGCCCAAGCTCATAGTCAGCTGACAGCACCATCAATAATAAAGACCTATCCGTCCAATGAAATAACAAGATAATCCAGTGAATTGAACTAGAAAAATATGAAGGCCATATGCGGGCCCAAAGGGCAATATGACGAATATGCTATGGAGAAAACTGATCCACAGAGAATAACAATGAACAAACAAAATGCTTGTTTTGTTGTTGGTTAGGTAATAGAGACATTAAGCTGACATATAAAATTGAAACGTCAACCTGTATGTATGAAATCACCCTTTACTAATGCATGTAGTTTTCTCAAATGTAATCGTTGGGTTACAGTGTTTACTTATTCCATTACTTAGAGCACACCGCGGCGTGTAATATGCCATTGTTAGTTATATAGCTGGGTTTCTATGATACATATTCTAAACAAGCTCATTTCATTAAAAAAAGCTAAAGCATGTATGACACATATCATTTTCTTCTGAAAGCATTATACTGTACATTGAAATCAAAATTGCCAGAATGTTATTCAACAGACATGAGTATAATTTACTCGAGTCTCTAGCCAATTCCATCTGGAACACCGTGAACTATTGTAAAATTTCTAGTCAGGGTTCAATAACTTTAAGTTAATAACAGTCATGTCAATATTTCATGAATTGAAATGGAACTGGCTGGGCTCCTTGATGAGATATTGCATGATTTCTTCAGGATTTCGTCTAAAATTAAAACAAATGGCTCCAAGAAAAATGGTGATATTCAAAATCTGGACGAATTATCGTCAACGTCTGAAATTAGTAACTAGCTGTAAATTCTTAGTTAGCGATCCAGAAGATGTGAACTAATACATTGATCACTTCATGTGTGTTTTGGAATTTTTGGTGAGGTAATAAGAACAAAACTCGCGATTCAAATTGCGATGTAGAAAAATGGTGAACATTTGATTTTTATGATTACTACATGACCCTTACAAAAACATGCAGGGGTTTATCTTTGGACAAAGGCCACGATATAGTGGCCTTAGAAGAAGGTAAAGTATAATGATTCCTGTTGACAACAACGTGAACTTGAAAATTTCCTGTTCTAAACACAAAATTATAAGCTGATCGGGTATCTGAAGTAGACTACTTAGCTCTTGAATTGTATGCGCGCTATATACACTACTGCATTGATTTATGGACTTTGCGTTTTCGGTTACGTTGTGAAAAACATTGCCATTCTCTATTATGTTAATGATGTCACATAATAATATAGAATCAATAGTGATGTGTGACATCACGATTATTTGTTTCTGTATAGTTCCTTGATGGTAAATATGTGACTGACATCATAGTCTTATAATCACAATCACATCATTTGACACTTTGGCAGTTGCTTGATGGTTTGCCATATAAGCTAATAAAGGCGGGACTTAGGTCACGTGAATGGTCAAAGCCTATTCCAAAGTACGAAACTACGAAGGGCACCACTTCGTGGGGGCCTTTGTAACAACCTAGTAGCTAGGCTTAAGTTAGGCCAGCCCTAGATCAGATCTAGTCTAGCCCTAGCCTAGTTTACAGTGCTGACAGTAAGTAACAAAGGGTGGGTTTTAAAACTAAAGAGAGTGTTCCTACCAAAATGGATTTGCCTATATACCCCTGAGACTCTTATCTGATGGATAGAAAGCACAAATAAAACAAAAGTTTTGCTATTATAGGTAAAAAGCTCTCTTAAATTTCAAAGTGATTTTACCTGTTAATTCTGTTATTGGTCAACCATTTTTGCAGAAGTTACACTGAAATACAAACTCCATGAACTGAAACGAAATCACTACAAAAAAATGGCACACACAGTGCGCAAGCGCACTAAAGTTAAAACCAATCAGATTATTTGATTATTTTGCGCATATGAATTACATGTATTTGCTTCTGAGCATTTACCATAAAAGCTAACCACAATAAAGAAACCTGGCGAAGATTACCCTTACTTCATTTTAGCGAAATTTCAGCTGGAACTCGTGACAAATGCATTGTGTATATGCTGGTAAGAAGCCTTGGAGGCACTCATTTTGATAAATATGATTTATGGTTTACACTTTTCTGCAGTTTGGGAGAGTTTGGGACATTAAATGTTAGAATTCAAGAAAATATGTGACTTATACGACTTATCAATTAATTTGTATCAGCAATCAGCATTGTAGAAATTGAATTTGAAATCAGGAGAAATGATCAAATATTTTACCTTCTTCTAAGGCCACTGTATTGTGGCCTTCCTGGAAAGATAATTTCCTGCATGAACAATTGGTCATGTCGTAATCATAAAATTTGAAATCATATGTCCGCCATTTTTCCACATCACAATTTGAATTGCGAGTTTTGGTCTTATTACCTAACTAAAAATTCCAAAACACACATGAAGTGATCAGTGTATTAGTTCACATCTTCTGGATCGCTAACTTAGAATTTACAGCCAGTTACTTATGTCAGACGTTAACGACATTTCGTCCAGTTTTCGAATATCGCCATTTTTCTTGGAGCCATTTGGTTTTAATTTTAGACGAAATCCTGACGAAATCATGTCATATCTCATCAAGGAGTGAGTAGGTTGCGATTTAATTGATGATTTATTTATCTTGCGATTTTTAAAATATTCAATAAAGTTATGACACTGCGGCCAGCTTTTTTCAAACGGAGTTCACAGTATTCCAGATGAAATCACCTCTAGACAAGTACTGGCTAAGCTTAGAGACTCGAGTAACAAATAGGGCTAGCCTATTCACTCACTTTCTTCAGATTCAAATCTTATCAGAAATGATGAAATTTTATTTAATTATTACATATTCATACATCAAAATGATAAAATAATTGCAATATATACTTACATTACAAAGCTAACGTATATTTGTCGTCACTTTGCGAGTAATTTGATGAAAAGTTGAAAATTGAAAATATTTTGGTTTCCTGGCAAAAAATGCCCGCGTTGCATTCTGGGTAAACTTGACTTATTTTCGGATACCTTGCCTACTGATTTAAACGCGAAATCACACCTAACTTGTTCATTTGAAAAGTTTTGATTATGATCATTCGCCCAAATGATTTGATTTCAGTATCACTGGTTCAAATTGAAGTCATAATAAGCCCAAAAACAAATATTTGGTTATACTTTACCGAGAATTCGAAACTATATCCGAAAATTAAACCACTTTGGAACACTTCCTGTAAAATTTGAAATTTTTATTTTTTATTTTGATGGATAGTTTGTGCCATTTCATCTTAATTCCCATTGCAATTCTTACTTTCGATGTTGGTCCGGCTTTTTCTAAGAAAGGTACGTCCCTAAGTCCCTACTTACTGTATCTCTTTCCAAAAATGGCGAGGGTTATTCTTTATTTTTGGAATGATGAGAGCTGTTTCAGTGTAGAGCCCATGAAGTGACCAAGTGCTTCGTTAGGCTATTTAGGAGATGGTTTTCAGAAAACATACTATGATAGCAGTGTTGTGCTGCACAGGTGGTAAATGCATCGGTCGGTGCATATGCAACTACCGGCACTAACATCGGCACACTCATTTGCACCGCGGTGCATTACAAGAAAGCAAATAAAAAAGTACTGGTGGAGCCCTGACATCAATGTTTTGTTTAATTATCTAAAAAGTATTCCGCTCGTCAATCCAAAAATTGATTTATTTCTAAATTTTGGCCATATTCTTCAATTTTTGCTCAAGATATACTGTAAGTTAGGCCATAAAGGCATTATATCTTGCCTACCTTTCGTCAGTTCACCACATGAAAGTGAGTAGAATTCCGTCAAATGAAATAAATCAACATTTCTCTGCATTTTTCCTTCTAAATCTGACGAGCCGAACGATTCTTAGAATGTGACATCACCAGACAGAATGGACTCTACCGCAGCTGCCATCTTTCAATAGAACATTGAATAAAAGTATTTTACCCCTGTTAGATTAACTCGCCCAATATTTTGAAACCTGACGTCACTCAAATACAGGGCCAGGAGAATTTTTGTGGAGAAAAATGACCGACCTGTTCTTCGATGTTCGTATCGTTTTTCGAGTATTTTTGTTCATAGCTGTGAAATGGATAAAAACACTCGGCCATAAAACTGTAAAATGTAAGTAAGCTGAATGATTAAGAAGGAATACTTGAACTTTTTCAGAAAAATAGATTTTTGATGGACGAACAGCATACTTTTTAGAAAATAATGCTTGTGATCCGGATAGTGCGCCAATGTCAGAGCTAATAGATGCATCAAGGGATGCAACTTACCATAGGCTTGGGTCAACAGAAATAATTTTTAAATAAAGAGATGATCGATCTATTGATAAAATTATAAATGGTACTTGTTCTTCATAGCTTACTTTCAATTGTAGCATTTGATGTAGAGTACAGTGTATGTATTGAAAATTTGATATTGCAGATGGGCTGAGGTTCAGAGATCTACCCGTATCTCTCCTGCTGCACCATATTGAACTCTCTCATCACTTACCTTGCTGTGTCTTATACAGGAATAAAGGTTAGTACTCACAGCCTCTGAAGACTGATATCCAGTTATGATACAGTAAACCTTTGTATCCTTCAAGTGCACATCTTTCATCTGAATACTTGTCAGCGTGAGTCTTGTTTTAGGAAAGCCACTTATATGTCACATTTTTATGTCACCACCAAAAAGAGGTGACTTATTGTAATGGTCTCCGTTTTTTGTGATTATGTCACCACCAAAAAGTCTACATATTGTTATGGTCTCCGATTTTTTTTGTGACAGTTGGCGATCGGTGGTTGGCCATCGGCGGTTAGTCATCAGCGGTTGGCGTCGTTAACAAATTCTTAAAACTTCCAATAAACTTAACAAAAACTGTTTTGACTGACTTCAGTTTTTTTCAAAATCATCTACAAGTTTTCAGATGACCTTCAATGACCTTTTCAACTGCCCTGTCAACCCTCACGCATTAGACGTGATTGTCACGCATTTGCTGGAAAAATAGAAATCACGCATAAATTTAGCGTGTATGACCAAATATCACGCAAATCATGCATTTTGTTGATATTTTTAAAAATCGTTTTTTGTGAAATGCCGATAGAGTAAAATACCAAACGGCGAAAAAAAGCGAACGCATTCCGTTCGGTTTTTGCACGCGATTGCCGTTTATGTCACACATTTTGTAGAAAATATGTGTATATATCACGCATTTGTTTCGAAAAAATTTACACCTACTCCCCCTACTCCCTACTCCCCCAATTTTTTTTCAAATCATCTAGAAGTTCTCAGAAATTCAAATTTGACCTTCAATTACCTTTTTAAGTTCAAAAAGGTTTTTTTCAACTTCAAATTGACTAATTTTTTTTCAAAATCATCTACAAGTTCTCAGAAGTTCAAATCTGACTTTAGATTGAACTAATAATATTATGAGCAACTAGGTGGTGACATTTTGTCATGTTAATGCCTTGTTTCAAAATTTCACCTGTTCACCCGTGCCTTTTTACTTCAGGTAAAGGCTCTCAGTTAGAGTCTGAGCTCTACAAATTCTGGCAGGAAAAAGACCAGAATGATAATGCCACATATAACAACTGGCAGCTTGGTAGCTTTGCAGTCCAAGTAAGTAAACTCATGGGGGTTAATAAGTACATTCATGAACATCATGAACATCATGAACATCAGTGTTCTCCCCAAAAAAAATTTTCAACTGGGTGCAAGATTTCAAGTCCGAAAAAATCAGCACTCGCTACACTCACAATATCTCAGTGTAGGTGCTTACTTCACTCATTTTTCAAATCAGAAGTTGAAATTTTATTGATGCATTGTAGGCATCTTTGAAATAGGCCCAAATTAAAATGGCCTCCATGATTACAAACTATAATGGATTGTCATACACTGCATCAATACAATTCAAATGTAGCTTATAGGCCAGTAATTTTGACATTAAGTTTCATTTGAAAAATGGTCCAAGTTCATATTGTAAGATGAATTGGTTACAGGCTCATCCAGATTTGAGAGCTGTACTGTAAATATATGCATTTCTTCCATTATCCACGATTCTCGGTTTGGAGAACAGTCTCCTGGGCTAATAATTTTTTTCATGAAAAATATAGAAATATTACCCAAATTAAACTATGAATATTCAAAAGAGGACATTTAAATCTACAAGACGTAAAAATAACAAATTGGTCTGAAGCAGGGGTAACGCTCAATTAGACCGATTCAATAAAATACAAGTCTCGATTTCGGGAAAGAAGTTCATTAGTGTACTGCGCTAATATTTTTTTGCGAAAAATATAGAAATATTACCTAAATTAAATTATGACTATTCAAAAGAAGACATTCAAATCTATATTATGTAAAAAAATCAAATTCGTCCAAAGCAAGGATAATGCTCATTTAGATTGATGAACTTTGTTCTCCAAACCGAGAATCGTCCTTACCTATGTAAACCCAGATTTCCTCCCGATTTATGTTATTATAAGCCATTCTGATTTTCTCCAGATTCTTCAGCCCAATTTTCTCTCAATCAATTCCGATTTTCTCCCGATTTATTTGTAGATATCCCGATTTTCTCCAGACTTTTTAGAATTATTGATTTAGTATTTGTAACCCCGATTTTCCTCTTCCTTTAAAATGTCCCGATTTCAGCTCTGCCTCGTGTGATATTTTATCCCTCAAGGTGAAATAAGGATTATGTACTGGGTGGAGGTTTTGGATACAGGGTTTATCCCAAGGGAAATATGTAACATTCCCTCAAAATATACTTTGGTAGCGTGGTTAAAAGAGAGGGAGATGTTATTGGTTAAAATTATGAACTTTATTTTTAGTTAATTATGGGGGGTGTAGAGAACTAGGACAAATCTTGTAAAAATGAACTCAGAACAGAATAATTTATATCAGGATAAGTTGCATAACGGGTCACTAAGGGGTATTATCATCGCTCACTTCACCTTTCTGTTTACATTATTGAACAAAACAGAATAATTAAGTTTGGTTATATAATAAAAGAAGAGTATATATTTTGATATAAGTAGAAGAGTACAAAGTGGTTTTGATTCATAACATTATTCATTATACTAGGGAACAATAAATCGCTTCCAAATAAATAAAATCTTCAACATTACAATAATACAATACTTTGAACATCACAATAATACAATATATGAGATATTGCAATAAGTACCATTGCCAACTAAACAATACGGGTTATTTACTGAAATGGATAAATCTCATACGATTATAGTTCGAAATAAGTTTCATACTAAAAGAAAGATGGCAGTGTTGTATGTCGGCATTTCTCAATCAATATAACTGGAATATTCATACCCCCTCCCTCAAAAGTTATGGGTTATAAACAGCTAATTCATGACTTGGAATTGCACCGGTTTGAAGGTTCATCTCAAATAAATCAGAGAATCCTCTATTTCAGGATGCGTCAGAAATGTGCTTCTAGTATATAATGACGGAAGGGGGGGGGGGGGGGGCGGTTAATGGCATTCATAACACGGGACATGTTATCTGTACAGGAATGATGAAAACAGTGTTCTGATGGTTTAATTGTATCAAAACCATCAAATATAGAGTGATCTCACAAAATAGCAATGAATAACACTAGAACAATAAGTGAGAACTGACTAAACTGTCTGAATTATCTGGAATTGTCTTAAATTGTCTGGAATTGTCTTAAATTGTCTGGAACCTCTCTGGATTTGGGCCAAGGATCAGGTTTCCATCAAAACTGGGCTATTTTGAGGTTTAAAGGGGACTCTTTGGGTCTAAACTGGTGTAATTGTCTCATCTGAGACAAAATAAGGGTAAAAGGTATCATAATTGACTTAACTGGATGCAAAAGTCATAATGCCATGTGCATTATATAGGCCTATAAACTTTCAATGTCCACTATCATATCGAACTCCCAACGGAATCTCAGAAAACATATCTCCAATTGAAGATAATGTTTTGCCCAATACAAAGACATAGTTACCTAACGCCAATAGAGTCGAAATACCGCAAAATCGATCAAAACGCAGGAGATATATCCATAACAGCCTTACAGTTGAAATCTAAACAGAACACAAACCAAACTTCTCTACTGAGGATAACCTTACGCCGAATTACTATACTAACTTAACAGATAAAAGTATTTTATACCTAATACTCCAAAATTGAAATATGATTAACATAAATAAACATGTTTTAGAATCTATGATAAAAGTAAATTGCTTATAATTAATGCTAATTACTTGATCAAATACTGGGACTATATTCTGCACTATTTGCAGTTAAAATATCAATACGCCATCACTGAAAAGTATGTATTTGGAGATTGGCATTCTTCTTGAGAGTAAATATCAGCTGATATAAACATTCAACTTATAAACAATTAAAGTCAAAATCTAATTAAATATAGAGATAATTACAGTAACAGCACACCAAATAATAAGATAAATTATGCTATAAGTGTATCTGAATTTGGTGGGTTGTTACACAGCTTCCCTCTTTAATAAGTGTTCGACCCGAACACGCTTAAAAAATAAGAATATAAGTCATTAATATTTGTTATCAAGTCAGCACCTGTGTTATAGCAATTCACACTGTCTTTTTTATCTACATATTGCTGCATTCTTCTCCGGAGCTGCAATATCAAAGTTCAACAGTTCATTCACTGCAGTTTATTATCTGACATCAATCTTGTCAATGCACCAAATGTTCAAACTTCATGCATTTGAGATTATTTCTCAGTGTTCTTTAACGGTCGGTAGATTCCCGTAAAAATATATGAGAGGTTGACAGGTCTGTAAATTATGTTGAATCTTCAGCTTGCATCTGGTTAAGTTGACGTCTTCTGTTCTGCATCCCTGAAACATTGCTACACAGACATCCTATCGTGAAATAGCAATACGCCAGAAAGTAAACCAATAACGGGACATGGTCACACCATCGGTACATAAGCCAAATTTTCATATTCTCACAAATAAGAATGGATATGAGGGACATTGGACACATCTTCTCAACAACAGGGGCAATGAAATCATCAACTCATTTCTACGGGGATTATGATACCTTAACAGGTGATCAATCTAGGATAACACGTAAAATTGGGATAAATATTATTTCATTCATTTCCAGGTATCTCGGGACATTGGGATTTTCCTATGGGACATCCATTCTTATCTGGTGTAACTTGGACTTTTGGATTGATAATGAGGTTCTGTTTCATAGAAACAATATATATTCAAGTTTCATAGAAACCTTTTAATTTGAATTCTATTTGAATTCTTTTACCACGGGCGGGACTAATGGCTCCATCTTTTGGAACTATATGGAATAATGGGACAGCTTGTACTATCAAGCGCTAATCCGGTCTTTATTAAAATATTACTTGTCTGTATTTGGTCTACTTGAACAACATCCACCTAGTTAATTCAATAAGAACAATGTCTGACTGGTCCGGGACTATTTATATTCTATAAGAATATAATATTTACATTATGTACACTGTCTAAGGGGCTATTCTAACCAGTCTCCAGCTGGCTGTACCTTAATTACTACCTTGAATTCTTTACCCAAGGCAGCGAAAGTTTTGGGAAAAGTATCCTTTTTACATCGATGAAATTGCTGATTTGTAGAAAGACAATGGAATCTGACGGAGTTGCTATTTACAAAAAGCCACAGCAATACATTCAATACTTGGGGCGGACTTGGATTTCCACTGTTTCAGGACATTCAACCCAGGCGGGGGCAATAACAATGCTTTAACGAGGTATGCTGGTCTTTTCTTTAAAGACAACAAGCTAGCTTTCACATCAACAACAGTCTCATGACTTTTCAGGAAGTCAAGACCCAGAATGCATGGATATTAAATTTCAGCAACATACATAGACTGTTGGAAATTAACCCCCTACATGACAGATATTTAATAATCAATTTTCCGTGGGTGGGTAACTGACTACCATTGGCGACAGTTATGGCCGTAACTGCCTCGCTATCTGAAGGGACCTTATAAGACCACTTGGCCTAACTTATATGTACATGACTCTTTGTCAATACACTTACTTTAACCCCTATTTTCAAACCAAACATTGCCTAATCATATAGACAATACTACCTAACTTATAGGCAATAACACACCTGAATTTCGTATCATCGGCCCCTTTGACTATTTACAAAGATCTCATGTGGGCTGGGATGAGATCTTACTTACTGGGATTATACATTTTATTTATCTAAATAACAGAATAACAGCACCTGAATGCTCAACTTCTCGGGTCGCTCTGGTGTACGCACTGAGGTCAGGACATGTGCCATGTTCTGTTGGTGGAGAGACAACAGAATTAGTTATAATTGATGCCAGGGGTATTGACAACATGGACTATTGGGGATTTGGATACAGTGTGGAATATATCACATCTCATGACTGATATTATTGGACACAGTCTGTGACATACTTGGACTTAAAGGTAACATTTACATGGACGTTCATTGCCTCGTATGAGTATGCGCATACCCAAGCTATCTCTTATACGTTCATCATGCCCATCATGACAAACAAGAAGAGAAACTCACAAACAAAGAATGGACGGGGATATTAATATATCATGATAATCTGTCACAAGGGCCTTTATTGGCATCGTTCAAGTATCAATGGTTTCACTGTATTGGAATTATATGGTATGCAAGGTGGGGAAAACATACCATAAGGGTGTATAATGGAGGTGGCCACTATAACAGGAAGTAGATTTAAGGAAAAACTACTTCATCAATCAAAAGGGACAGTCCCTATGGTAGGCTATGGGGACTGGGTGGTCTGTATAGTTTCATTGTAGGTAACTAAAAACGGACATAGAATCACAAAAATCGTGGATCTTGATAGGGCGGGACCTATCAAAATTCCAACGCTGCCAGCCAGTGTAACATTCCCTCAAAATATACTTTGGTAGCGTGGTTAAAAGAGAGGGAGATGTTATTGGTTAAAATTATGAACTTTATTTTTAGTTAATTATGGGGGGTGTAGAGAACTAGGACAAATCTTGTAAAAATGAACTCAGAACAGAATAATTTATATCAGGATAAGTTGCATAACGGGTCACTAAGGGGTATTATCATCGCTCACTTCACCTTTCTGTTTACATTATTGAACAAAACAGAATAATTAAGTTTGGTTATATAATAAAAGAAGAGTATATATTTTGATATAAGTAGAAGAGTACAAAGTGGTTTTGATTCATAACATTATTCATTATACTAGGGAACAATAAATCGCTTCCAAATAAATAAAATCTTCAACATTACAATAATACAATACTTTGAACATCACAATAATACAATATATGAGATATTGCAATAAGTACCATTGCCAACTAAACAATACGGGTTATTTACTGAAATGGATAAATCTCATACGATTATAGTTCGAAATAAGTTTCATACTAAAAGAAAGATGGCAGTGTTGTATGTCGGCATTTCTCAATCAATATAACTGGAATATTCATACCCCCTCCCTCAAAAGTTATGGGTTATAAACAGCTAATTCATGACTTGGAATTGCACCGGTTTGAAGGTTCATCTCAAATAAATCAGAGAATCCTCTATTTCAGGATGCGTCAGAAATGTGCTTCTAGTATATAATGACGGAAGGGGGGGGGGGGGGGGGGGCGGTTAATGGCATTCATAACACGGGACATGTTATCTGTACAGGAATGATGAAAACAGTGTTCTGATGGTTTAATTGTATCAAAACCATCAAATATAGAGTGATCTCACAAAATAGCAATGAATAACACTAGAACAATAAGTGAGAACTGACTAAACTGTCTGAATTATCTGGAATTGTCTTAAATTGTCTGGAATTGTCTTAAATTGTCTGGAACCTCTCTGGATTTGGGCCAAGGATCAGGTTTCCATCAAAACTGGGCTATTTTGAGGTTTAAAGGGGACTCTTTGGGTCTAAACTGGTGTAATTGTCTCATCTGAGACAAAATAAGGGTAAAAGGTATCATAATTGACTTAACTGGATGCAAAAGTCATAATGCCATGTGCATTATATAGGCCTATAAACTTTCAATGTCCACTATCATATCGAACTCCCAACGGAATCTCAGAAAACATATCTCCAATTGAAGATAATGTTTTGCCCAATACAAAGACATAGTTACCTAACGCCAATAGAGTCGAAATACCGCAAAATCGATCAAAACGCAGGAGATATATCCATAACAGCCTTACAGTTGAAATCTAAACAGAACACAAACCAAACTTCTCTACTGAGGATAACCTTACGCCGAATTACTATACTAACTTAACAGATAAAAGTATTTTATACCTAATACTCCAAAATTGAAATATGATTAACATAAATAAACATGTTTTAGAATCTATGATAAAAGTAAATTGCTTATAATTAATGCTAATTACTTGATCAAATACTGGGACTATATTCTGCACTATTTGCAGTTAAAATATCAATACGCCATCACTGAAAAGTATGTATTTGGAGATTGGCATTCTTCTTGAGAGTAAATATCAGCTGATATAAACATTCAACTTATAAACAATTAAAGTCAAAATCTAATTAAATATAGAGATAATTACAGTAACAGCACACCAAATAATAAGATAAATTATGCTATAAGTGTATCTGAATTTGGTGGGTTGTTACAAATATGTGTATATCCAGAGGGACCGCAGGGACCTACTAAGGTTCTAGGTATATTCTTATATATCAATATTGTCTTTTAAAGTTCCAAAATTCAAAAATACACATTTTCTTAGTCTCAGCAGATCAATGAATTGATAAAATATACAACGTTCGTAAGTTTGAAATATAATCTTTATTTTTTGCGATGGTCTTGGTATCAATTTGATATACAGGCTGTATCCATCCCGCCCCGCTCTTCAGTGATAGATCTCTAGATACAGAATGTATTTCCGCTCGTTATTTACCTAGAACCTTAGTAGGTATGGAATACTTTTCGATATATCACGCCGAGTCTATCATGTAATAATATGATATTTTCTGAAAAGGTATATACAAAAAGACATGTACTGAATGTTTTTACAATAGTTTATTTTACTATAATATACTCTATAATACATATGGAAATATCATAAAATAGAGGTTGTTTAATGGGAGGGGCGGGATGGAAAATGAATTTTCATTCTGAGGGAAAATATGATATTGGCTAAGGAAAATATTGTATTGACTGAGGGTGATGGTCTGGGTATCAATATGATATTTTTCGATATAAAATAAATTAACATATGATGGATCAGTTATCCCTCAACAAAACAACTCTAATATATATGTATGATATACTTTCAATATATAATAAAATAATTTAATAAAATGTATCATTATCAACAAATGCACTGGGCAAACAGTTTTTCATTTTTTTCACCATCCATTGTGGGCCTTAATGTATTGTTATTTAGATCCAACAGCTGCAATGCTTATTTATAAATACTTTTTGTTCAGATTAACTCTAAACAGTGATCCACTTAAGCCATTTTGATTTATAAACCAACAATATATAAGCATTTTTCCTTTTAAGCATTTTCAATACAATGGAATGTTCTTCACATTTTTACATTCTAGGCACACTTGTTTACTAGTGAATTTGCTTCTAGTTCAAATCCGGATTTTTTAATTATTTTACAAAAATTGTCAAAATCGCCTCCTAGTTTCTCCCTTCCAATACAAAGTATGGTAGACGTAATGACCAGGTCTGATGCTTCGCCCAGATAGGCCAACACCTGAAAGATAAAAAAGATGGTTCAAGAAAGACTCTTCAAACACATATATAATTTGTTTGACTTGAGATTTTGGTGTCACTAATTATTTTTGACTGAAGTCTAGTGAATATATAAATTGTATTTATTGCACCATGTCAGAACTTAGCACAAAAGGTGTAATTTTTTTGTTTAGATAATGAGCATGTCCATTGAAACTGTGATTTCTAAAGCATTTAAAATTGTTGATCATTTGTTTTAACATTTATATTCAGCTTATGTAGTACCATATATGCTGGAAGATATGTTATCGAAATCCCCTCTCATTGCAAAATACAGTGTAGTAGTAGTAAAATGGACATACAGTACCGTATTGTTTTAAAATCCCTGTATGTCTCATTAACTAATTGAAAAATTGTCTTCTCTCTCATTAAATCTAGAACAGGCAATAATCGTAATTGGAAAATAATTAATACTGTAAATTGCTTTAATTTGATGCTGTCTATTTTGGGGGACTGGGCAAATTTTGAAATTTTGGCTGCTATTTAATTTGGCAGATTGACCACCATCAATCATATTACTCATCACTTCACAGCTCGCCATCTATAATGCAATTTTATCTCTCCTGGTATCAGATTGTTTTTTCTAAACCAGCAGGAGTCTGCAGATTTTCAGAAATAGTTTGAAATTGACATTTTATCCATGTGTCAATCAAGATTTTCACCAAAGTTTACTTTGCAAGGTAACACAGGGAAAGGGCACTGGATGAAAATCCCCGGGAATTTCATTTTCAGTTTGGCGGTTTCAATCAACCAACCAAATCTGCCAAATTAAAATTGCTGTCAAATTAAAGCAATTTACAGTAACTAGTCTTTTATTTATTTACCTAGGGTTGGTGGGTTTGGTTTAAAGGCCATTATGATTTAGAATTGTGCAAGATTTTCTTACATAGTCTTTCATAATAATGTCACATTTTATTGTTGATTGCAACAGAGTTCATGCTAATCTACATTTTTATATAAGAGTCAATTTACTTTCATATTCTTTTGGCACTGGGGGCAAAAGGTTTTGCACCATATTTTAAGTGGCACCCTATTAAAGATGCCCTTTTAACTTAAGTTTTATTTTAAAGAAGGCTTTAGTTGAATACAAAACTCAAACCAATATTTTATACACTGCATACTTTGATACATTGTATCTTTTTTCAAGAACACCCCTTGATTCTGAAACTTTGCAGTCTTAGTAACCTTTTTCATGAGGAAAAAAATGATATATAACAAGTAACATGATAGGTTGGTAATGCTACATGTATGAGTTAAGAGGGGAGGGGTGCATACATATGAAACACCTTGTATACTCCTTCTGATCCTCCATTGATTCTGCATGACTAGCCATTCTAGTCATTCTACATTACATGCAGCAATACAAAAATACCTGATCAAGAGCCTCAGCACTCATGTTAAATGCTCTGTGCAGGTCAAACCAGCCCTTTTCTTGAACACCTTTCCTTTGCTGGTCAGTTATATGCATTGCCAGCCAGTGGAGGTTAGCATCTTTGAGCGGTCCTAAAATATAATAAACAGTGAATTCAGTGAATGTGCAGGAATTTTTATGCAAAAAGCTACTTTAAATAAAGCTGTGATATGACAAGCTCAAATAGAAAGGTGAATGTACAATTATTGCCATTCACTATTAGCAAACTTAAACAAAGTTAAAGTGGCTTTTGTATGTCAATATTTTGCAATATGAAATCAATTGGTTTAGGGTTGTGGGAAAATACTTTGATTTAATAAAGATGACAGGATGGATGATGCACAAATGACAAACTGCCCAATAATGTTCCATCTACTGTTTGGAGTTTTCATGGAATAATTCTCTGTGCATAACAAGAACATTATCAGCGATTTCTTGACTCACAAGATTTTCTTCGAGTTTATCAAAATAAAAATACTGCATATAAAGTTTGAACCACTTTAGCTTATTATATTAATAGTCCTACCCAATGTTATCAAAGTTTGCTTGGAGAAACTTTGATTTTTTCAAAAACTTTTTGTTCAAAAATTGTGACCTTATTCTAAATAAAATCTTAGTTGTCACAAACATATATTGTTAAGTGATATTTTACCTTATTTTGTTTTGAAGACATAATAGTTTCCATATACAGTAAAACCTGTCTGATGGAATACCTCTCTGTAGGGAAAACCTATGAACAAGGAATGCTTTTCAAAAGAACAAAATATTTTTCCATTGACTTACATGTTAACGGACCCTCTCTGTAGGGAAAACCTTTGAACAGGGAACAAGGAACACTATTTTGGGGCAAATAAGGAAAATTCACCTGTGAACAAGGAATATGGAATATTGGTGATTCTGTATATTCCATTATTATTCAGAGGTGTGAAAGTCTTAAGCCAATATCTGATGCTAAAAAGCTTGGATTAATATGATAGAGATTAAGATAAGCCAATTGTTTATAGGGTGAAGCATCCCACCCACTGTTAATTACCTTGATATATTTTAAAACTAATACAAATCAGTTACTTATTATCATGACACTAATTTTTCCTTTCAACAAACATAATTACATCAGATCAGTTGTGATAATCTAGGGACTGACACAATTGTTTTCTGGAGAGAACAGCTTGATAAGTACATGTGTCATGTTGAGCCAAATCTTTTACTGATCCAAACTTCTAGATTATCAATGATATAAAATGGGGTTGATGAAACTTGAAATCAGTTCTTAGCAACATATCTCTACATATCATATCAATAATAATTTCATCAACTAAACATCATCAGATGCCAGCAGCAACAGCTAAAGCCAAGTATGGAGTCGGCATTGGTACAATCAATCAATGCCCATATATTTACAAATATGCTTATTCTGCAAGTTTGAGTTTGCGGAAAGTGCGGCCCCTCTCTATAGGTAAAACCTCTGAACAAGGAAACTTTCCTCCAGTCCCAAGAGCATTCCCTGTTCGCAGGTTTTACTGTATAGCTTTTGAAATCTCACTAAATCTTGTTTTTCATGAGGTTTTAAGAGATTTGAATATTAGACCTGTAATGTATTACTTTGCCTTCTTTTAAATGGCAAATTTGAATTCAGTGAACTGTTTTATACAAGAATAACTATCATTTTCCATGACTTTTAACTTGGGCCAGATCTCCATTGATGCAATGTTTAAATTCTCTAAAAAGCTTGGTTTATTAGTTTTAACAACCCAAATTTTGAAGATAAATCACAACAAGTATGTTAAAAGGGTCATCACATGATATATCAATCAAGTTTTAAACAGATTCAACCAACACTTTGATAAATCATAAAATAAAGGCCCAAGAAAAAATCTGAATAAAAGGTAGCAGCACTGGTTTTCATTCATTTTTCAGCTATTTAGAAACTATATTATTTGTTGAAAAATAAGCAAGAAATAAACTCAAGAAGAAAAGTGGTTCAGAGAAAAAAGCATGTACATGTATTTTACAGTCAAATAACATGATATTTAGTAAATATTAAGTATACAAGTATTAGGTACACCTATACATGTAATGTCTAATTTTATTCTGTATACAAACGTATTACTACGGTAATCTTTTGGTTTAGAGTTATCATCAATATTGCCACAAGTGAGTGCAGTAAAAGAGTGCATACACTATATATTGATATCAATGAATGGGTAAAATTTTTAACAATATATGTACATTAAGAATATCCTTAATTACCATGTTTAACTGAGCAAATGTTTGGAGGAGGCATCACAAGGGCAGTTTCATTTCCTCCATGTCTTTCTAACCGAGCCAACCTTTCCTCGAGATGCTGTATGAGCACCTCATAACTTGCTTCTCCTGAAATAAGGTTTTCATTCTAAAGGAGTTATTCTGAGGTTTGGGGAACAAAGTTCATCACTCTAATTGAGCCCTGCTTCGGACAAATGATTTTTTTACATAATATATATTTGAATTTCTTCTTTTGAATAGTCTTATTTAATTTGGGTGATACTTCTACATTTTTCATCAAAAATTATTAGCTCAGTACACTGATGAACTTCTTTCTATAAATCGAGACTTGTATTTTATTGAATCAGTTTACTGCACATTATCCCTGCTTCGAACAATTGTGATATTTTTTACATCTTGTAGATTTAAATGTCCTCTTTTGAATATTCATAATTAAATTTGGGTTATATTTCTATATTTTTAATAAAAAAATTATTAGTCTGGGAGACTGTACTCCAAACCGAGACTTGTCCTTTGAAATGTGTAAAATTAACAAATAATATTGATATCACTTATGTTGAAAATATTTTTGTTTGTGTTAGATTATTGGTCATGCAAAATGGAAATATTTTTCTAAAATACAATCAATTATTTATATCTTACCTAGCAGGTCATCTTCCGCAATGCAGCAGTTGACATCTTGGATTCCATGCAATGTCAGTAACACTGATATACGGGCATTGAGTTCAATCAATTGGTCCCTTGTTAGCTGTGACATCTGAAAAATAAATAAATTTTAAAAATGTATTGTTATATTGCATTTGATTTTAAATATTGTTTCTCACAGTTTGAGGTAGATGTATTTAGAAGAATTCGTTTTGTAAGTCAAAGCATTAACGTAGCTACCTTGAGTCCAACGATATCTGAAAAAGGTTTGGAAAATATTCTCTAATATTAGTGACATTTCGAAAATATGCATGCTTACTACAGGGATGATATATAATGAGCAAAAAAACAATTATAAAATTACAGTATGACCTTATTGAAAAGTAAACTCATCTTTATTCTCAATTCTATTGTCACCTTTAAAGTTTTAAGTTGCTCTTGGATGAATACTCAAAAAACTTTAAGATTGTGTGCATTCTTTTTGCGTGATTTATACTCTATTGATTAACAAAACTCTATTAACTATATTAACAAAACACAGTTCTTGAAAACAAGAAATCGTGTGTGAAAATTCTCACAATCTTTCTCGATTTATGTTTGCACACAAGCTTATTATAAGAATTAAAACACTGCTGAACTCAAGATTTCCGTAAGAATGCATCAATGGTGATGTTTCTTGAGTGTCTAAAATTGTTATATTAAACCTCAGGTGCGTGTTCTTACTTAAACAAAAAAATCTTTCCCATTCACACCCAAAATGGTTGACTTTTAAGTACCGGTTCCGGCATGCGCATGAATATGCGCATTGATGTCTATTGCAATCGGTGATTAACATAATATATTCATGAATGCTTGGCAATCGATTTACTTGGCGTCCATGTTCTTTCAACAAGACCCTTATGACTGTTTGCTTAGGAGTTCTTTTTTCGATTTTATTGATTTTATTATGTAGTCTGTCTTCGTACTTCATTTCTTTTTAATCCCTCTCCCATATATATTACTTAACATTTTTAAACAGTAACTATTCCATAATTTTTTACTTCAATGTAAGGAGGAAATTGTGATTTTTGATTCAATGCCTAAATATTGAAAATACAGTGTCATATTTTTTGAAAATAGTACATTGGTTAGTGGTTACATTACAAATGTGCTTTTTATTGTGTTCTCTTTTTAAACCAAATGTGATCTTGAATATTTGAAATAGTACATTTACTATGTTTTAGCTTATTACAGGAAATAAAGAACAAGTAAATACTTACACATTTCAAAAAGGATTACATCCATCTTTGAGGTTCTAGGTTCTACTAGGTCGCATTTTCCTCCTCTATATCCTCTATCATTCTCAAATATAAGTCGTATTTCTTTTTGTGCCTTAAATATTGTGTGCTGATGAATGCGGAGTGGAAGAGTTAAGCAGTAACTGCACGATCAATATGTTTGTATTAAGGAGTGTCACGTCACCTCCTTTTTATTCAATAATCTACTGTAAGACATTCCATTCATTCATTTTGCTATATTTGGATTATTTGCTCAATGCTTAATTCACATATCTTCAAATTTTGTCCCATTTGGTAAAATGATTAACTTATGGTCATTGAAATTCTCAAATACCATATTTTAAGCATATTTTAGTGAATGTTGAAATTAAATTTAACCTGTTTTACTGTATTACTTTATATGTACTTTAACCCCTTGTGCCCAGAGTGATAGATATATCAGTCACAGATTTTCTCAAAATGGCTTGAACTTGGACAAATTTTGTTCAATTTATACAAAATATTGTATTAAAATATATGGGATTTTTCACATTACCAAAATGTAAAACAAACATATTATATGTTACATAGAAATATGGCAAAATAAGTAAAAACATGAAAGATGCTCTGGTATTCAAAAGGTTAAACTGCACGAAGACTGGGGGAAGTAGAGAATCCACAAATGCACTTATTGAGCAAACATACATTTTATCACCACGCTGATAACCTTTATGCTGTTTATTTGATTACTTCAAAAAGTTTTGGCAGTTACATTTAGTTTTTATATCCCACATTGAAAAAATGTTATATGAGTATGTAGTCCTCTTGTTTACAAGATAATGTGAAAGACTTTAAAATCTGTGATTTTAAGAGAAAGAAGTACATTATACCTACAAAAAAGAATTTGATACTAATGTGGCAATGTTTGAACCTTTTCTTATGATACAACAATATTGTCCCCTTTTATGCTCCGTGGACCTGTTGTAGCAAACATGTAAAGCTTTTAAAAGTGCTGATTTTTCTGATTCCAAAGTACACCAAAAATGAAGTAATTAAGTTCAGAATAACCTGTAACTTTGTGTAGGATTTGTTACAAACCTCCTTTTCAATAGATATGATGTTGAAAATAAAGTTTAAAGTGAATCATTGCCATTTGAAAATTATTAGAATATGTGAATTAAAACCCCTTATACTTTTACATATGTCATGCAATTTACTAGAGTAAGCCTTTCAGGATTTACAGAATGAAGCTTTGTATCAAAGGGTGTTGATAGTACAAATTGCTGGCTGTTACTAATGTTAATAATGATTTGGGGTAATTCAGAAACAGACTGCTCTTTCAAACAGATTTTAACTTGCATGCTACATAGATTACAGGCCCATAGCCAGGTTGTTCTGGGAGTTTGAGTGAACCCACCTGAAAATTCTTTCCAAATCATGCAGTTTTTCACCATTCTGAGCACTTTTCTAGTGATTTTGACCCTTTTTGGGCCAAAGTTGTCAAAAGTGAACCTACCCTGGACTTTTTTTTAATTCCTGGCTATGGCCTGGGTTATCTTTATACCAAATTTAGATACTAATCACATATTTTTTTTGCAAAGAGAGGTATGTTCTTATTTATTTGGTTTCATTTTGTATTCTGATATCATCAGAGGACAGGAGTACAACATTCTAATATGATTCTGATGTGTTGATCTCTGGTCAAATGATCTCTTGAATTGGTCCATAACATTTTAACAAAACTGTATGGGTTAAATTGAAGGTCGGCTCCAAATGACTAAATGGTTAATAATTTTCAGATAACCTATGTCCATGATTTCTCAGGGTGATCAAATACTAATTGCAAATTGTGAGAAAAGACTGGTATCAATACGGCGAACTGAATTGAACACATGTTTCTCTTAAACCAGTCATCGACAAATTCTGAAAATTTTACACATCATCAATTTAATGGCGACCTTTTGAATGGTAACAATTTAATTTGAAAAATATATATATACTTTTCTTTTTACCAATCCTTTAAATATCTCAGATTTTTATATTTGTTATTCCAGGATGCCAGAGGCCACATTGATGTTCCAGCACATGTTCCATGTTTAACATGCTACCTTGGGCCCTCTCATTCTGTTGTCTACAACGGAAGAATAAGAGACTCTGATATTCGTGGTTGGTTCCAAGATCTGGTAAGATTTGGTTTACAATTATGAGTCAATTTTTGGTCACCATCAAGGAGTGATGGCATTCAAGTTATATAGCCTAGCTGCCATTTCTTGTTACCAACTTTTGGTGGCCTGATTAAGCATTGATGTTACACTTTTCCAGTTGTTGAGTTGATATTTTGTTTTAGTGGCATTTTGGTGGAATCAAATCAATGGTTTTTATTGTTGTATTTTGTATGTTGCATTGTTTCAATGTGGAACCAAATATACTTTTATATATACTTCTCATCATTAAATTTCGGATCAGTTGGGATTTATATTCCTTTACAAATTAGTAATTACAGGCTGGGCTGGCCTGTGGAAAAATGTCACTTGTCATTGGTCCTCCCTGTCATTAGAATTTTTTAAGAACAGGTATTGTAAACAAATGGAAACAACAGGCAAAATTATTGAGAAAACAGACTTGCCAGTTTCTAATGTTAAAGTTGGAACCATTTTAGTGAGAAATTCTTTGACTGATATTTCTGTCACTCTGGATATTTGTAGTAAAAAATGTCATCAGAAGATGATAACTACTCCATGTACATGTATTTCAAAATATGGAATAATATATCTGCTGTTGTAACTTCCAGGCTAGAGTGTACACAGAAAGTGTCCAGGAAGGTACGCTGAGTAGTGTCAGTACAGCTATACAGCAAAATGATGTCACAATACTAGGATTCCCAGACGCAGACAGACATCTTGAAATTGAAGAAATGCTCTTTCAGGTCTGTAATGAAAGTGAACTTTCCAGATATTTTACCAAGCAAGTGCTTATTTTACTTATTATGTCCAAGATATATTTGTCAATATTTCATTCTTTTGAAAGGGTGCAAAAAGATATGTTACTGAGTGGCATGTAACTTTTGAACATTTATCAAGATGAAGCACCTTGTTGCTTTGGAGACCACTGCTGTTTAAAACATGAATATTTACACTGTCTTGACAACCCATTGTCAGAATTTTTGTTTTACACTGAAAGATAATATCCATAAATTAAAGTGAAATATCAGCATAGGTATCATAAATAGAATAGGATGAAGTATAATTTTTGAGATATTTGGAATGAATTCAAGTTAGTAAATACTTAAATACTTATAATTAATGTTCATACATTTACATCTTTTAGATCAGGGATTCCAATGGAGATGGTATTAAGGTTTTGATCATTCACCAGTATTCACCAGATATCAGGTAACATTTACATTTTACTGTTGTTTCAATTCTCAGACTCCCTGTTCCTCTGTTTGTCCCACTTTTTGAGGTCAGTAATGCTTTGGGTTAAATGTAGTTTCTATAGTTTTCAAAAGTTTATATGTCAGATTGCTTAAGTTAATTCTGAGTATTTCATTGCAGCTGCATATATTGGAGCTACATGAATATGAATGCCTATTTTGTTCGTCTCATTATATTTAGTCAAAAAATCTCAGAAACAGTTGAGCAGCATGTTATTGTTATTCTTTATATTGATATATGGTTATTTCCAATGCAATTATGTTTAGCTTTTAGATCAATGCATTGTATTTGTGTTACATTTCAGAGAGTTGCAAAGCATTTATAAAGTTGCAAAACTACCCAGTGTCCTTCTGATACACAAACATGGTAAGCAATTTACATAGTAGCGCAGTCAGATGTCCAGAAATGAGCCCTTTATAGTTCGACTTTTTCAGGAAAGCAACAAAGTTGGCACAGTTGTAGAAACACTTGATCTGAGTGGAAAATGATTTCGGGGCAAGTGATCCGGAGTGGTCTTCATGGATTTTTTAGTCTCTGACCCCAACCCCTATCAGGCGGGGAGGGGGTACATTATAAAAATTAAATAAAAATGGTTTTGAAGTAAATTTTTTTAAATGACTTCATTTGGTGATTGCCCTGAGCCTTGAAATTGAGACAAACCGATTGTAGAAGTGGTGTTTAGTGAGGAAAATACATTTTAACCCAATTATCTAGCGTGAATTCATATTTTAAAGGGTCAAATATGGGACATCAAGTACTGTATTTCAAGAATGTGATGTCTGATCATCTTGGAAAAAATCATACTAATAGGGGTATAGGTGTCCATCACAAATATAGAATATGGCTTGGGTAGCTCATGTATTTTTTGAGATAAAAATTATCGAAAATTGAATTTTTAAGCCCTTGCGGCCTAGGGGTAACCTTATTTTACCTTAATAATTTTTAAGATATGCAATGTATGGGTCTCATATGAGCTCAAAATGGTGCATTGAGTCTTGTTTTGTCATATTATTCCTAATTGGATTGAAAAATTATTGGAACTTTTCAAAAAAAAAAAAATTTCATTATCGCTTCTGAAGGGCCAGGGGTAACCATATTTTACCTTGATAACTTTCAAGGTTTGTAATATATGTATCTCAAATTCTCCATTTCGCTGTTCGCTCTTTGAATCAGAACGTTCGCATATATGGTGCATATATGTACTCAAAAAGGACAAAATTTGATTGGTCAATATTTTTCAACGATGCATTTCGTGTAGCTATTTGTGAGACCCGAAAGTTCTAAATCAAATTAATTACGCAATTTTGTTTTTACACCCGCAAGCTAAATAAAAAAATGACACCATCGGAATTCTTCTTCTTTGTCATTGAATTAATAGTCAGTATACCAGATTTAATCAATAAAAGATTATACAATTAACAACAAAATTCGGAAACGAGTATGTAAGATTTGCTTTCGAACCACTAAACTTGACCTAGATAATAGCAACGTGTCTTCTTTGGTCAAATGCTCAGTTGTTTGTGGGTTTTCAACGTAACTCTATAATGTAATATGAAGATGAGTACTTTTATTCAGTTGTTGCATCGATGTTACAGTTTGTAGTGCGGTAATATTGGCATGAACGTGTTGAAAGTCGAATGGAATTGCTTTTTCCAATATGGCGACTAGTCACGTGACTTCTTCTCTTCCGGAATATACTCCCATTTTCAATCATTGTTTTCACCCCGTTAGGAGCCAATAAAATGAAAAAAAATATATGTTATATAAAGATTATTAAAAGACTAATTGTTTCTGATAGTTTGTTTTCTCCGATCGCATGGAGATTCGATCGAAAATATCGCTTGAAAAATGGGTATGAAAATCCCCATGTTAAACCAACGGGGAAAAACAAGGTAGAAAAATTTTGTTCCCCCGCGAACTGCATCATGGGAAATATTTTGACCTTATAAGGAAAAACTTTCGCGCCATCTTTATTAGAGATTCAATACTACCGAATCCGCGATTTTAAGAATTAGCTCAAGATGGTGCATATAGTTCTGTTTAATCATAATACCTCCAATAAGATGTAGAAAATGATTGGACATTTCTTAAAATTTGAAATTTTCTTTAGCTTATGATGGCCTGGGGGGGCTTATTTAATCTTGAACTTTTCTTAATTATGAGACGTATGCATCTCAAATGAGCTTAAAATTGTGTCATATACTCTTGTTTTGTCATATTATTCCTTAGGGGATGTAAAAAATAATGGAAATTTGAAAAATGACATCTTTAGCTTTTGACAGGTCAGAGGTGATTTTATCATATATTACCATAATATAAAAGCAAAGGATGGAGTGAGTTAAGCAGCCCCGTCCCCATGACCAATGCCATTGGCAGCTTGGGTCTTAAAGCATTTATGACCCAAGCTGCAATAATCCATGCTGACCTATTCTCAACCAATCAGCGAGCTTGAAGGAACAAGTGCTAAATGCGTGTACATTAATGATGCGATTTCGTCAGAGAAAATGACCATATAGAAAGCCGTCCTTATATCGACAACAAACTCTGATTAGCGCAGTGAGTTCAGAGATTTATTGAAAACTGATAGAGTGAAGACGAAGCTCTCTTTTGAGAAGGAAAGTCGAATGAATGCAAAGGGTAGTAAGTCCAGTCCAGTCTGATGGGGGGGGGGGTTAAGGTGAGCTGCTTCTGTCAAGGATTCTGTCAGTGAATAATGACAGTCAATGATTGGGCACAAGAATGCCAAATGTTATCAAGATAAAATGATCTCAAAATGGGGAAAATAGTCTGTTTTTCACTTTATTCCTACTGAGATAATGATTAACAACAATTAGAAAACTCAGTGACACATTTAAATCTCAATCCATTTATTCCATTTTTCCATAGCAGTAGAATACAGATGTAACATCACATCCAATGATTGTATGAAAAATGGGGAGGGTTAAACTTTGGCCATGGGCAGGTAGATATTGATAGGATTTCTCCCTTACCATATGCTATCCAAATTGACTTTTTCAGTTTTTAACATCACATATATGCCAGGATAACCACATCAGAATTAAATGTAAGGAGTATTATTCTTTCTCTTGAAGCCCATGATTGAAGCAGTCTTACTGAAAATATTGAGAAATATCCTTGAATCTGCTTCTTCTTAAGAGCAAGGGCAGAACCTCACTGTTGGGCTAAAACATTGCATTGCCTCCTTAATTTATGTGGTCACTATCTTCTTTCCATCCATTTCAAGGGTTTCAGTTTCCTCCTTAGACTATCCTTGTTCCAGTTCCACAAGTCTCTCTAGTGCTGTTTTAAAGGTGCAACAATTAGTGCAAAGGGGCCATTCGACGATCATGGACCAGTGTCAAAATATATTTAAGTTTGGATATTTCATCAAGACTAACATATATGTTTATTTTTTTCCAAAGAAACCCCCTGGATGAACATAATTTCAGCTGATTCCTCTTGAAATGTTTTGGATCTTAAAAATCTATAAGTGGGCCTCCCTTTATAGAAGCTTTGAACTGAATCTACACTTCTTAATGCTAAAATTGATAGTTTATCCATACATTTTAAGAAAATAGGTATGTCAAAGAAGATGTTTAGCCAAATATTACCCTGATAGCTCAGAAAAAGTAAAAAAAATTGAATCTTCTATAGACCTTGTTGCCCCTTTAAGCTAGTGTCCTGGTAAACATTCCAGCTGACATCAAGGCAATGAACTATTTGCAGACTTTTACGTGGGTAATATCATATTTGCATAATCACCCAATTTTCTTTATATATCACTGTTAGCATGTTTAACTATACATGCCCTGTCTATTATTTTGGTATCTACTATGTAGCTTAGTCATTCAACTTTGATGTTAATGAGCATAGATACAAACAGCACAAAACTGGAACAGTGAGGAAAGTATATCCTACTAATTTTCTTCTGTGGAATTGGCAAGATTTCCTAAGATAGTTGGAACAGGAGGGAGCTGTTTTCCTTCCAGGCATCAAAACTGAAACCCTGGAGGAAGATGGCAAGAAGATTGTGACCTCACAATGAGGTAATGCAATATCTTAGCCCGATAGTGAAGTATCTGCCATCACCATTCACTCGTATGAAGAAGCATGCCAAAGACTGCTTCTGTCATGACCTAATAAGAATCATAGTCAATACAGTTGATTTTGGTGTGGTTTAAACTGGCAGTAACTTGTGCTGAAAATGTCAATTTGGATTGCATATGGCCTATGGTGAGGGGAAATTCCTCCAGAATGTACGACCTGTCTTAGATATTTCGAGGCCACTTGGCCATGAACGAAGTTTAGCCCTTACCATTTTTCATACAATCGCTAGATGCATTCTGCTACTACTCTTAGTCAACTGATTTGCAGGAATAGAAGGTGTACCCAGAGGTTACGCAAGTGTTCTAAAGCTTTAAATCTTTTTGATACCCTAAAATTAGAAGACTAGAGTCCTTATTCATTCTGATGCATTCTTAGCCACAGTTTCTATCACCACATGAATGTGGCTGGCCTACTTCCACTGCTGATACTGAGGCCACAACATAAAATGTAGGTCATGGGGTAGATACCTATGTCAAGAGAACAGATGCAAATGTTTGAAAGCAGATCTGATTTGCTCTGAGCTATGTAGCTGTAGGAGAGACTGTCAGAATCCATAAATTGTGACTCCTTTGATCAGGTTTTATAGATTTGGATTATATACTCAAATGATAATATACAGAATCTTAACAATGCTACTACTCGTGCTAGTATGAACTGACTTATCAAACATTTTCACATCTTAGAAATGTTCTATAAAACTAGATAGTATTGCCATTGGTACTAGAAAGGAATAAATGGCTGTTGAGGTTCATTTTTTATAACTGTTAATCATTATTGTATATCTCAGTAGGAATAATATGACAAAACTAGACTATATTCACTACTATTTTGAGCTCATTTGAGTACCCAATATGATATATCTTTGTTTAAATTTTTAAGGTAAAATTAGGTCATTCCTGACCTATCATAAACTACACTACCAATCTCAAACTGCATCAAACAGCATGGTTTCATAAACAGTGCTGTAAAAACAGTACTGAACTACGCTGTCCAAAACAGATGGTGTTAGAATAGCATTGTACATTGCTTTATAGTGCAGTACTCTGACTGCACTGTTCAGTACTGTTTACAGCGCTGCAAGAAGATGTTGCGGATTGGGGGTGTAATATGAAAATGTAATATTCTTATAATTTCCAATCATTTTTTCACTCCTTGGGAATGATATGATAAAACAGGACTAAATATACCATCTTCAGCTCATTTGAGGTGACTATGTCTCATATTTAGAAAATTATTAAGGTAAAATAAGGTTACCCCAGGGCCATCAAGAGCTTAAGTGAAAACTTAGATTTTTTAGATATATCCGATCATTTTCTACATCTTATTGGAAGAAGTATGATAAAACAGAACTATATGCAACATCTTGAGCTAATTTGAGATGCATATATTACATATCTGGGAAATTATTAGGGTAAAATATGGTTACCCCTGGCCCTTTAGAACCGAAAATAAAATTTTTTTTATTTTCAATAATTTCTTTACATCTTATTAGGAATAATATGACAAAACAATACTTAATGCAACATTTAGAATTCATATGAGGCCCAAACATCGCGTATCTTAAAAATTATTAAGGTAAAATAAGGTCATCCCTAGGCCGCAAGGGCTTAAATATCCAAATTTCGATAATTTATTTCTCAAAAAATACATGAGCTACACAAGCCATATATCATATGAGTGATTAACACCAATATCTCTATTAGTATGAATTTTTTCAGGATGATCAGACATCACATTCTTGAAATACAGTACTTGATGTCCTATATTTGACCCTTTGAAAGATGAATTCACGCTAGATAATTGGGTTAAAATGTATTTTCCTTCCTAAACACCACTTCTAAAATAGGTTTTTCTCAATTTCAAGGCTCAAAGCAATGACCAAATGAAGTCATTTAAAGAAATATACTTTACAACTATTTTTATTTATTTTATTATAATGTACCCCCTCCCCGCCTGATAGGGGTGGGGGTCAGAGGCTTAAAATCCATGAAGACCACCCCGAATCAATTGCCCCGAAATCATTTTTCATTCAGATCATATGTTTCTACAACTGTGCCAAGTTTGTTGCTTTCCTGAAAAAGTCGAACTACCAAAGGGACATCTGACTGCGCTATAGTTTACTTGTGAAACAACAGATGTAAACAATTAATCTAGAAATTTTATAGGGATTATATGATGTTGTCTAATGCATGCTGTATTTGTCATAAATTATGTACTGTATATCTTTCAAAATCTCGATGGACCTTATTCTGCTGTTATTATTCAATATGTATCCAATTGTTTTTAGGTTCAAACAAAGCTGAGTCTCATCTTCTTGAAGGGGACTCTGTTACAAGGGCCAACATTGAGGTGTATCTTCAATTAAGGCATATGAATGCTACTGTCCTGACCAAGGTAAAACATTGCAACATTTAACAACTTTTATTACAACTTGAGACCCATTATTGGAAGTATTTGAGATTTTGAATTGTTCAGTTTATTTGTTCCACACTGATCATGATAGTTGACATTTCAAAGAAATTAAAAAACATATGAATCATCACAATGCAAGCAAACATTGGCTTCTTAAAAATATTAGAAGGGTTAAATAGTGAAAAATGTTGGAATGCTCGGAAATTGTTTCCCTTTCAATTCTGATTTTATATTTTCTGATTACTGAAAATTAAGATGCAAAAATTAGAATTGAAAAACAATAAAAATCAAAGGATTACTCTGAAATAACTTATTAATGTTATAATTTTTACAAACATCACAGAATTTTTTGTGAACTGTGTTTAGTGGTTGGTTGTTGGCATCTGTAACAAATGTTAGGTGGTGACATTTTGTGTGTTAATGCCTTGTTATAATTTGTATACATTTACTTACAGAAACTGTTTGAACAACAAGTTGTGACACCCAAGGGAGGGTACCAGCCAATTCTGGTATGTTTCTACACAACATGGGCCAACCAAGCCAAAGATCATCTCTACGCTCTACAGCGCACAGTGGAGTATCTTCAAGAAGCCAATAGTACACTGAGGTTTGGTACAATGGATATAGAGACACACAAAGAAGGTTAGAGATTTAAAAGGAATACAGTGAAATATGGTCAATGAAAAACCTCTCTATATGGGGAAGTTGACTTATTTGTCAATGAACCAACTCTGTTGGGAATAAATGTTTACAAAGAGCAAAATACAGCAAAATACAGAGTGCAGCCTGAGGTGTTCATATTTTACTGTACTTTATATTGAAGTCATACATTTTCTAGGAGCAAATGAAGTTAGGGTATGTCATTCTTTGGTCTTTCTGGAAGAATTCAGTATAAATTTATGTTGAACGGTTTGTGTTTTCTATGTCACCACCAATTGTCACCACAAAAACCCAACATTTTGTGACTGGCATCATGAATCAAGTTAGCCATTGCAATTTAATTGGCATATGTAAATAATCATTGCACTTTTTTATCGATTTGTAGATAGTGACGCTTGTTTATATTTGCAGTGCTGCACCATCACTTTGGAAGTCTTCTGGTTCATCAGATTCCATTCACTGTACTCTACTTCCCAGTCTACCACAGAAACAGAGGTGCATTATCTTCATTATGTAACTTGTGTAACAAAGGATCTAGTGCTCCCTCCATTATGATCTCCCCATGAACAAAAACAAATTCATCTGATTTTTCAAAATAAATATACTGCTTTTATTATTACACTTATATGTACACTAGTATTTGTTGACCTATATTCAGCACTGAATGGGCCACTTATTAGAGCCAATATTCAATCATAAAGTGTACAGGGGTAGAGATTCCAAACCAGGAAGTCTTTTTGTGTCTGTCAAAATCCATTTGCATCCCTACATCTTATCCAAATATGTTATTAATTAATGAAACGTAACAGTATATTCTTTTGATTTACAAAGTTGTATGGGATTTCATAAGTGTAAAAGTTGCATTTGAAGCATTTTCTATAGCCATTTTGTAGGAAAAAATGATGAAAAAAATGTATAATCTTTTAATTTGAAGTGTGACCTGAATCGATTGCAAACTTTATATTTGCACATCTGATGTGATATACCATTTGTGTCATATTTTGAAATTATTTAATTTGCAATCGATTCAGGTCATATTGTATTTTAGGTATTTTTTGAAAGTCAATAGAAACCAATGGCCCCATTGAAATATGATGGTATCCACATGTTAAGTCAATAAAACACATCCAATCTCAAGTCAATACACCCTTGCTGAACTTAATTAAACCTCAGCCCATATGGGTCCAAATGCTTAAATATATTCCAAAGTATTATGTGACATGGTATTCTTCATGTTACACCTAAAAGTGATTCATTTTGTTAATGGGGAAATCATAATGGAGAGTGCACTAGATCCTTTTAACTTTTAAATTGACCAAACTAAAAGGGTGACCTTACCAGCCACCATACGATTTGCAAATCATATATTCTTGTGGTACATATTTTATGAAAATTAAAAAAAAGAAAAAAAAGTAAAATACTATTAAAAAGAAGTATACTTGAAACGAGGATAAGATGTTCCATTGAGGTTTACTATTTCTGAAAATGTTGAAGTACTTTTTTACCAGTTAATGCATGTCAATCGGCTTTGATTGGTATAATGCAAGCTAAAAGTTCTTTGCATCTGAAATTGAGAAAATTATATTCCTTAATAGTTCAATATATTTTGGATCCTGGCTTATGCTCCTTTGTTTGAGTACGATGTTTATACCTTGTTGTGATTTATTTTTTTCAGTTGAATCTATTGAACCAAGAATGATGTCAGCTTTTAGACCCACAATTAGTGAAGTTCTGGGCTTCCTATTGGATTTATCTCAACAGAATCAACTACTGAAGCCTTATATTCCCAGCAGCTTAATTGCCTCTTATCTTCCAAGGATTAACGCAGAGGTTTGGTTCATGTGATTTTATGGATTTTATACATGATTGCTTGAATTCAGCTTACTTTTAATGTATAGGGGTAAAAGGACCTCTGCTCAAAAAGAATTAAAAAATTTGACACATAATTGAATTCATCATCATACTTTGGCAAGAGGTTGAATTACATTATAGTTGAACTATACAATGGGGTTCCCTTAAATATGAATGTATTTTTCCATGTAGAAGTACTCACATATACATTGATTGCTCATATACTGACATGAAGTAGTCACATTAATCAAGTCCATTGATTGCTCATATACTGACATGAAGTAGTCACATTAATCAAGTCCATTGATCGCTCATACTGACATGAAGTAGTCACATTAATCAAGTCCATTGATTGCTCATATACTGACATGAAGTAGTCACATTAATCAAGTCCATTGATTGCTCATATACTGACATGAAGTAGTCACATTAATCAAGTCCATTGATTGCTCATATACTGACATGAAGTAGTCACATTAATCAAGTCAATTGATTGCTCATATACTGACATGAAGTAGTCACATTAATCTAGTCAATTGATTGCTCATATAGTGACATGAAGTAGTCACATTAATCAAGTGAATTTGATTGTAGGTATGTTTACTGACTGAGGGACCTTGGGGAGAGGAGTGTGGACTTGAATACAACAACCAGACTGACACTGAGCTTCCAATCATTGAATCACAGCTGCAAGAGAAAAATGATGTTGTAGAAACAGATTTAAACACAGAAGAACAGGTAGGTGTTTATAAGGATGTTCTTCATGTTGTGGAAAAGAGAAGTTACTTTTGTTTTGGTTTGAAATACTTACAACCAAAGATAACACTCTCTGAAATTATTTGCCTTACTCTATATTATTCTTACTTTTGTTGGTTTCTTTGAGGATATTGCTTTGTTTTTCTCATTCCAGGTTGAAACATCAATATTATCACTCAAGGCACATTGAAATATATTCATGCATGTTTTTATTAAATGTATTCAAAATTGTCTAAATTGTTTTGCTTTTTTTGTGAAAGTCAGAGTTTCTCAGAAAGCAATTTTATAAGCTTGAGAAATATAGGTTAAGTCTCGATATTACATTGGCCAATGGTGTCCACCTCCGAGTTTTCCACTTTTTACTCTGTATTTATGTTTCCATAAACATTTAAATTTAAATCCAAAATAAACATTTAGGTGGTTAAAATGGATGTCATAGAATTATCAATGGTGGAGGAAGAAAACAAAAACATCACCATGGTAACAGAGTCAACGTGGAGTGACATGATTGAAACATCACCATCTATGTCGCAACAATTTCCAGTTGTCACACAGTGGAAGGGTGATGTCACTAAAGTTACACTGGTAAATAGTGATTTTAGTTAAATCAGTGTAAGCTGATATATATATATGATATTGTGATCACTTTAAAACCATACTTATCGAGCAACAGTTATATAATTTTGACTCGACTCTCAATTTGACGACCCCTAACTCCTGAAATCTATATTGGATTGGTTAACTGAAAAAATTTAAACTGAGACTGGAAATGGTGTCCCAATAGTGATATTATGTAATTGTCTGACTTTGCAGGTTATATTCATAATAGAAGGCTGTGGAAGTTGCAGGAATAACATGGAAGTATTTCACCAGCTCCATCATGCATTACAATATATAGGTGTGTAAATACATGTAATTTTCTTTCACAAAAGAACAATTTTGAATCTGAAAGTTCAATGTCACCGGGCCCTGTAATTTTTGCAGCTTTTTGTAATCTAAAACAATATACATTTAGTTTGGGTTCTTAACATCGCTATTTATTTTTATTTGATTATACTCTTGAAAATTACAGAAGGGGCCTCAGCACTCCTAGCCAACTGTACCTCAGACCCGTTGCTATGTAAACAGAATGACATCACAGGCTTCCCGTCTGTTAGCATATTTCGGGGTCTAGGCTGGCTTACCACTGATGGATGTATCTCAGGTATTATTTTTAGAAATTATTAGGTTATGATCGCCTTAGAATTATTTTTTAAAGAATCCATACCTTTACATTTTCCATGTTGCTTGAATCTTGGATGTACCAGAAAAACAATGCTTGAATAATATAAAAATATCAATTTAAGAGTTGCACTATTTTTCAGTCATATATCTTACTACTCCAACAAAACTTCAATTTTGTCATTTCACAAATTATTCAGAAATATTTAGGACCGTATCTAAATGAGATTCTGAATGGTCTAATTTATTTTATTTTTCTCAGGTGAAACAGCCTCGAAACTAAGTCCTGTTAGACTGGACTACCATGGAGTGATTAGAGTGACACCTATCATGGACTGGTTCCTAGATAGCACACATGCAGCTGTTAATGACACACGTTTCCATGGAGCCGAAGACTCCAAGATGGTATGTACACACCAACAGTTTAATGATTGTTATTTTAATGATTTTATTGTTCTTGTCGAGTTTATTTGAACTTTTGTAAGTCTGCTGTCACAGGTGCTCCCTGTGTAATAAGAGTGTCAGGCTTCCTGTAAGTAAGTTTATTTACGCTGAAGTGATACACAATATCTTTCCAGGTAGAGGATGTCCACCTTGTTGCCACACTGGTACCAAAGATGTCTGGCTTTCTGCCCCATGTTGCCAAGAAGAAGACAGATTATTTCCTCCCATATGAATGCTTCCGTCTTGCCTGTGAACTTCTCTATGGACAGGTAGACTTAACTATAATAGGTTTGGATTGTTAAAATAATTCCTGAATGGTCAGGGAGAGTGCCTTAGATCTTGTCTTATAAGACCATAGTTTGGGATATTTTGGTGGGTTCACATGCATGACTAATGCTGGTTTTAGCACTGTATTCCTCTTTCCCGTTTATTTTGACACTTGCTAACATACATTATCCAGAATTCATGGAAATTATGTTATTGAAAGTCATTTGGAAATTCAGAAGCATGACTTGTTCTGTCCCGACTACTGTTAAAATTCTGATTTTTTCAAGGAGTTCTAAAATTCAGATCATATATTTTTTTGATCATCACTTCAAACCCTCTTTTAAATAATGAAGTAAGAATTGTTAGATTTTCATACGTTATGTATTAATTCTACATTGTAATTACAGGTACCTTGTTATACAGAATTCAGCAAAGATATTCCCGAGAGGGAGTTCAGTAATAAAGGACTTGAGATGGTTGCCACTAAGGTAAATAGCATCAGTTTATGTAGTTTGTTATATCTCAAAGGGCTAATTGCGTTTAATGAAAACCAGTTGCCTCAAGAATAGTTTCTCACATACATAGTTGTACATTGTTCACCATCTGATAAACCCATTTAAACCAATGGAAAGTTGTGGTAGCTAAATCATATTGTTATAAAAACTTAAATTTGAATCGAGGCAACAAATGGTCCTGACCCTTCAATTGTTCTATAATAATAATATTACTTCAATTGTAGATTGTCTTGCACAGGAAGGATGGCATGTCTGCTGTTAAATGCAGTTCAATAAAATTATATTACTTCAATTGTAGATTGTCTTGCACAGGAAGGATGGCATGTCTGCTGTTAAATGCAGTTCAATAAAATTATATTACTTCAATTGTAGATTGTCTTGCACAGGAAGGATGGCATGTCTGCTGTTAAATGCAGTTCAATAAAATGATATCTCTTCAATTGTAGATTGTGTTGCAAAGGAAGGATGGCATGTCTGCTGTTAAATGCAGTTCAATAAAATGATATTACTTCAATTGTAGATTGTCTTGCACAGGAAGGATGGCATGTCTGCTGTTAAATGCAGTACAATAAAATTATATTACTTCAATTGTAGATTGTCTTGCCCAGGAAGGATGGCATGTTTGCTGTTAAATGCAGTTCAATAAAATGATATTACTTCAATTGTAGATTGTCTTGCCCAGGAAGGATGGCATGTCTGCTGTTAAATGCAGTTCAATAAAATGATATTACTTCAATTGTAGATTGTCTTGCATAGGAAGGATGGCATGTCTGCTGTTAAATGCAGTTCAATAAAATTATATTACTTCAATTGTAGATTGTGTTGCATAGGAAGGATGGCATGTCTGCTGTTAAATGCAGTCCAATAAAATGATATTACTTCAATTGTAGATTGTCTTGCACAGAAAGGATGGCATGTCTTCTGTTAAATGCAGCTCAATAAAATGATATTACTTCAATTGTAGATTGTCTTGCACAGGAAGGATGGAATGTCTGCTGTTAAATGCAGTTCAATAAAATGATATCTCTTCAATTGTAGATTGTGTTGCACAGGAAGGATGGCATGTCTGCTGTGATAACACAACTAGGAGAGACTCTTGTCAAGCTGCTTGAAAGAGAACAGGGAGATAACACACATATATTCCATGCACCTCATAAGTAAGCATTTCTGAAGATATGTGAAACAAGTATTGTAAATTGTGTAAAGAGCTGACCAAGAGACAATAATTTAAATTCAATACATCACTAAATATAGACATTCTTATATACACTCATCACATTCTAAAAGTTTAAATTTCTGCAGCCAAGTGCAATTTCCCAATTCCATGTAATACAGGTAAATATCATTCCCATATGCACTGCAGGTACAATATTCCCAGGGATCAAAAATGTGAAGACAATCATGCATTCTGTACAGATCTGATAGTGGACTTTACCAGAGACCACGCCAGACTTCCTATCACAAAAATGACTTCTATGCTCTTCCACTCAAGAAGCAAGTAAGTCCTGAAGTATTATGCCCTTGCGTGTGTACAAGGTTCATTTTTAACTTCTCTACCATTAAAAGGGCAGATGTTTGAGTCTGTTGTTTCTGGGCAATAATATGTATTGTTATTCTGTAGTTCTGCATGTGTACTGACGAGGTGTTTACTCATGAAAAATAAATATGTTCCTGAAGGAAAATGTTCCCAAGAATCCCATTTAAACAAGGCTAGTGGTAGTGGTAGAATGATTACATCTCTACTTTTACATCTCTATTTATGACCTTGCAAACTTACCCTAATTACTAACTTGTGTGCTTTTAATTCCTTGTACAAAGTAAAATACCTAATTATGAAGCAATCTCAATAAGCTGCTATAATTATCATAATAAGCAAAATATATCATGACAGATACTGTACTAGCATTCATACAAGATAGCTAAAAGCAATCATAAAATAATATTACTCGCAGTTTTAAGCCCCATCAATTATCTGTTTATTAAATCATATTCATCCTAGACTGAACAGCTACTTGTTCTTATTTTCCGTATAAGCAAGATATACGACATTTCTCAGGCCCATAGCCAGGGAGGTTCGATAGGGGATATTTTGTTATATGTTATTTTACTATTTTTGCTGTGACTGAAAAAGAAATAAATTGATTTTGTAAAAATGGCAGCTATGACTGTTTGATGGGATTTGCTACGCTTTGGTGTTGATGTTATCTAGTTTTGTTTTGTTTTGCAGATTGAGCTTCCTGGATGAGACTCTTCCAGTGATGGTTGCCTTGGTGCATGCAGAAAACATGACAATCTCATCACAGTTTTATCAGGTTTGAAATTTATATTAATTCATATATGACTTACTAATCCAGTAATTTTTTAAGTGTGAAGTTCAAGAAGGTATTCATTGATATGAAGAAAAAACTAAATGTTCATGTTATCAGAGTAAATACGAACATCCATTTTTCATGCTGTACAGTGTATGTAAGATTTCTAAGTGGAACTTTATTAATTTCATGAGTTATTTGCTTCAGAACCTTAGGGAGGCATCCATAGCTTTGTATAACTCCATCCAGGTGATCAGTGTGGATGTAGATGAATATGCATCCTGGGCAGGACAGTTTGTCCCTGCTAACTACATTACACATAATGACCCAGTACACAGTAAGTACTTCAAGTATTTCCTCTCTAAAACAAGTTTTAAAAATTCACAAAAAGCAAGTGCCTCTTTGTACTTTCATGCTTGAATAAGTAAATATCAGTTAATGAATATTTATCCTTGTATGAAGTCATAACTGGCTTTAAAAAATTAAAAAAACTGTTTTCTCATTCCAGATCGTGGTGAGGTTCCCCTATTGTACAAGTATCCTCGTCTTTGCATTGTACATTGGACAGACCATCACCATGCAGCTTTCTATCCCCCTATACCAGAACCTAGTGGTGAGGAGCAACATACAATAACTCATTCCAGCCAAGACATTAAACATGATCCATATTCCATCCAACATATTGAAGAAAATGCAATAGATTCAAAGACTGAATCCGTCCATATTGAAACCGAAAATGTAAAATCTGTCCAAGATGACAATGACAATGTACATTCCAAAAGTGAATCCGTCCAAAATAAAAGAAATGTAGATGAGGATGTTTTGAATCTGGAGGAAGGTGTGTTTAGTAAAGACAACATCATAGCATTTGCTAATGCGTTTGCCAAAGATCCAAAACAAATGCTGATCAAAACCAATCATTTTTAGAACACAAACCATGTATAAGATAATCTGATAATATCATATATCAATATGTTTCAATATTTTAGAGAACATTATGATTTTTATAGACATTAAGAAGATGGCTGCGATATTCAAAATGGCCACCATTTTTCAAGAAAAAAGACAATTGATTTGATTTATTTTGCGGATTTGCTACTACTAGTACACTACAAGTCACTGAATCTAACTTAATGTAGACATAAATGTTGTATTGTTCCTTAGTTGTTAAAAATTGTCTAGATGTGATTTAGTTTAATAATTTGTACTAATACTATTTGTAATTCATTTGTATTACAATTTTACATTCCAGAAGCTGGACTTCTAAGTAGCATTACATTTTTGTAGACATTATTTCATTATATACACATTTTTCTAATAATCTAGTTATTTATAAATCATGCAAATGTGAAGATTGCATAAATAAGTAATCATGTATATTACCAGAAATCTTTGTAAATTTGTCCCCCCGGGATTTGTCCATCACAGATATTTATAGCAATAAAATATATATAAATAAGTTTATAAATAATTTTTATTTTTACATTTTTCTCGTGCAGTTATTCATTTTTGCTGAGTCACAACGTCTGATTAATTTTGAACCTAAGATGAAAGATCGGGACTACAAAATTTTAAATAGGAATATATCATTCTGTAGTATTAACTTCAAAATAATTTAAATCACAAGCTCAAGTAACAAATAACAATAACCATTCAAAGCCACACATACATGTTTGAGACGCTTATTTACTTCTATTTCAAATTGTGAATAACGAGACGAACTATCCATAACATTTGTGCAGATAGCACATTGGAACTTAATAAACTCATCAAACATTAACGTTTATGATGTACTTGTGTTGTATTATGTAAGAATCTGTTTACTTAGAGTCAAAGGTGAAAGAGAATTCATTTCATATTAAATCTGTTAATCTCAAAATGTTTATAATTACACACATGGCTTTATGTTCACATCTGAAATTTCAAGGATTCCCCTCGTCAAGAAGATAAGGTACTGTACAAGTCTTATTATTACATTATTAGATTCGCATTTTCAATATTTGATATTGAAGTGAGAAACTTAACTTCAGAGGCTCCGTCATCTTATTGCACTGCATACGTTACACATTAAGATTATAGGTTATATTATATCACTTTTAACTATATCATTTTTAAAAGACCAGTAATACAATTTCTTCAGTTTTAAAGTTCAGGTTAAAACATTGAGCTGTCGATCTCATCACTCTTTGGGATAGTATTAACAAAAAATTATAAAATGAATTCCTTCAAATCGCTTACCTAGAGCCTCAGTACTAGTCACATTGCTCTACTGCGGTCGTACGGTGGTCGTAGCTTAACAAAATCCATCTAGAAATTCTACGTCGTACTGCTTATTTCTATGGTTTATGCTGCATATATCTCTCGATTTTGGAAAGCTTCGGTCTCTACTCGTATTCTTAGAAATAATCTATGAAAAGTAAAACATAATTGTCTCCTGGATCATGACTGCATTAACGCATGGTTTTATATTTACATATCCTATTCGGCGGCTGGTGTTCGGCGGTCAGTGTCTTTAACAACTCACGAATGTGGTGACATTTTGCACGTGAGCTTATTTCGTACACTAATTTCAGCGTTACAGATGGACGATTCCAAGCAGGGGAGCTTCATCAAGAAACCATTACTTTTACTGGCCATTATTGTCTTGGTTCTTGGCTTCAAGTGGGGTAATGACGTCACTCTGCAAGAAGGTGTCGGGGAAAGATGGAAGCTCCATTGGTTTGCAGCATCTATCAATGCTGTTAGAGATCTGGTGAGCACTTTATTAAATGGCTATTTTATCATCGTTGATGTCAAAATACACTGAGATTAGCTAAATAAATATAACGTACGTGAAAATCTTAATTACCGTAGTATTCACTTTGAAGGTATATGCTAGGCTATCCTAAAAGAATAGTATACGGTATGTAATTGAATTGCGCGAAGCTTTTGTAATCTGCATACCGAAATCATCACAGCATAACATAACTCACGGTACCTCTGATGAGTCAACTTACTCTAGTCAATATTCAATTACAATTAGATATACATTTAATGGTGTCTCCTAAGCCGATGCCGGCTGGTGGGTTTTTTAAAAAAAGTATTTATTATATGATATTGAATGTAGTTTTTAAACCTGTGACACAGAAATAAAATATTTTAAACTAAACTAAGTATTATGTTGCAGGGACAATTAGGGAACATGTTAGGAATAGCATCAGAGATCAACATGACCAGGATACTTATTACGCACTTTGCTGTTGCTATAGATACAGGACGCTACAAAGACTACCAGGTACATGTATATCCTAGATATTAATAGTGAAATTTGAATTATATTTTACAGTAAAACTTTCTGTACAATAATAGTACAATAACGTCATTTCTAAGGGCGATATAGTGAAATATTGGACCAAGGGCCGAAGGCCCAAGGTCCAATATTTCACTATATCGCTCGCAGAAATGACGTTATTAGTATTATTACCACCGTTAACGACCAGGACTGAAACAGCAAGAAAATCTTACGCATTGAACGATATCTAATTTCCCGGGGAAAATTGCCGGTCCAGAATATATTCTAGACCGGTCCATATGGACCACCACTATGACTTCACACATTTCTCAGGTCGATATAGTAAAATAAACGCCTTCTAAACTAGCACTAAAACCCCTAGAACTGGCCCGGCAAGGTGGTAATAATGTATCTTTCTTGATATTTGACCATTCCCATAATTTTGAATATTGAAATATATCTTATATAATGACCCCCTCTGTCGTTCGTCGAATAGATTATCTGTTTATATGAAATTAGGTTTCGATAAATCTTTATATTTATAATTATACCATCTTTCAAAATGAATTAGATCAGACACTTGTTCCAAACACTCATACACATATACATGGTGGGCCAAAAAACGCCACTTTTTTCAAGACGCTACAACTTTTTTATTTTCCAACCTACATACCCCAAATTTTGCAGATATATAGTGCCAGGGGCTCTTTGTAACAATAAAATGTAACAAGTTCTTCAACTTGGATTATATTTGATCTAAAAGAGGAGTTCAATTGTTCCCCCATTCTATTTGATGATTCATTTTAGTTTTAGTCGCCTTGCAGTATCAATCAGGAGCAGTATCAATGAAATGTTAGCTAAGTCTTTTTCGACCTGTCTTAATTGCCAGCTTTAGTTGAGCCCTTCCCATACCCTATACTCACCGGGGTTTGCATCAGGGCTATTAGCTTGGGGATCATCAGGCCGTATCAGTTCAGGAATATTTTGCAAATAATGCTTATTTCACATGGCACACCACATGTTAAAGTGAGACGCTGGTGACATATTTTATTCAAGTAAAAGTGTATAATTCATGATCTATGGTTAGATAACAACCTCAAGTTTCATTTGGTATGCAAATTATGATTTTGTATCAAAAATTAAAAAAGTCATAGCACTTTGAAAAAAAGTGACGTTTTTCTGGCCCACCCTGTATAAATACCATGCACTAACATTTTGAAAAATAAAACTCTTCTAAATACTTCAAACTATTTTGAACAGTATGATAAAATTATAAAATGTATATCTATACCCATTCCCAGTCCAACACTTGATTCAAATCATAAACATGGGTACCAGTTGTCTTGGGTACGAGTTGACCAGTTACCGTTCGCAATTACCTTGTTGATTTTTAAATTGTAGTTATACTCAAAGGAGCGTGTAGTATGTATATTATGACCGTTCTATTTCCAGTTCATGGACATCACTGACACAAAGTTTGGCGACATCCCTGTTAGGATATACCGACCCCCAAAGTTGCCATCCAACGGGCCCGCAATGATGTTCTTCCATGGTGGGGGATTTGCTTTTATGAACCTAGACACACACGATATCTTCCCTAGAACTATCTCTAAACGTCTTAACATGCTCGTGGTCTCAGTAGAGTAAGTGTTCATGCAATATGTTTCTATCTAGTTTTTTTATTACTATGATGATTATATTATATAAACCAAATAAATGAAAAACAAATACATAAATCATTTTAATGTACATAACAAATCAAGCTCTCCTAGTAAATCATGCAGAGAGAAACTTTAAAACCAGATGTACCACACGATACGCTCTTCTTCATGATGTGGTCCACCACATGATGATATTACAGAAAACTTGCAGCTCTTAACGTATGGACGCTTGAACGATAATTGCATAATTGCAAAATTAAATTTTGAAATTGTTTTGTACGATCCAGTCTAAGCCCGTTCAGCAACTCTTTTCAAGAACGTCATGATACGACAATGTATACTACAGTGCTCACCATAAATTAATGACACATGGATTTGCTGAAGTGGGGATTCCTATGTTAAAAAGAAGAGAACCTTCAAGTGACCATACATTAGTAGTTGAGAGTATCCAAAATGTTCAATATACAAAACTTAAGGGATGTATCAAGTCATTATTGGAAAGTATGAAGTCTCAAATCACCATGGTCTGGGAATGGTGATAGAAAATCAAGATGCCATTTATTTATCTATTTATCTTAGTTTGGTGTGACTTGGGAAAGGCACTAACTATTGAATGTTTTACAGCTATAGAAGAACACCAGAGCATCCCTCTCCTGCTGGCTTCCATGATTGCCTCAATGCTACCATACACCTTATGAGGCATGCTGAAGAACTGGACATCGACTCCAGGCGTATTGCGGTAGCAGGTTGGTGAATACCTTATGTATATTTTGTGAACCTCCAGTATTATAATGTGGATTAGGAAAAATCAATTTGAAAAGTAACATTACGAAGGGTCCTTTTGAAAATTGTTCAATGACAATTTGATTTTATAAATTAGAGGCCAGGGTATAAGTTCATCGAATGCCAGTCCTGCTTCTAACCGATTCAATGTTGTAAAACATCAGATTTCTGTCAGATACTCGTCCATCTCTCAATATGTTATATGTTTTTTCCTCATTAGTTTATATTAAGGGCAAGTAATGAGTATATAGAAAAATACAAGCAAAATCTCTGTTTCATGTATTCCAGGTGACAGCGCTGGTGGTAACCTAGCAACAACAGTAGCCATTGCTCTTCGTGACATGGCAGATCCAACTCTCCCAGATCTTAAGATACAGGTCATGATTTACCCAACGGTGCAGGTAGCGAATATAATGACACCATCGTGTCAAGAGAACTTCAATGACCCAATGCTCACTACCATTGCCGGAGCAATATTTGCACTTTACCGATGTGACCCCAAGAAAGTGAAATATGCCCCTTTGTTTATTAATAACAATCACACGACACCGGCATTGAAGAAGAAACTCTCTAAATATATGCCATATGAAGCACTTCCATATAAGGTCAAACCAGGCTTTGTCCAACCAGACGATACGCTTGGCGATCATGAAATATCGCGCATATTGGAGTCGTGCATTATGGACCATCTGTTATCTCCTTTGTTCATAGAGGACCTTAGTAGACTACCTATCTCCTATATGATGACGGTTGAGTATGATGTTTTGAGAGATGAAGGATATTGGTACGCAATGAGACTGAGAGAGGCGGGGAATAAGGTCACACATACCCATATACATGATGGCTTCCATAGCATAACTACTCTCTTTGAGGGCATGTTTACATTTGATTCTGGTATAAGAGCTGTAAATGATTTAACTTCGTTTCTTAAACAGAATCTGTAAAACAATTTCAGATCAAAACCATACAATGTATTGATTGTACAAACGCGACACTGATTCTGGTGATGGTTGAATTTTATCTAAATTGTTTAAATATACAAGCTCTTTCATTCGTTTACATGATGCAGTTGATATCAATAAATTATAGTTTTCTACTGGAAAGCACATTGATGTAACTATAACAGAGAAATCGATTTTGTAAAATAAGGCCATTTTTTATTTTCTTATAAAAATCTTTTAGAAATAAATCAGAATAAATAATATATATATGGCAAACGTATATAGTTGTTATCCTTTGATTTAAATATGAACTCATTCTATGCAGAACAATCTACATCACCCACAATGATCAAATACACAGTGAGTAATTTTTACCTGCTAACTACATCACACACAATGATCCAATACGCAGTACGCACTCATTCTACGCACTAGATGAATTTGTACCTGCTAAATACGTATCACACGCAATGATCAAGTACGCAGTAAGTACTCCTTCTACGCAGATGAATTTGGACCTGCTAACTACATCACACGCAATGATCAAGTACGCATTAAGTACTCATTCTACGCAGATGAATTTGCACCTGTGCTGCTAACTACATCAAACTAAATGATCCAGTACGCAGTTAGTACTCATTCTAGACAGAAGAATTTGTACCTGCTAACTACATCACACACAATGATCCAGTACGCACTCATTCTACGGAGATGAATTTGTACCTGCTAACTACATCACACGCAATGATCAAGTACGCAGTAAGTACTCATTCTACGCAGATGAATTTGCACCTGCTAACTACATCACACTAAATGATCCAATACGCAGTAAGTACTCATTCTAGACAGAACAATTTGTACCTGTTAACTCCATCACAAACAATGATCCAGTACACATTATGGTACTCTTTCTAGACAGAACAATTTGTACCTGCTATCTCAATCACAAACAATGATCCAGTACGCAGTAGGTACTCATTCTAGGCAGAACAATTTGTACCTGCTAACTACATCACACATAACGATCCAGTACGCAGTAAGTACTCATTCCACGCTGAATAATTTGTACCTGCTAACTACATCACAAACAATGATCCAGTACGCATCAAGTACTCATTGTGCGCAGAACAATTTGTACGTGCTAAATACTTCACACACAATGATCCAATAGGCAGTAGGTACTCATTCTAGGCAGAACAATTTGTACCTACTAAATACATCACACACAATGATCCAGTAGGCAGTAGGTACTGTACTAAATACATCACACACAATGATCCAGTAGGCAGTAGGTACTCATTCTAGGCAGAACAATTTGTACCTACTAAATACATCACACACAATGATCCAGTAGGCAGTAGGTACTCATTCTAGGCAGAACAATTTGTACCTGCTAAATACATCACACACAATGATCCAATACGCAGTAAGTACTCATTCTACGCAGGACAATTAGTACCTGCCAACTACATCACACACAATGATCCGGTACGCAGCAAGCACTCATTCAAGGCAGAACATTCATATTTACAAACCCAAGGAAACAACCCCAAGTTCCATAACTGAGATCCATACTTATTCATATTCCAAATTGAGGAATTGTATGGGACATGTAGTTGATTGTCTTGGATTGTGTTTACCACTTCATAAATCTTGTGCCAGACAATGCAAGGTTGACCTTTATTCATTAAAGGCATTAAACATTAACTTCTCTGATACTTGTATTATGCAAGATTTTGTTTACCTGGAGTCAAAGGTGAGAGAATTAATATCATATCTGCTAATCTTTGACGGATATAATTCTAGAGTAGGGCTTCATATTAAGTCCTGGAATTTAGGAATTCACAGCGAGGAGTACATAAGGTAGTCTAGCATTTTAAATACTTTATTTATGTGAGAAACTGAACCAATACTCATTACCAGGAACTTCGTCAATTCATTTTACAGTAGGATACATTATTTACAAAGAACACTCATATATTCTAAGGTACATGTATCCAGCTTCATTATTGTAATGAAACTAGAAATTATTTTATTCAATGTTTTATATATCGGGTGTCCCAAAAAAATGAGACACTTTTTGACAAGTATTTTCTCGGCAACTGATGAACCAAATTTTTGGAAGAATTGTACAAAGTAGCCTAAGAGTATCCTTAGCAAGATTCAGAAATATGAAAAAGATCATGTAAATGTTATGTGAGAGCTCAGATTTTCAATATAGCATGTCAAAATATCCCATAACTGAGCAATGCAATGAGAATTTCATGGAGTTTGTGCCAAAAATCGGACAAGTAATTTCTCCGCAATAGATGAGTCAAATTATTTGAAAACTTGACCTGAGGAACTTTAGGGTATCTCCTGCTAGTGCTATAAATATGTAAGAGATATGCCTCATATTATGTGTGTTTTTTTTTAATTGAAGACAGTATGTCAAAATAACTAATATCAATGTAAAAGTCACTTATTAATCCATTTCCAAGCAAAATACCTTTCTGTATTTATTCTAACAATATCACCTCCAATAAATTTTGAGAATGAATGGATTTTGGATATTTCGGAAGAATGAAATGATTCTTTTCTTCATCTTAGACATGACACACAGACAAGCTATTTTGATTGATTAACAAATGCTATCACCTGACAGCTGGTACAAACACTATATAGAAGTCTCGTCGCAGAGCTCCGGTATGGGGATTTTTGACATGCTATTTTGAATTTCTTAGAACTCACAGAATATTTATGTGATCTTTTTAATATTTTTACAACTTGCTTGTAATACTCTTAGGCTACTTTGTACTTGGCAAATAGTGTCTCATTTTTTTGGGACACCCGATATATATGAACGGTGGCCCGAAACAATCAATTCACAATTGTGCAGGTGGCAAGAATGATTTAGCTTTCTGAGAATGTTTTGAATGTGCAAACTGTTAATCTGAAAACATGGACTTGTGATGTGTAATATATGGAATATACTTTAGTTCTGGGCCATCCTCTATAATGACTAAATTATTCGATATTCATATAGTTATTTAAGATTTAATTGCATTCATTTGTTAGCGACAAGGTAAAGACAGCTTTCACAAATGAGTTTAGCTTATTTCATATATTCATTTAATTGTTGCAGATGGGTGATTCCAAACAGGGGAGCATGATTAAGAAGCCATTATTTTTACTGGCCATTATTGTGCTGATTCTTGGCTTCAAGTGGGCCAATGACGTCACTCTGCAAGAAGGTGTTGGGGAAAGATGGAAGCTCCATCTTTTGGCAGCATCCATCAATGTAGTCAAAGATCTTGTAAGTTATTTATTCAAGGAGGTCAACGGATGTCTATGATTCAGCTAAATTAAATTTCTTCTCTACCATCAGCAATAGACTTGAAACTTTGAAATAACTGCTGTTGATACAAATATTATTAATGCCTGTTAAATTCCAGGATGTAACGTTTTTAAAAATGGCATACATGGGTCAGAGTTTGCGAACAAATCTCTTATACGGACAAAGTATAACTAATTATGTCTGGGTCCACTCTCAAGATTATCATCAACAACACTTTCGAAAAAAGATATGCGATATGAAATTGAATAACTCAGATGCCAGTAGGTAGTTACCAGTTTCGTCACCAGGTGGCTAATTCGGGGGGAAATAACATGGCAGGGTACTCCGTTTTAGTGGTTTTCTTTTCATATTACCCTTATGTATCTGATCGTTATACAAATTAAAATATGTCAAGTAAAAGAAAATATAATATCTGCCTAACACAAGAAAACTTTTTTGTGATTTTACAAAATATGGTCTATGGGGAATATCCCCGAAGGAGTTACTTGTTGATTCCAAATATGACACAGGTTTGACAAAATTTTGAATATTAAATGACGTAACCCAAGATCATTTCTACTCGCATTTCCTCCATTGTGCGAAGCTAAATTTTAATCGATATAAGAAAATCAGTCCTCGCAGGATCAGGATTTGGTTCTGATGAATGTAGTTTTGTTGCAGGCGACGTTAGGGAACATGTTAGGAATAGCATCAGAGATCAACATGACCAGAACACTTATTACGCACTTCGCTGTTGCCATAGATACAGGCCGTTACAAAGACTACCAGGTATGATCGACCATGAATTAAATTCCAGTCTTCCCTATTATTTTATTTTATATTAAGTAATATATTATATAATATTATATTATAGAACAGAATATTATACTTTGTTGTATGTATAATTAAAATTTGAAATTCCGTTTCCAGTTCATGAACATCACTGATACAAAGTTTGGCGATATCCCTGTTAGGATATACCGACCCCCAAAGTTGCCATCCAACGGCCCTGCAATGATGTTCTTCCACGGAGGAGGGTTTGCGTTCATGAATCCGGACACCCACGATATCTTTCCTAGAACCATCTCCAAACGTCTTAATATGCTAGTGGTCTCAGTTGAGTGAGTATTTGTGTTAAATAGTGTAATTTCTTTCGCTTTTACTATTTTGCAAATTGTTTGGAATAAATTACACATAAAAGACGTCGTAAATAGTGAGTACTTTTATTGAAATCTTGCAATTGTGGCTACAACATATAATAGAAACCTAGTACCTTCACGACATGACAATTTCATAGAAACTTCAAACATTGCTATTCCATAATATATTACAGAAATCCAACGGATCCATCACTTAATAATGTTAAAGAAACCTGGCAGCTCCACCATTTGATAATATTATTGAAACCAGGGAGCTCGATTACTCACATGATAATAAAACTATTGAATGTTTTACAGCTATAGAAGAACACCAGAGCACCCCTCTCCTGCTGGCTTCCATGATTGCCTCAATTCTACCATACACCTTATGAGGCATGCTGAAGAACTGGACATCGACTCCAGACGTATTGCAGTGGCAGGTTGGTGATTATCTTCATGTATACTCGGTGAACCTCGAATATGAAATGATTTATAGAAATTGGCCATGGGTAGTAAGGGGCATTTTTTTATACATAAATTTATTCCTTTAGTAAACAATAGAAGACATGCAATTGATTGCCAAAGTTTTATAAAAAAAAACATTAGCGGCAATTTTAGACAATATGAATAGGAATACATTAAAATTTAAAATTTATCAAAGTAATGTTTTCACTCATATAAGAAACTATAACCCCATGGGCCAGGGATGTGTTAACACATGCATGCAAAAATTAGCCAAACCGATCAATTTGGCCCAGACTTTGATTAACAAAATGACTCATAAGTTCTATTAATTTTTCATTTAATGAATTATCTAAATCTTCATCACCATACAAAAGAAACTGAATTTTGTCAACTGTGCTCAAATTCTGAACCAAAAGATGAAGATCTGAAGTTCGCAGTCCTGCAAATAAAGTTTCACGCTCGTTTACAAGCAGAGGACATTTTAAGATAAAATGAGAAGGTGTTTGTGGTAATCCACATTTACAAAAGGGATCCCTAACACTGGTGAAATTATGAGCATATAGCTGTGATTTTAAAAGAAGACCCACTCTGAGTTTGTTAAAAGCAGATTCAACATATCTAGGCATTTCGTTTACCATTTTGGTAGTGGGTAGCATGGAGACAGGGCTCCTGTAATCTCTTACTAATCTTTTGAAGCGTGATATCGGTTGACCTCTTCTAGTGTCAAGGTGTAAATTATTCCATATTCTTATTCCATTCAAAATAGTTGACCTCCGGAATGAGTTGCTAGCTTTTGTAGGAATTAAGTAGTGTCTTGTATTTCTCAGTTGCCTAGCCTGAGTATTTTCATAGGTTTGAAGTAATTCACAAATGAAAGGTGGAAGAATTGTACCTACATTTAAACATAAACATTTTATAATGCTCATCTCTTCTAGTTGATAGGGATTTCCAGTTTAAGGAACTTAGAACAGAAGCAGTGTTTGACCCATGTATAACACCAGAAACCAAACATGCTGCTCTGTAGTGCAATCTATCTAAACACTGAAGTTTAAAATGTGAAGCTTTACCGTAAATAATATCACAGTAATCAAAATGTAAGGGGCATTTGAAACAAGAAAACAAAAATCCAATAGTCAATTGTTTCTGTCACGATCATTTCCATACAAAAACAATATTTTCATGTATATTTCCAGGTGACAGCGCTGGTGGTAACCTAGCAACAACAGTAGCCATTGCTCTTCGTGACATGGCAGATCCAACTCTCCCAGACCTTAAGATACAGGTCATGATTTACCCAACGATGCAGGAAGCCGATAAAATGACACCCTCGTGCCAACAGAACTTCTACGACCCAATGCATACTACTATTGCAGGAGCATTATTCGCGCTATACCGATGTGACGTAGAGAAAGTAAAATATGCTCCCTTGTTTATCAATAACAATCACACTACACCCGCATTGAAGAAGACACTTTCTAAATATATGCCATATGAAGCACTTCCATATAAGGTCAAGCCAGGATATGTCCAACCCGATGACACACTTGGTGATCATGAAATATCGCGCGTATTGGAGTCGTGCATTATGGATCCTCTATTATCTCCTTTGTTTATAGAGGACCTTAGTAGACTACCTATCTCCTATATGATGACGGTTGAGTATGATGTTTTGAGGGATGAAGGACATTGGTACGCAATGAGACTGAAAGAGGCGGGGAATAAGGTCACACATACACACATACACGATGGCTTCCATAGCATAACTACTCTCTTTGAAGGCATTTTTACATTTGATTCTGGAATAAGAGCTGTAAATGATTTAACTTCGTTTCTTAAACAGAATTTGTAAAACAATTTTACATATCATTTAAAACACAAAACATTAAATGTATTGTTTCTTTGTCGAAATAAATTTTTGGTTCACTCAACTCTAAATCTGAATCTTGAGGGTAAAATTGGAAACCGATAGTAACTGACTAGAATGACTGGTTCTGAAGCTGAGCTGAAGATTGTGATCCTTACTAAATTGTTCCTATATTCATAATACTCCATTGGAAAAATAATCGAATTTGCTAAGTATGAAGTACACTCCCCTCCATAAGTTTGGCAACCTTTTTCCCCCATTGAACTACGTGTTAAAGCCTCTTTACCTTTGAATTTTTATTTACTTAACCTGCGATGGAAATACTTATACTATTGATGGAAACGTAATTTGACTTTAATTCCAGTACCTCCAAATTTTCTCAATTTTTTTCTCAATTACAATAGGTCGAAAATTGATGATAAATTTGATGGATTTTTAAAAATCGACATTCCCATGTTAACCAATGGGAAATGGTAGGTTTGCCGCAAGTCAGAATATCCATCTATCCGAGTCCTTGCAAAAAATATGAGTTAGGCAGGCAATTTAATTTGCTAACTTTATTTAACAAAAAATTGATATGTTTCTTCAGGTTCAACAAATTTATAGGGCTTTAAAGTCAGAATTGATTTTCAAAAAACCTCTCCCATTGAAATAACACAGGAGGCGAAAAATTATTTTCAAAAATGACTTTGAAGAGCTGTAACTTTAATATTCATCAAATAAACTAAACACTTAGTGTTCAAAAAAAGTTAGACAATTCAATTTTCTATATAAAAAATAATGTTTGCTGAATCTTTTACTGAAAAGATATCCTGATTTCTGATTTGGCCCGAACCCTCCATTTCCCATTGGATTACATGGGATTGACGATTTTCAAAAATTCATCAAATCTATCATCAATTTTCGACCTTTTGTAATTGAGGAAAAAAAATGAGAAAAGGAGTTGGGTAAACAAGGCCATTTTAAGCCCCACCTGATTTTCAAGTTTTCTCTTTATTTTATTAATCTATGTGATATATGTGTTTCAAAAATGTATGAAAATTTAGGTCAAGGTCATATTCCCCAGGTCAAGGTCAAATTAAAAAAAATTCATTATTTTCTACAAAAATATACCTTTTTGGTTAAAATATCACAAATATCTGTAGGAATTTAGTCTCATAGAGGTTGGAATTACAATATATAGTAAATTGGCAATTTGCCAATAATGAGATATTTATATTAATATATTCCGCCCTTCCCACGCACACTGAAAGAGAACAAAAGTACCTAAAATAATGAAAATATTTTATTATTTTTAATTCATTTAAATTCAGAATGTACATTTCATAATTTGACTCGTAAAGTAATGTTTATTTTTTATGAGAAATATGTCCTGCTTCCTGTTAGCGACATAGGGTATGCTAAAAAACACACACTAAACACACACACTGTATATATTATAATTCAACATAATGATATTATTCAACATAATTTTAAAGCAACTATTAAGTTTATTTTCAATCATTCTGATAATGTCTAGGAAACAGTAAGTACAGATAACGGAGATAATCACTTCTTGGAGATCACCTAAAAGGTGAAAAACATCTAAAATCTCAACACATTTCATCATTGGCTTGTTAATGAAATAACAATGAAACATTTTCTGATTAGTTTTACTCATCATCACTTGAACTACCTGATTCAGATGTTGTGCACATATAACCACTTGATGTTTCAGGTATTTTAGCATCTAAAATTTTATAATGCCCTTGCAGAGGTTTTTCTTTGGCTTTGTAACCCTCGTGCTTAGCGAAGCCTATATACCAAATGACAGTTATGGTTGGTTCGTTTTGAATCTAGACGACAGTTATTGCATATTATCCGTCCAACTTTGGCATTCTTGACTTGTGAAGCTAAATCTTGTGTAACCTTTCTCCGTTTTCTAGGAGAATTTACCTGCTTCCTACATATGCAGCATGAATAGCATTTGGCCATTTTGAATAATCAACAAAAATGGCAGGCAAAATTTTCTATAAAGTTCTAAAATTCACATCGAGCATAATAAGTCTCCATCAAAATTATTCTTTGTATGCAACAATATAACATTTATGTAACTAAAGAAGCACTTATTAGAGTGGAGACTTGTTATGCTCTATGTGAAAACACTCAAAGGATTACTACCTCCAGTGAATAAAAATGTCACCCAGACTCAGCATGAAATGTCCTTTCAAAGCTTTACTTACCTCTAAACTGTATTTAAATCAATTGTATGTATGGATCAAATAAATATATATTTACATAATCCTGGACAGATAAATCAAAAACATTCATTTATAGCTGAGTAAATTGGAATTCATCAAGAGGGTTGCAAAATATGTGAATTTTTTTCCTTCTGGCCCCCACCCTCTTTGAAGGTCTCCAGACACCGTAACAATTTCTAAATTTTTTTAAAAATACTACCCAAAAATATAGACTGCAATCTATGCGTTTCTGATGTTTTTTTGTCCTATTCTAAAAAAAAGTTGTTTCACACTTCAATTGGGGCACTCTCTGTTGCTAGTTTACCCAACTCCTTTGGAGGTATTGGAAATAGAGTCAAGTTACGTTTTCATCAATATTATAAGTTATTTCATCGCCGGTTAAGTAAATAAAAATTCAAACGTAAAGAGGCTTTAACACGTAGTTCAATGGGGGAAAAGGGTTGCCAAACTTATGGAGGGGAGTGTATGTGTCTGATGTTCAGATTTAGAGAAGTCGTCCAAATTGATATAGTCTTATTCATTTATTTACATAAGGCAATTGTTCTTTTACCCTCGGTTCTCGATTTTTTATTGTTACCATCCAACAGAAAATTCAATCTTTTAAAATATGATGATTTTCATGTTTTATTTTTTGTCACAAATTTAATACTTTTTGGTAATAACAATTCAATAAATAATACATGCATGGCAAACATATATTTTTGTTGATGATCTTTTGATTGAAATATTAAGTATGAGGTCCACCCAGGGGTTCCATCACAGCTTTGTATCAGCAGTGTCTCTAACCACTTTCAGGGCCAGCCTGTTTGTTTGATTGTTAGTTTGATTGTTTGTTTGGTTGTTTAATCGTTGTTTGTTTGATGAATACTGTACTAGCCACACTAAAGAGCCATAAGTAAAATTAATAAAAATTGATAAATTGACGAATCCATGGTCATATTTCAATTCCCAAATATTTGGGCTTGGTTCGAACACATACTATGAGTCAGTTGCATGGTCCATATTTCTGTATTTCGTTCATTGTAAATCTTTAAGCAAAGTACTGGAAGTATACGTCACTTCTGACCGAGTCATTGGCCGTATCCATTCTAATCGTGTCTGAGAGTAAGTACGTCTTCATTTTACCCTTGCCTTTGACACTGATTGTATCTCGGAACTCGCAAGAGATTTTTTTCTTCATCAGGATGTTCGCCGTTGCCTCTGGCATCTGTAATCATATCAGCATGGTCAACATATGTACTACAATTCCAACTGAGTTGTTCATCAAGCTTAACAGAATTATAAAACATGAAACATAAACATGAAATAATATTTTCTTAAACCAGTTGTCGAAAAATTCTGAAAATTTTACACATTGTCAATTAAATGGTCATCTTTTGAATAGTAACAATATAATTTGAAATAGATATATACTTTTCTCTATATTGTTTTAGAGAACACACCGGACACTTCTTTTGTTCTTGGTATCATATGTTCGGAATGAAATGAAACATCTATCCGAACCTCATTGGAACAAAATGACATAAACATAACGTGTTTATGTCTCTCAATATTGTAATTATACAAAGGAAGGTTTGGTTGATTTAAAAAAAGTATCTTGTTAATAAAATTAAAAGTTTATCTTAGTTTTTTTTATCTATTTCGGGCGTTTTTGTTTTAATTTTTTGAATACTTTTTGCTAAATCAACCAAAATTTCCTTTGGACATCTATAATATTGGGACGTCTAAGAAAATGTTGTATATGTGTGACCAATTGACAGTTTACTTTCATTTATAGATGGCACTTGGTATTGCCATGTTTCAGTTCACATAAATAGCTGGAAAGGGGATTTCCACTTCCTCTTTCTACCACACTTCAATAGGTGTACACATAAGTTTTTTATCTCCAACACAATCCACCACAATATTATAACATGGTAAGCCATCCATTCTTTATTTTACATTTATGTATTTCAATTCACATTTATCAATCAATTACAGCATATATTTTGGGTATTTTCTGTCATTTTATCACATATTATCAACTTAGAAATGTGTTCATATTTTTATACAGTTATCTGGCTGGTCCCTACTTCTGCAACCCACTATCCATTCCTGAATACCCATAGCCCAAGAAAGAGCCAGTTCTGTAAGTTATTTAGTCGGGTTGCAAAATGTTTAAATCCTAATTCTCAACATGCCTCATTTTATATTATTGTAAAGTGCCAAATGCCATATTATGTGAAATGCCATATTGTATAAATGTCATATTGTGTAAATGCCATATTATGCGAAATGCCATATTGTATTTTACTATATAATACGAAGTACTTATTATTTGCATTTGTATTTTTTAGCTTCTCTGGCTCTGTTTGTCGTAATAAACAACTGTCACATCATACGTCTTGTTGCTTACATATGCGATTTTGTTCAAACCAGCTTCAGAGAGATATTTTATTTCATTCTCAAGAAATGGTAAAAAGGAAAAAAACAATTGCATTAAAAACAAAAAATGTTAACAAAAATAGTTATATAAAATATATATAAATTATTTTCGCATTAAATTGTTGTCAATTAGTCAACTTTACATAAAGGACCGTGTTTTTTACAGAATGTTTTCAATAATTGGTTTAAGAGATTAACATTGTTGAATCCAGTTCTCCATATCGTTACCAATCCTTTATTGATGTATTTTATTTTGAAAACTGAGTATTGCAGTTTTACGTTGTCTCACAGAATCAAGTTAAACCATTGGGAGAGGCAAGTAAGTTTCAAACATGGTTAGAAAGACATAGTTTTATCCACTTACTTGTATCCGCCCAATGACGCCGTACGTATCCATCCTGCTAGCTACGTTCACAGTGTCTCCCCAAATGTCATATTGGGGCTTACTTGCACCCACGACTCCAGCTATTAAATCCCCATGGCAAATACCTAAAAGTTAAAAATCAAACATTGAGAATTTTACTTTTACCAGTTTATATTATACGATTTGAGATTCAAAGAAATCACGTTTTCTATACAGGCATGCTTTTGCACCAAATTGTTCAAAATGCAAAATAAAATTCAAAAATCTGTATTTGGCGGTGTTAATATCAAAAAGCAAGCCTATTCGATGTGGCAATAGGACATATAATTGATACCGTGCTCTATCTACAAACGAAAATTTAGAACGTTTTCCAAAATTAGAGGGATACAAGTTTGGGCCACCCTTTTGAAAATAGGTTATCATGTTATTGGATATAGAATCGATTCCTGACATTGTAACACGACTTACCTATCCTGAGTTTGTATTCGAACAGTACGTCATTACTTAGGTCAGCCAGTTTTGACATCATTTCACTGGCAAACATAGCCATTAATATAGTGTTTTCACTGGATGTCAGATCATCATTCTGAATTTCAATCAATATTAGAGTTTTTAAATTCATGTTGAAACATATTAATTTTTGGGTTAAGCGGCTAATCCGTAAGGACATTTGTCCTATGAATTTATGAAAAGTTTAAAGTTTCGTTCCTAGAATGAAGTGGTGGACTGTTTTTCACAATTAATCCCACTATTACAAGTCATACAATTTTAAAAAATCGGTGACTAAAGTAAATAATCAGTCTACCATAACTTTTATTTTCGCTTTTTCTTACATTCGAGTCGGTTTTGTTCTCGCATGAATGAGAAGCGAAATCAAAAACAAACAGCATGATATTTTCATTTGCACCACCACCCACTTTATATATACACTCCACTACATGTTCCACTCTAACGCTAATGAAGACTTTCGTTTGCCAAACTTGTGGAGGGCGGTGCACTTACCTCTTCTCTGAGATTCTCCCCGGGACTCAACCCAGTTGCAGCCATATATGTGCTACCTATCGTCTTTATCTTCTCCACTTGTCGAAACCTTTTTAATGCTAGCAACTGAAATATAGAACGATTATTTCAGTCAAGTCCAGTGCCATAGAGAAAAAACAACATACACATACCACACAATTATATTTTGATTATAATGAACACTGTACAATGTCAAAAAAGATTGATTGTTAAACCAATGTAGGACATATTGTCTGTAAAACATACCTTAAACGTCATATTATCTAAACCTCAGTGACCCAAAAAGAAAAACATCAAATCCTATTTAAGAAATGTAGTTAGATTAAGTAATATTGAAACAACTGTAAAACAGAACAGGCTGTGAGAAAACAAATTCCCTGACATCTTAACCAAAGATTGAACATATAAAGCAAAATTGTGATGATCACCTTACCTTATCGAAATCTGAGATTATTTCATTAAGAAGCCTAAGTGACTCTTGTGTTCCTGCTACAGTTGAAAAGTAATGGATGTAGTTAGGTATGGAGGCAAACATCACACAGACATTCTTACAATGCCTGTGATACACGCTCTGAAACAGAATATAGCACAAATATGATAAATCCCTCGCCCAAAAGCCCTCATTTTTGACATGTACCACGTTTGATACTTTCACCATTTACGAATAAAGAGTCAAGTCAAGTCACTTGCTTGAAAGATTGAACCAAAATCTATTATTTTTTAAAAATTTCATATTCCTAGTATTACTAATTTGAAATAGATTGGTCGAGTCAGACATAGACGAGTGCTTATTCATACGTTTAATTCCAAATGACCTTACCCCCTTGCCAAGTTCAGGACTGCAGAAGTGTTCCGCTACATGACGTGGTAGAATATTCTCCAATAACATTGTGTTAAGCATTTCACTACGTTCAAGTTCGTCTTTCTCCTGCTCAATTTTTGTTTGCCAAAGAAAGTCCAATCTACTGTTCCTCTCCGTCTAAGTAACAATAAGCAATAATGAAGCCTCAGTTGCATTTGATCTACGGTGGCCGTACGGCGGCAGTAGCTTCACAAAATCGATTTGGAAAATCTACATCGTACTGCTTATCCCTACATTTAATTTTATGCTGCATATTTCTCTAGATTTTGGGAAGCTACGGCCGCCGTGTCATTGCAATAGATTAAATATGACCGAGGCAAGTGTGACCTTGTTATAACTTTCATTTCTTTGCGGATTTGGCAGAAATAGCCAAAGCTTGTTACAATGTCAACCCAAACAAAATGTTTCCATATAACAATTAATTGTAGAAAAATGAAAAAAGTTAACACAAACATGCGCATCGAGATGAGATGATTCATATATAATAATCACAAATTAATTGATAATTATTTATAGAAAATAGATAGATTGTTACAGTGGAATGATTAGATGGGGATATCTATTTAGAGAGTAATAATGAAGAGATAAAAATACAAACCTGTCTGTCTAGAACAATTAAAGTGACGAACATAACCGTGAGATAGAAAGATCCCCTCACTCGCAGTTGGAGAATATCAGGCCTATAAGGATAAATTGAATTACATTCACAAATTCGATCAACTAGACTATATGTATCAATTGCTTAGTACTAGGCAAATCTGCGAAAATTTGAATTTATCGTCAACATCCTCTGCCAACTAAGACCAGTCGTTTTCGGAACGGTCCAAGCTGAATAACCATATAATAAATAAATTGATAAAGCACAACATGCAGACAACAGAAATCGTAAGCACACGGAGGACTGGCCCAATAGAAATGTCCAAACCTTCATATTTAAGTACACTATACACAATTGCTCATAAAAAAGATTTCCAAACTATAAAAACAAAAGTTTGTTCCAAAATAATACATATAAATAATTAAATAATGTAAAAATATACTCTTTGAGCACAATATTCCTCAACATTTAGTTGAATCTCAAAAGCATTAATTGTTTGAACAGACCGTGAAAATATATTTGAATATTCTTTGAGATTCTTTTAAATCGTAGGAAACGATGTTCAATTGGAAAATATTCCATATTATACGAGCAATGGTGTATATTTATTTAAGTTGGTGACATGCATGATATACCGATGGTGGACACTAAATTGGAAATTAGATTCTCATGACTTGATCAAGTGGATCATACACTAAGCGATGCTTCAAGTACTGTATTATAAAGAAAGGGCTTAAATATATAGGTGTGATCATTTTTGGGCCACATTTTAATAAAACCTACCCTAGACATTCATCATAGAAGTCAAAAACATGTGCCAGGACTATATGGAAGAGTGAGTTGTAGGAGAGAAGGCCGAGAACCATATAAGCAATCTTTATGAGCCAGTTAAGGCGAAGAAACACGCTACATGCAGTTAGTGCCAGCATACTCGAATACATAAAATACTACAAAATAATACCAAAACTTAGATGTGTTAGAATTTAGACTTTGCCCCTCCCTTCAAGCCATTTATATTTGGATGCATAAAAACCACGTTTCAACTATGGCAAATGTTCTGCGTCTACATACTTGATGTTTCGCGACTATGTAAAATATAAATGACTTCAAGGTTGGGAGCAATGAATACAGATCGTAAAATAATAAAATTAAATATTAGTACAAACGAGACAGATTAGTAGTTTAAAATAGCTCATTCCATCATAGTTCAAATCTTGTAGTTGTACGAAGATCGAAAGATTGGAAGATCACTAATATGTATTAGTGTAAGATAATGCGTTTTTATATTAGTACATGTAACATGCAAACATTTTGAAATGTGATGGCTTACGATAAAGACAAACTACGAGCATCAAATCGACACCAAAAATTAGTAACGGACAAACATATAATATAAACATTATGCAGCAATCCATATTACCGGTGCAAATACACAGACGCCCTCGTCTGCCAATATCTCCACCATTTCTCTGAATAACTGGACTGTCTGATTGGTGCAATTATATGGATCATCATGGACGTCCTTACACTCAAACTTGAAAACAAAATCTGTATATAGCATGTACAATCCACTCAATCTCACGTTTTTTAATTCACAAATACATGAATATTTACATATTTAGTAATCCATTAACGATCATATTGAATGTTCCTACATAGGATATAATTTTGGTATATTGAAATATACTCACTACTATTATATTAGCTGATGTCATCAGCTGTGTGTATTGAAATATACCCACTTCTATTGCATTAGCTGATGTCAACAGCTGTGTGTATTGAAATATACCCACTGCTATTGCATTAGCTGATGTCAACAGCTGTGTGGATCGAAATATATCCACTGCTATTGCATTACCTGATGTGTACAGCTGTGTGTATTGAAATATACCCACTGCTATTGCATTAGCTGATGTCAACAGCTGTGTGTATTGAAATATACCCACTGCTATTGCATTAGCTGATGTCAACAGCTGTGCGAATCGAAATATACCCACTGCTATTGCATAAGCTGATGTCAAAGCCGTGTGTATCGAAATATACCCACTGCTATTGCATTAGTTGATGTCAACAGCTGTGTGTATCGAAATATATCCACTGCTATTGCATTAGCTGATGTCAGCAGCTGTGTGTATTGAAATATATCCACTGCTATTGCATTAGCTGATGTCAACAGCTGTGTGTGTCGAAATAAACCCACTCCTATTGCATTAGCTTATGTCAACAGCTGTGTGTATCGAAATGTATCCACTGCTATTGTATTAGCTTATGTCAACAGTTGTGTGTATTGAAATATACTCACTGCTATTATATTAGCTGATGTGAACAGGTATATTATGGTTGTAAATGATATTAATATCTTTGCCCATTTACTCCTAGTGATATTGCCCGACGCTCTTGAGAAAAATGTTCTTCTGAGACACTGAAATTTACAATAATACGTTCAGATATGGAATAAATGATATTACAAAATATAGTACCCTACCATTTCCCCTTCTCATACATGAATGGTAAACCAGCTGTTAAGGTTAACGGTACACACTGTACATAATTACAACTTAGTAAAAAAATACTTACTGAAATATCAGCAGCCATACCAAAAACACTCATAGCTAGGAACAGTAAAATCCCAACAGAAAAAACACAGACCTGAAGTACTGATCTAAAACAATAGCGAAACTTGTTTACATCCCCTTCTTCTAAAAGGAGATTATTGAAACATAATATCGAATGTCCATGGACTTGCCACACTATAGCACTGTTTAAAATGGATACAAATGCTAACATATAAATGACAATCCTTGCTATAACCAATAATTACCGATGACAAAATACAAATTCTAGTTGCTTATACGGAACACAAATATAAACGGCTTAATATATCGAAACATACACGGGAAATAATGACTGCATGTTTCAATATTTACTGTATGCACAAAGAAGTGTACGACTTACGTGTTGAAGATCATAAACTGGATGAGCACGACACATGCGTATATGATAGACGCACAGACGATGTAATATTTGAACAGAGGGTCTGGAAGGTTAGAGTACTGATTTTCTGTTTCAGTGTTTTTAAACAGCAGGGTCACTGCACTTATTTCATCAGATTCCAGCTTGATCCAGTCCCTATAAAAAATCAAAATGAGTGGGAAATACTTTCATTTACCAATTTCATAATTGTTAATCCCTTTATTCTTCAATATATATCATCAGAGAAGAATTTCAATCGTCGTGGGTTCAATATAAGACATTAACACATAGACGTAATTGTTAACACTCTATTTTGTCATGTATTATGACTTACTTATAGTCATGAATATCATCATTCTCTTCAAGGTGAAATGCTCTCTCCAATCTCTTCTTCACCTCTGCCTCTTCCTACAACATTGTAATTATGTTAGCACTAAAATTATACTGAAGTAATATGATGTGCTACGAAAATAACAATTACGATTACAAATTATAGAAACAGATTGAGAATGCTTTGAAGAATGCAATGTAACACAATGTTTAACAATGGAAAACATATTTTTCAGTAAAATTGTGTGTCATCGTCACTTTTACCCAAACAAAATGAAGAGCAGGCATGGTCTTACAACCTATGCATCCATCCATGCTTGATTAGGTAAATGCAGTTTAATATTATAGAGTTGATTAAAAGCATTGTCACGTGTAAAATGGTTTCAGCATGCTAGATCATCATTAATAACTTAATAAGTTATACCACACACCCATTGTATCATTATTCAAATCCCATGTAATATTGGAATATGTTTTGCATGGTTACATCGAGGATAAACCAGGACATCTCACTTCCTCTCAACCTTGAGATAGCCCTCACCTAAATCTTAACATGTTCTGGTGAAACAGGCAGACACTTGGAGTATCGGAATGGTCATGATCATGGTATTGGTTTTATATTACATGTGATAATCATTACAACAGGGTGGATCGCGCTGTGGGTAGCCAGTGCACAATATGCATACAAAGTTAGATAATGTTATACCGCAAAGTTAGCTTGCTAATGACGATGAATAAGAGGCAAATCGCAATGGCACAAAATGCATATTTACATGGGTCATATTGACCTCGGTCTGTCTATGTCTAGTGTTTTGAGCGAGGACTCACATGAAAGCATATGGTGCGTGTGGTAGGAAGAATAAGTTAATATCGTGTCGGGTTATTGAAGAATGGTGTGAAAGGAAAGAAGATAAGTTCCCAATATCCAAAGCAATGCATGTACAATGCGCACACATTGGACAGCATGTTTGTTTATGTCTATGGTTCAAGTGATTCGTTGAGTCAACGACAGGTGGATATTTTGGCATATACATTAATAACATGCTTTAACGCATTGTAGAGGCATTTCGGGTTTCCAAACGTTTGAAAGAGAGTGTTTATATTGCAAAGCACCATGTGCTGAAGAAATGGGTTTTATACCTCTTCTCCTATCTCCTGTCCATAGACATACAGCTACAATAAAGGTTTTATAGAGTACATACAATGATAATGACGCAAAAACAGTAGAACTCTTGGCGAAAAAGGAAATACAAGGACAGTAAAAAACATGCTCCATTACCGACATGATTTATTATTAACAGTCCCCGTATTTCTCTTCTTCTCACACACATAGAGACATCCGTGACATGCAATAGCATGCAATAGACCACATGCATATTATGAAGGATATCCGACCCAACAAAAATGTCTTATTCTAGATCCAATCATGCACATAAAATCATAATGTATAGGCTACCTAAAGATCGGTGTTAAACAAGTTACTTATATTAAATATGTATTCAACACTGGAGAATAATCTAAAATGATAAAATGAAAATATATGGCACTCGAAATTATCCAAAATAAATGGCATGCATTATATACATGTATATGTCCTACACAACACCAAGTCACATGCGTGGATAAAGTATATATAATTCATAATGTACAAGGTTTCCCTTAAATATTGAAAAAATGTACTCTCAATAATGTTAATGATTCATATAAAACTATATAAAGTATAGAGCTTAATCATGTATAAAAGTATCAAGGCGAACTATTTACTGGCATTGTCTTCTCCATCATATAATCTGAGAGGCTGACAAATGGTTTCTCGGCGCCCCAGTTCTCCACATACACAGAGAATCGTCTTGCCAAGGGACGTTTTGGTCGACCCTTTGCTACGTCGGTATTATCATTGACGTCATCAGCAGACTGCAAATTAAATTTAAGTGGATTTTGACATTTTGTAACACTTGGCGTCTATCATAATTTATTGTATCGCTTTCACATTTAATTTCACATTTAATTAATAATGAACATGAGAGGTGCAATTTGAGTTAATAGCAATGTGTCATTTGCAATGCAATTATAAATGATATTCCATTTTATGTCATTGGTCGGGAAAATGTAAGCAACTGTCGAACTAAACAAAATGAAGCATACAAAACGGTAAACCTACCTCGGATTTTGGTTGTATGAAGTATGTCTCGATGTTGTTTTCCTTGAGAACAGTGTCTCTTTCCTGTCCATGTGCCTCATTCCAAACAAATTCTTCTCCCTCTTTTCCAAGCTCTTTCAGTGTAGCTTTTGTTATGTGTACCTTCCTTGAATGGAATCTTTAATTTTAGCAACCACAAACATCACAAACTTTGATCTAATGCACGAAGAAACATAATCCCCCATAATTTAGTAATCATTATCACGAGCTAAGATCAGTAATAATTATTACGAGACTAGGTATGTCACATTTGATGCATAGCCTACTGGAGTCATTACAGTTTACAAGTTGAAGAACAAATGAAGCAATATTTCCAATATCATCAAAAATAGTGTGAATAATATCCCCTTTGTGAAGCCCAGAGTTTCCCACTGATTTTGCTGGATGTTACACTATATATTTGACCGGGCACCTACCCTGCTTCTCCACTCGACTCCATATGATTTGCTATTGTTACATCATCCGACCAAACGTCATATTGCCATTTCCTCAATCCTAGCACACCACATAGCACAGTCCCGGAATGCACACCAATGCGCATATCTAGTGTCCAAACACCAGTTTTATGTCGTATTTCCCTGATAAACAAAATATCATCAGATATATATCGCCTCACAAAAAGTGTGAAAACGCACAGCACTGGGTAGGATTTGCAAATTTATTAATAGAAGGGAAATTTCTACAGACGTTATAATTTTAAAGTTTTGAACCTTATAATATACTAATAATAATTAAGTTTTGAAGCTAAATTTCTGAACTTCTGAAGTCTTTAGTTTTGAGTTTGTTCTATACCAAGCGTGAGGCACTGGTGGCTTTTTGGCCTAGAGGTTTGCTACGCTGGAACAGGCTATATACATTTCAAAAGTCAGAGGAAGGCAATCAGTATTTTCAATGCGTTTTTAAACCCAATTAGCGAGGGTATGCTCAAGTCAACATTTCAATTTTTCATTCTACCTCTATATTTATTAAGCCACTTGTTTCAGTCACACACTTCATCCTACCATAAAGATAGGTGTGTCACAGCTTACAAGAATATATTGAAGCATGCTGTAATATCATATTCCTTATTAAACAATATGAACTTATTGTAAACCTTCTGACCTGATCACCTTTATCATCTCGAGCCCCATTCTAACGCAGTTTCTCGCGTGAGTTGGAATAGGATCAGGCAAACCCGATACACAATAGTAACAGTCTCCAAGGATCTTAATTCGCATACAGTTGTGCTCCTTGGCCAGTTGGTCGAATCTCCCAAATAGTTCGTTCAGTGCATTGACGAGATCGTATGGGGATAGTTCATTAGTTAGCGGTGTAAAATTGACTATATCCGCGTATAAAATGCTGCAACATAAAATGCATTTCATACAGGGTACACATGATTAAGGGGGCAATACTTATACCACCTCAGGTAAATCATTGGGACAGATGAACTAGAAAACTCAATGTTTTCATTTATCAAATTGTCTTAAATGTATTTTGTTTATCACAAGAATTGTAAAGAAAATATCTTCAATCTTCAACTTGGGGTTGGCCACGAAATTTCGTTTGTACAACAATAAAAGAAGAATCGAGCTTCTGGTCTCCACATTTTAGATACGCGTAGGTAGAATACCATCAATTTTCATGCAGGAAATCGAATTCAGATGCATTAGACTACGAAGTGAAAGTTTCTGATTATTTGAGTATATTTGCACATCCTGTTCAAATGTCACATGTAAACTTGAAATAACACTCATTTATGATGTTTGTAATAATTTCTGACGAGACGCCGATATAAACATCAATCAACGTGTATCGCATATTCACACCGGAATAGCCTGACTACGGTAAAGTCAGATACCGTTGTCACAAATGGCGGACATAACCGTCGCTTCAACTGTTTAATCACTTGGTCCTCATTTCATGGGATTTTATCATCGCTAATTTTGTGCATGCATTGAGCTCTTGTGATAATGTATCATATATGAATTCCCATTTTCCATCAGATTGGGTCATGAATCGCCACAATATAGCGTCTTCGATATCGTCAATGACAACGGAATCTGAATTTGGGTAATTTAGAAAGACAACGGCATATGGTAATTACAGTGTCCGTTGTCCCGTATCTCATTTTGGTCGGTAAAATTAAAGACTTTATTTCGATGGTAGAACATTATTAACTGTACAATGAGTATTAAGACACTTTGATTGCTTGTTGTTCCAAAGGAATTTAGTCTAGGTGCTCTATTAAACATACAGTTCATGAAAATCTAATTGAAGCGACGGTTATGTCCGCCATTTGTGACAACGGTATCTGACTTTACCGTAGTCAGGCTATTCCAGTGTGATATTGTACTATTCTTAGCAAACAGTGAACTAATATCATAAACAGGCAATACAGTTTAACGCATAGAACCAAGAAATGTCTCGAAAGAAGATGGATTCGTTCATTTGTATATACAATTCTTAGGAGGAAAATTGAACTACTAATAATTTTTGAGGCTTGGGCGTGAAGCCGTTCACTCAAATATTCAAGACTATGATATCAGATAACATTGTAGTGTTACTCATTAAGTACAAAATTGGTATTTGTCGAGCACTTCCGATAACAGACGCTGGTTTATCAATCCATGTTTAGCCTCAGCCCTCTCACGACACTTGCCTATTACATGTTCTAATAACAACCATCAAGTACCTCCTGTAGGGATTATCTACTATACTATTGAGTTCGTGTAAACGAAATAAATTGTCAGCTTTGATACTTTCAAATGGCCGACATGACCATGGTGTTAAACCATGAAAACACAATACCACCTGATAGTCAATTTGCTTAAAAAATACATTGGCATGCTATTTGACTCTCTATTATTTTAGGTTGGTATTTTATATTACCTGACTTGCTCATGGCGTTGAATCATTAAGTCATAAAACCCCGTTGCATCAGGTTCGGATTGTACGAGACGCTTCAATAACAGTTGTTTGATATCTTCGACGAGGTATTTGGGTATGATCTTATGTAACAATCCTTCTCTCATTTTATTCTAAAAAATGTAAACGTACATTATTTATCCTGAAACTCCGAAGTATGTTTGGAAAGAGGTGTAGTACAATGTCTATATTAAGTGTATATCCAGGGTGAGCCAAAAAGGTAACCCAAACAAATATATGTACTCAGTCATTCAGTATGAGATTCCTCAAATTTGGCACAATTAAACCTTGTTGAATGTTCTTTCCTTCTACAAAATGGCTCACTCTGTACAACCTGTATGTTTTTCTTTTTTCAGATTAATTTTTATTTCAGTGATATACATATTATGTACCTTACATGCTTTTGATATTTTCAGACTTTAAGCAATAGTTTAGAAAATGTGTTACATCCGTAATGTAGTGTGTGGAAGGTCATGTAAGATATTCATAAATGTTGGAATTTGCATTTATAAAAAGGGTATTGTTGAGTGCTCCACCTCTTGTTTAACAGGTCGTGGAACCACAGGACCCTTCAGGAAGTCCTATCCGAGTTTGTCATCCATGATGATAAGTGAAACTAATACACCCATACAATAAGTGACGTAAAATACAACAATACACTACAAACCAATAGTGACAAATAACAACCATTCATTTCTTGGGAATATTTATGCACAAGTGACAGATGTATGGCAGATATGGTCTGAGTATCAAAATGAAACAAACCTGTTTTTCTCTTCTTCTGCTGAACTTGATGTTGGCCTCAATAAAGTCTCGAGTGTCTAGGAATGTTTGTCTATGAGCAAGATCTGTTAAGTATTTATGGTATAATCCTACTAGGTTGGCACAAACGAATATCAAACCATTACAAACGAGCTAAAAAGCAAAAGGATGAACGGCATTACAAACCTTAACTAATTTTTTGCAAGTATAGATAAAGCGAAACAAGAATGAAATGGTGTATTTGTATATTTAAAACCTTCAAACTCATTTATATTTTGTTTTGCCACAAATAATGGAACTATAAGCGGCTAATATGGCAATAAAGGAAACAATTAATAAAACAATTTACATGCCAGGGAGAATATATGCACATTGTTGCCAAAAATTAAGTGAAATGGCTTGGATACCATGTCAAACCATATGATTGAGACGTTTGGACGATTCTTGATTCAATAGTCACGTTTTGTATTTAAAGAATTACTTCAGTTAAATTGCATTATATTGCACGCATATCAACAGTTATCTTGCTACTATTAAATACAATTATGGTACCCACTCAGTCATAATGTTTATTCTATGCATGATAAAACTCTAGTCGAAACTTCAGTTTATCTTATCACAATTCGTAAAGTGCGTAAATATATAGAAATTTGGAAGCACCATACCTGATTAGCTGTCAGAAACACAATGAAATTTTCAGTGACGTGCAGAAGAATACCTTGGACGAGTAAATCTAGAACGCCAGTGAGACTTCCGAGAATTAAAGCCCATTTTCTGTTCATAGGCATCATTGTATGGATAATGAAGATCATATAAAATATCATGGGTACATCGTCAAATGATTGCTTATCAGTTTGAAATGTGAAAAAGATATAGACGGTTGTCATCAGGAAGAGCCAGATGAAGAGAGCGATGAGTTTGTTGAACTTGACGAAGACGGGTTTAATTGAGACCAGTGCTATTCCTACTAATGATCCTCCTATCCCTACACCCATGACAATGTTCGTGCCAGGAGCACTCTCTCTCTGAAATACAATAATAACAGGAATAACTAGTAAAACATAAATGGTTTTAGGGTCCCTGCAGTACTAGTGACCCAAAATTCTCCCTAATGAACCCCCTTTTAACATTTCATGGTTAACAATTTGGTAAACAATGCTGTTTCATTTATTATCGATTTACATTGTTGTAAATATAAAATTATACTTTAGATTTAATCAATTAAGAAAGAAAATAGTAAATTTCCAGTCTATTGTATACTAGTATGTGGTTTTGATGATAATGGTACGTGTACGCATTTGTTTCTACTATTTATTTAAATCATGTTTGCTTACACTAGCTGCACTATCTTCCATTCCGACTGTGTTGATTAGGAGGATCTGAGAAACCCCATAGAATACTAAAATTACAAGAAGGGCGATCAATGTGTCCCTCTGGATCCGTAGTGAATATCTCTTGTACAGATCCTCGATCTCATTGTCTTCAAATCGATCCTGAAATTATTTTATTTTAAATTGGAACCAAATCTATCAATATCATAGGAAGGTTAATGAAGGGATTTATGCGTAATCTATCTAAATGTGCATGAAACCATCTACAGCATGAACACATTTTAAATCGTTTTAATGATTATTCAACTCCTGTTACTTTCATCCTTTAACCAAAAGTGACACAAAAGAATACCCTAATAATAATTACATGTTTGATACAGAAATATGAAGTCCAAAACCACTTACCTTGATGTATTGTAGTGACCATTTACTACGTCGTCTCATAGATCTCCTTCTTCGTGGTGGTTTTGGATTCTCCTCATCAATGTCGTTTTCTGAAGTTGGTTGTTCCCGATCCGGATCAGCGGCGAACGATACTCTCCTCGATGACAACGTAAGCGATTGAGGTGCTGAAATTTCAGGTCTTGAAGCAACCAAGTCAGGTTGATCAATCTCAGCGACTGCAACTTTCCGTCTTTGCTTCTTCTTCTTCCTTAAAGCAATTGCTGGGAACATTTCTTGGATCTCTTCTCTACTTTTATATTCATGTTGTTGTCTTGGTAATGATCCATTTCTTAGGGAGCCGTTTTTCAAAAAGGTGGTCCCGCCATTTTTGGTAGATGGAGTATTTCCGTTTAGTTTGGTAATATCTGGTACGTTATTATTTGTGGATGTTTCAATATGAACATTAGCATTGATATGTAGGTCTCGTTGGATAGATGTTTCCTCATGGTCCATGTTAATATATTCAGTGCCTCCAAATGAAATCCGTTTACTGGTCTTTTTAGGTACATTTTCCGATATGGAGTCACGTTTGAGACGTTCAGTATCTCCAGGACTAGATTCGTGCAAAACAACATCATCACATTTAATGGCTTCATCTTTATCAACATTTGATTCAGTTTGGTTCGAAATATTGGACGGAGTTAGAAAGGCTATATTTTTATTATGGGGTTCGTTGCAAATTTCACTTTTATCACTAGATTGGCTTTGCTGTTCACTAGTATGTGATTTTTCTGATTCAACTGAATGAGTTAAACTATTTGCTTTATGAATCTCTGGTTTGTTGCAACATTCTGGAATTAAATCTCTATTTGCACCAGGATCATTTTCAATTCTTTGATTTGGTTTTGGCACGTTTTTACATATTTCATTATTCGATGATGGTGCGGATTTTTGATCGTCCTTATATTGTTCATGATCCGTTGATGATAGCATCTCGATATGTTTTGATGATGATTGTAGGTCCACGGTCTGTTTATGGTCTGACTGTTTTTGTTTTGAAGATGATGGTAATCTAACAGACTTTTTATGTTCTGATGCCGATGATAATTCCAAGGAACGTACATGATCTGACAATGATGATAATTCCACGGTCTTTTCATGTTCTTGGGGTGAGAATAATTTCTCGGACTGGTTGTGGTCTAACGATGATGCTATTTTCATGCACTGTACGATAGGTTTTACATGTATGTCTTCAGATATTTCCTGGGGTTGAGGAGAAATTGAAAAGTTAACACAGATATCATTTAAGGACACTTCATCCTTTGGAGAATATGGAGGAGAATTGTTTGGTCGGTTAAGCGAAGTCGTTACACCAGCATCCGTTACACTATCCCTTATAATCACATGAGAACTCTCCTTTGTTTTCTCATCAGAGTCATTGCTTTGTCCGATGGTTGGAAGATCAATATATGAATCCCCAATTCGTCGGAATGTACCTGTACCCGTTCCTAATATTGTTTCATTAGTTGTTGAAAGCGTAGGGGAATGTGGGCCATCATACCCCTCATTGTATGTACCACAGGTTTCCAAATCGTACGTATTCGATCGTTTGAATAGATTTGAAGACTTCCGTCCCTTTTTGGCTAGGCTGACCTTCTTAGGCATGGTTTTTGACGATATTAGAAATTTCCGCCGTCAGATTATAGATTACCAGTCGTATAATATGCAAATCCAGAAATATCTGTGGGTTCAGATGATATAGTGTATACATCAGAAGTAATTAGTCACCGTTGTATTAGATATATTCTTCCACTCCTCAAATAAAACTAAATATACATCTACTAATTAATTGACAGTTTTACCATGTGTACCGACGCTGCACTTGAAAATGTCGATTTTGGTACTAACGGTCATAAAAACGATATTCCCCACAACACACATAATAGTTCAATTGGTGTGGTCTATAATATGATCGTGATAAACGTCATCTCTTCCCATTGACAGATATTCAGTGATATCATTTAGAACTTGCTTCTCTACTCCACAGAAAATTTGTATTTGCCGAATGAGGTCCAATTAGTTATCATGAAGTCAACTTAAGAATGCAATTTCAAATTCCTGTTTAATCATCCTCAAACACCATGTGTAATATTTATCCTGACCTACTTAGTTTATTTTGTGATATTTCGGCCGATTGCCTGTTGTTTGTGTCGACCACCTTCTTCACATTGTACTCAACTTGTACCACCAGCCAGTGCATATATCCTATCAATAAAGTTGTCCTTGATATAAGTGGCTCATGAAGTAACCTGAAAAGGCAGTTAGTGTACAAATTATTTAAAAGTATATTGTGTTCATTTGTTTGTAATCTATTATAGTCAATTATAGATTGAACGCAAGTATATCTTTTTGTGACCAGTACGGCAACAAGCCGACTTAGTAAATTAAGTTATCTGCCTCGAAGTAAAACCCAACGATGTCTTATTTAAAACTGAAAGGAGTTCGGAAACCATTTGGAATAGACAGTTAAACGCTATAAATGTAATTGGAGAAATAGTTATGATACTCCATGACATTGGGATGAATATTTGTTTATCAAAGTTTGAAATTCAAAAATATAAGAAGTCTCGAAACTCAGTGACATTTTGGTTGGGGAACAATCTATTTTATTTGTAATTTGTTTGATAATAAAATAACAGATATTATTGTAATCTCTTCTTCTTGACCTCTGTAAATAGTTTCATATCATATTGAGGTACATGAGTATGAATCACGACACGTGCTGACTATAAATATCTAAGCACAACGAAGTGCCAAAGGGAAAGGACCAAAAACTATAAATATCTAAGCACAAGTGCCAAAGGGAAAGGACCAAAAACTATAAATATCTAAGCACAAGTGCCAAAGGGAAAGGACCAAAAACTATAAATATCTAAGCACAACGAAGTGCCAAAGGGAAAGGACCAAAAACTATAAATATCTAAGCACAAGTGCCAAAGGGAAAGGACCAAAAACTATAAATATCTAAGCACAAGTGCCAAAGGGAAAGGACCAAAAACTATAAATATCTAAGCACAACGAAGTGCCAAAGGGAAAGGACCAAACACTATAAATATCTAAGCACAACGAAGTGCCAAAGGGAAAGGACCAAAAACTATAAATATCTAAGCACAAGTGCCAAAGGGAAAGGACCAAAAACTATAAATATCTAAGCACAAGTGCCAAAGGGAAAGGACCAAAAACTATAAATATCTAAGCACAACGAAGTGCCAAAGGGAAAGGACCAAAAACTATAAATATCTAAGCACAACGAAGTGCCAAAGGGAAAGGACCAAAAACTATAAACATCTAAGCACAAGTGCCAAAGGGAAAGGACCAAAAACTATAAATATCTAAGCACAACGAAGTGCCAAAGGGAAAGGACCAAAAACTATAAATATCTAAGCACAAGTGCCAAAGGGAAAGGACCAAAAACTATAAATATCTAAGCACAACGAAGTGCCAAAGGGAAAGGACCAAAAACTATAAATATCTAAGCACAACGAAGTGCCAAAGGGAAAGGACCAAAAACTATAAATATCTAAGCACAACGAAGTGCCAAAGGGAAAGGACCAAAAACTATAAATATCTAAGCACAAAAAGGGAAAGCACCAAAAACTATAAACATCTGAGCACAAGTGCCAAAGGGAAAGGACCAAAAACTATAAACATCTAAGCACAAGTGCCAAAGGGAAAGGACCAAAAACTGTAAAGAACCTAGCGAGAAAAGCGAACTCTAAGTGTAAACCTGTCATAAGAAAAATAGACGCTTAATATCCCGAAACCATGATCTAACAATGTACTTCTCCCCCCCCCTCCAATCGAGAGCCAATATCACTATATTAATATAATCCCAATGAGTGAACCGACGTAAATATATTGGATCTCTTCATTATTAGGGGGTTACACCCTGTTAAAATAAAAAAGTGACCTGTCATCCTGTTGAAAATATATTTGCATTTGCAGGATGCACTATTGAGATGGAAAAATAAATACATGTAGCTTCTAAAGAAGACAAAATATCAAATACTGTCATGCAATTCTTTGATTCCCCAATCCTATCAATAGTTTATCGACATACATTCTCAAAAATGTAAAACGCTTGAATTAAAAAGTACTGATGAATTTTATGCTTGGATTGATTGCTAAAATCATTAAAATTTAATGTGACATACATTTTTCCAGGTATATATGTAATGAGTGAAGAAAAACAAAAATTTAGGAATGTCTACAAAACATTCTCGATACTACAATCCCACATGCAAAACTATAAGCCTACTACAAAAAAACATTGAACGCGACGTTTGATACAAGTTGTAGTAGGTAACACTGTGTGCCTCCTGAATATTATCATTCTATTTGTTTTTCAGTTATTTTTAACACAAAATCAACATTCTTCTACTGACCTGTATACTGTGGTGGTCGTACAATCGAACAGTTAATTTGTTACCCTCTTTGTCTTATCACATTTCTGTCAACATTCACCTCTTCAGAATTTATCTTCAGTTAAAGTAAAGCTATCTAAATCACTACTGAAGAGAGGGTGGTCCGCTTATAAAATATATATCTTGTCACGCTGTTTGTCTCAATTTTTCGCATCAATCCTGATGAACTGTATAGTTATCTTGTGCTTTCAACATAATCAAGGGCATTGTCGTAAAATATATGCATATTAATCTGATACATTCAATATCTTTCATTTTATTTTGAATTAACAATATGACCTGTATGACGTTATCTTCGAGGGAAATGATATAAAAATCTCTAAAAATAGACTTTAAAGTGAAATTCTGTCAAAATAACATATGTGTGGTATATATTAAGACCATTGCAAGTACTTAAAGTAGTAGAATCGTGATGTAAGTATTTGTATTTCATTAAAAATGAATTTATACTCAACTTCAAGTATGTTTGTCCCGATCCTTTGAGTTATGCATTTATTGTATGTCTTTCAACGTCATTTGACGTTATACTACGATATGTCAACCTATTTGTGTCCTCTGTATATACTTTTACTGATCGTGATTTATCCGATAGCAATATCAATATAACTGCATTGAATTCATACTATAAATGTACAATATTTTGGTATATTGGTTATTCGCATATGAATGCAATATAAGTTAAAATTGATAAATGAAAAGGTGTTTTTCAAAATGTAAATTTATAAAACCATTCACTTGCTGCTCGTTCTAGCTCATAGGAGTCTAAAGTGTTTAAAAACATAATATGGTTATAAACTGCGATGCAGTGAGTATACATTTTCAACTTTATATACACATTGGAGTGGATAAAATAACATCTTGTATGAAGAATGATATACTAAACTTCCTCAAAGTTTTCGAGCTTCGGTCCTACTTCTTCGATCCATGGAAAACACGGATAATGTAAATTTTTCAACAGTACAGAACTGCTAAACATGTTAACAACCCAGGGATTGTCGTTTGCATACACGTACCACTTATGTAAAAATGTTGCCTTTGATTTAGTATGAATTATCATATATACTTTGCAGTGCGGTGAAATGTTTGATGTCGACATGTTTCAGACTTTTGATTAGAAATATAGGCAAAACGAGAGTACAGGGTGTTTCATAATGGCTGTCCCCCATCAGCTCCCTTGATGGCATGTTATACTGTTATATAACATATGAAAGCCTATTCATCCTTGTCTTTTCATAACAATTTTGAATTAGCTTAACAGTATTTATTTACTTGTTACTTATAGCTAAAAAGGTACCCATTTATTCATTTAGTATCCAATCCGAGATCAACCTTTTCAAAAATGTCAAAAGTAGGTCAAATGAAGTCAGAAGTAGGTCAAAGTGACACAAAGGGAGATTTTTTACTTTTTCAAGTAGAAAAACAGCATATTTTATTTTGTTAGCCAGAAAAGGGTATTAATGGATGTAATAGATGCATATAGAATCAACCTTTTGGGACGAAAACCATGGGTAATACCTCTCCTAGAACTAGGGATACTGTAGTTGAAAATTTGGAAAAATGAAATATAAAAATGGGCGGAAGGGGAGACAAAACACAGTCTAGAATACTGAATAAATAATAATTTTGCAAAATAAACATCCTAGGGAATTACCATATCCATAATTCAGTTTAATTTAGTTTAGTATTGGCTGAGAAAAACTATTTAAGTGCATCATGAGCTGCGGAATGAAAATTATGTTGGGCTGTCCAATGGTGGTCAAATGTTCGACAGTTAATATGGACCAATATGGGTAGTTGCCCAAGGGTACCTGAAAAACGAAAATGTTATAAAGTATATGGTTCTATAATTTGATGACAATTTTCTTTTTTCGCTCGCCAAAATTCTTAGTTTTAAAATAGTAATCATAATTTATGATTTTTCCAGTTTAAGTAACTAATGATAAGAAATTACTCAAATCCTTTGGTTGATACAGAGGTAGACAATTCAGTATCAAAAACTTGTTATAGTAACATATACTTTTATTCTAACATTTTCGTTGTGCATGTACCCTAGGACACCTACATTGTACCCCTATTGGTCCATATTAACTGTCGGATATTTGACCACCATTGGACAGCCAAAGATACAGAGTTGTATACAGAGGTAGACAATTCAGCTTAAGTTAATTCGCTTTTCGTCAGAAAATCAGACAGTCACAACCAAATACGGTCAAAGGATGGAATAATTCCTTTAAAATAAAAACATGGTTGTAGATGCAAAAGTAGATTATTCTTAAAATGTCTAGTATTTATACCATTTAAAATGTACTATTCATGGGAGTAACTCAACAAGCTTGTTAAATTATCGACGGTGACTTATATCTATGAATTGACAATATTAATGAAGAGCATCGAGCATCTATAACAATTGACGAAATGGATAACAAAAAAGGAAAAGAGAAACCCAGAGAACAATTTCCCATATCAATATTTTGATATGTGTATGAAAAAATATCTGCATATACGTATCTTTTAATGAATTTGAACTGACATTACCCCCTACTCCAAATTGTCATATGATGGAAATTAAATACTAATTGATTACAGGACTTATATATTTGATTATATAAGAAATTATTATTTGTTTGCCTACCTGAACTTTCATAGCATGGCTTGTCAATAAAGAATGTTGCAATCAACGCCAAACGGACATTTCACATATACATCTTATACATCAAGTCCAACATCCACTTATTTAACTCATCGTATTATATGAGACGTTTATTTAAATTGTATTGCAGCTACTTTTTGAAATAATCCACTCAATCAATGTTGTTTAGTCCTGTGCCTGGCAATTTTAAGTACTTGTGAATTGTTAACCGTTCATAAAGGACCTCCAGCTGTTAAAAATATACAGACATCTACATATGTATATAAAGTGATGTTTCGTTCAATGTAAATATTCAAGCTCTGGGGATTATATCTCTAAATATCTCTAAATGTCGAGTGAATTAGTTAATATTCTGGTGTGTATTCCTTATTCAGAGAAAAAACTTCGAATTCGTATTTAATATTCACTTGCTATTTTGCTATTTTTGGAGTTCCCTACTATTAACACCAAATTCTTCTTAACCGTTTGACAAAAGTGGAACTAGTCGAATCCATTATTAGCTTCCTGTTCGTGTTCTTGCTGTAAAGGTCAATGTACACCTGAGCTTTTCATAATCTTGGAACTGTGTTCGAGTACAATTGACGTATATTTCATTGAATACAGCCTGTGATATTTACATATGATGTGACTCACCTCTTTTAGTGCTTAGTTTCCACAATTGGCCATCACACCATGTGAATTAGCCTTAATGATGGTTTTTAACAGGGATGAGCGATTGATTTCAATAATACAGAAAACTTCGTATCGGTTAAAGAACACAGTTCTTCAAATACTAATCATATATACAGAGTGTTAATTCTGACATCCAACTTGAACTTTTAAAGGTCAAATGCCACTTAAAATATTTTATTTTCAATTTTAAATAATTATAAATAAATCTTTTCCAATATAATTATGGAAGGCACCGGGGTATGAGATTTTACTTACAGAAATATTTCATTATTAATTGCTCCGTCTTGGACAATTAACCACATCATGCAATAGCTAAATCAATCGATTACAAGAACTTTGCAAGAAGTTGATTCTGATCCAATACGATGTTGCTGAAAACGGCGCGGGAGTCAAAAATTCTGAACATCAGGATAACGGATGTGAATATCTCTTATAACTTACCCTCCACCCTTGAGATTTCCAAATAAATATCGTAAAAAGTTTTAAATTCGATTATATAAATTCATACCCTCTGTAAAGAAAAAAAGGTGCATGGTCCTTGTTCAGTCATAACATTTTCAGAATTTTGTATAATATTACTTATCTGTTGGTGGCACATGGCAGAAAAATTGTGAATAACTGGTGGAAAATTTTAAAAGTTGGATGACAATTTTAAAAAGTTAACAATGGTTAAAAACGTTGTATCACAAATAAAACTCACAATGTGACATTTTCCTTTAAATTACGTCATAAATTGCACTTTGCTATTTTACAGTGTAATACATTTTCCTCTAAGCCAAGGACATCATTATCTAGCCTATATGTTATATTCTTCATACCATTCAAAACTGGTCATAGCTGACAAGTTTGAAATAAACATTGACAAACTGACAGAAAATTATGGAGGTGCCAAGATCCGTCTAAAACATGCTTTTTAGACAATTTTACGCCTTAAATAGCAGTGAAATTAGGGATAGGTTGTACCCACTTTGCTCAATAAACACATTTATATATCACATCTGACATAAATTTTGGTATGCATAAGCTAAGGATAAGATGGGATGGGATGTATAACATATTAATGGGTCATTGAGAAAGATAAAGGATTATAATTATCTTACAATTTCAAGTTTATTGTAATATATGTCACCCCTACCCCTAATTTAGAACTGAGAAGAGACCTCTGAATCTGAAGGATATTACTTCAAATTCTATCACAAAATGGTTCTAATTAATCGGACTTTCATTCTATAACTGATATTTTTCACAAAGTTTTATTGGATTGAAGACTTTTTAAAATGGTGTATTCCTCTAAAAACACCAGGAAGATCCAAGGAAGAAGATCCTCTTCTTGAGCACATTGCCAGGTATAGGATTTCTCAAATTTATGACGTCATTTTATATGGTAAAAAGCCACACTCACGATTTTGGGAGTCGTTATATTCAATCCTTTCAAGCTTATTACCATATTTACAAAATTCTTAGAAATTTTCTCCATTTGGTCAAAGTATTCATATATTATACCTCTGAAAGTTTGGTACATCATAACGGAAAGTAAAAAAAGATATGATCGGTAAAGGACCTTGCACCTTTTTGTCTTTACAGAGTGTATATAAATTGAACAACACACGTCAAGCACTAATCGGACTTTACTTTTCGGGAGAAAATGCATGTCTTTATATGCAAAGCTGTATCCATGTATGCATGTGAACAAAATGTTCTTTTGGTTCAACGGGTTTAGAAGAAGCTCCAAGCTTACTTCGGTCCAAAGCCTTCTCTATATTCCGGCTTTGAGGAGGAAGATTGAGCTGCCTTAGTATTATAAATATTGTAAATCATTGTGTCACACGCACAGTAAATATGGCATAATAATATGAAATATACCTTTATGTATAGATTTGAAGAACATCAGCTCACATCCCCGTCTGAATCTATTGTTATATTTGATTTCTTTAAGCGAGAATAATTTCAAATGTTATTCACGTCCAGAACCGGAAGCCATTTTTAGCTACAGCGAGAAAATTTCACCATGTGTCAAACTCCGAAATGAAATTTTGAAATATCTAAATCCAGACAAGCAACGCTTCATCCTAAATATGATTAATATTCTTAAAAATATTTATAAAATTTATTAAAAATGAGTTCTAGGTGCGTGTAGGTGCGTATAGCACAGTACATACGAAATCAATGAAGTTCCGTCTAGCTGTAAGCTAGAGACTCGAGTAACTCCAAGCACTCATTAAAAGATGCACAAAACAAAACGAGGCGTCCAAGCAAGATCAGATTAACAATATATCTATATTCATTTATGAAAAACATAAAATGATATAAGATTATAATTATATATATTAACTACAAGTTTCCATTATTACAATATAATCATTAAACATATACATTTGGCTTCAACCCAGTCATCCGTTTGCCGAAAACAACAGCCTTTACCAACTATTACGTGAACCATATCGATGACACACTATAGATTGAACCTAGAATTAGAACAATTCATATTACATGCTTATTGTCAGGAAAAAGTATAAAAATAAAGATTTGAGAGACATTTCGAGAATTTATGGATAAACTTACGTAAAGTGCAGTATTGAAAACCGAATGTTTGGAGAAATCAATTAACAATTGTCACAGACGCCTAATAATAGATATGTTTTTATCTAATGGTACGAAATAATCGAAAACTACTAGACGTTGAAAGGAATGAACAAAAGGATGCAAGAATTCGTTTTAAAAGTAAACAAGATATACGTAATGCTTAAATGCTAAAGTACTTGATTGAGTTAAGTAAATTGATCCTGACTAATTTACCTGTTCTTCTGTATGCAAATGTGAATCATACCATTAGTTTGAAGTATGAAGAAGATATAGTTTATATAAGTGAAACGAGAGTTCTACAACTCGTTAAAGTTGAAATAAGCGTGAACACGTTTTCTCACTTCTTGAAGATTTGGAAAACTAGACTGCTGTGTATTATTTTACCAACTAGACACTTACAACAATGACTGGAAATGACAGTGCCGGGCTAGCGACTGTTGTAATGCTACCAGTTGGGGCTCAGTACCCTGTTATTGTTGTCAATATAGGAATTTTGTTATTTGGAGGTAAGCCACTAATATAAAGCTTGTATTCGCGATTGCAACTTTCGGCTGTCGGCTACCGGATTAACCTACTATTCTATGGGCAACGCATTCAGATGTGAATAGTACCTGTCACTATTCCATTAGAATATTCAAATGAGTCATATAATAGTGTGTTAATCCGATAGCTGACAGCCGAAAGTCGCATTCGCAAATACATGTACAAGCAAAGAGGGCGACTTAAAAGCGTGTACAGGTAATTCAAGAACAATACTGCATTTACAAGGGGCGATCCATATATTCTGATAAAAATGCTCTCATTTTGCTATTTTTCAGATATCCCTCTCATATTTTCAGAAAATGTAGATTATGGAATTACACATAAAATGCTCAAATATTATAGCTACATCTTAAATTAATTAAGAGATATGGTTACCATGGTAACCTGTATTAAGGGTAGGCAGGTCAATTAAATTATAACATATAAAATATCATAATAACTTGTTATTTTAACTATTTTAATGCATGAGGAAATCATACATTTTTCTAATAAAAGTTTGGTATTGTTCCTCTTTGTTTGTTGCTAAACAAATGTTTATTTGTGATCACTATAACATCACTACAACTCACAAGTAGCAATGTATGACAGGATGATGGGCAAATTGGAATTACATGTCATGAGACACACCAAATATCAAAATGACAGATCAGATGAGGTTAGTGCGGCTGTTGCAGAGTGTGACATTAACAGATACATTAGGAGTACCACTAGATTTTATGTACTATCAAGAATACGCAAGAGGACACTGCCAGAGACATACATGGACTCGTATAATGTATGAACAAGGTGTTATATCTGCTCTAAGGATCTCTAGGTAGTATTGTAAATTTGAGGAAGGCGAGTCACTGTTGAATATCATTCCCAATCTGGTTGCAAGAAGAGCTTGCAGACAGAGAATAACACTACGATAATTTGAGATGCAATTTACGAAAAAAGAACTATTCCACTGTGGAAATAGCAAACAAGGGCAACAGGGGTATGGTGCAGTTCAACAAATAGTTGGCAATGGCCTGGATATGCATTTGATCTGCTTGAAATAGGTACCGAGGAATGATTAAATTTACAAAATCTATTTTATACATTAAAATTTAACTGACCTGCCTACCCTAAATAAGGTTACCATGGCAACCTTATCTCAAAAATAATTTAAGATATAGCTATAATATTTTAGCATTGTATGTGTAATTACAAAATCTTCAAGTTCTGAAAAAATGAGAGGGATATGTGAAAAAAATCACAAAATGAAAGCATTTTTATCAGAATATATGGATCGCCCCTTGTATATATAAAATAAAGTTTAATATATGGCTATAGTGACAATCGTCTGAGATTAATCTGTACGTAGAGGTTGTTGGATTTCAAAGCAAACGTATCACGTTGATTTCGATTTAAAAACAAATGTTCCTGATCAATGACATATATGTGGCTATCTTAACCAATGTATCATCAGACTTTTAATGCCGCAAAATCTACATTTTACACGTTAAAATTGTTAA